TGCAGAGACATCTTGAAGTAAGATGCAGCAATGCATGTCATCTAATCATCCGCTGTGCGCACTAACTGAAGAGGGAGCTAGTCAGACCAGATGTCACTGCCCCTTCAGAAGATGATTATTCCATCCCTGCATCAAAGACTGACTTGAATGTCTCATTCTTTGCCTCATCAATACCTCGCTGGGAGAGGAAATGCCTCAAGAACAGGAGAACAATATGCCGAGATAGGCAACCGTTGACCAATGTACATTGAGCAAGAATCGCTTGGTATCATTTTTATTCACTGCCTCTCTGGCTTGGAGACTTTTTTTAAAGGGTACAGCCGCAGCGCAGATATGTTCTTGGGTACATGAAGCGTAAGCCAAGATGTGAAGTTTGGACATGGTTGCTTGGCATAGATGGCCAGAGCTGTCCAAGCATGGACGATGATGATGACAGAAATGCACATAAACCAATGAAGCGGCACATTTAATAATCTCTAAATGCCATTCATGATCATGATCACTGCAATTGCAATTATTAACCCCCCCCCCAAAAAAAGAAAATCACCAAATACGGATATCATCAAAAACTATTCTTAATCTAATGACAGTAAGACACTGACAGCAAGGATAAAAAAAATCATACTTTACATACATACTTTGACTGGACACGGACAACCCCTGGTCTGAGTACATGTATACGTTTATTCAACGGAGCCCTCTCCATATCCAACGTCATACACGTATGTATCTGAGCAATGCCAATTTAATGCGACCCCATGCGCAAGCCAATCAGAGTCGACTTTAGAAATTGTGAGGTCGTTTCGATCAGAAATCTGGACTATGCTGTTGATTGGTCAATTTGACTGTCATGTTTTTGTAATACAACAACGGGTTATGGAAGACCTGATACAAGGCGCCCGCTGAATGGTCAGAATCTCGAGGTCAAGATGCAGTCTTGTTGTGCATAATTAATCGCCGGAATTGCTCATTATGGATAGTCTAAACAATCCCTACCCCGTTAACCCCCCCCCCAAAAAAAAAAAAAAGATAAAGAAATATATATATTTTACATGCAATTTAAAAAAGTATGGAAAAAATTACTGAGGACTCAAAGAATAAAAGTTTCCCAAGAAATTGTCCGTGCTTTCATTTTCATACATTGTACGCTGGTACCGGTATGGGTTTATTTATCCTGCGTCTGATTTTTTTAAACTGAACATCAACCCCATATTGACAAAACATGACTAACATATTTCAAAGTTTACATTAAGAGTGAAATATTATGAAGGGGTTGTGGAGGTTTACTCCTCAAAATAAACATCACTCCTTTAGAAATGTCTGCAAACTATCCATGAGTAACTGTTTCAGCACAGAACGCTAACTTTAGGAATATATGCTTTATAATTGGTTGCCTTGGTTATATATGACCTTGCCATCCAGACTGGAGGTCAAAGGTTAACTCAAGTGGGTTTCAATGCTCCACTGCAGATGAGGTTGAAAAGTTGAAAGGAAGATTTGGAATTCAAAATGGCAATATTACAAGGCATCCAGTTAATATGCCAAAACAAAATCTCTTTCAATTGTTTTTGGATTGATTGTCATTTACTGTGTCTATGCCTACATACGTCATCAAGTCCTATGGAGGTCCCACCTTCTGAAAGCCTCAAGGCTCTTTGCACTTTTTCCTTGCTCAAGTAACTGTTGTTCCAAGCTCTCTAATGGCAACACAGACACTGTATGTACCGGTACATGCTGTATGCCTACACCTACAAATGTAGACCTTGGAATTTGGGGTTTTCTGTACTACATGTAAAAGCAATGCAGGATTACAGAACATTGTTCTGGGCTATGTGCAGGGCATACTGGGAGACATGCGTGCTGTATGGGTTGCTGTACAATGTATGGTACCGCCAACTTAGCTACATCATGTACACATAGGGGTACAGCTTGTTTCTTTACCAATGACAGAGTGGGCTCAATCATAACACAATGCCCTGTGCTAAAATAGATTCCTCTAAATACTACATGAACAAATGTAGACCCATGGAGGTTTATTGTGCATTTCTTTAGGCCCTGTCAGTTGCATTCATACTACCCGGTAGCTCATAATTTCCCAAATACTTTTTGAGGAATCTGAAAATGTGCCTCAAATTATATACAGATTTTTCTTCTCATAAACTGGCTGCCAGGCACATTTGAAAAAGTTTGCGTGGTTAGTTTGTACTAGGATTTGTACACTTTTGTACACATTTGCACCCCAATGAGTTCAAATAGTTCTGCAGAATGTCTTTTTATTAATTAATTCGTAATAAAAACTTGATATCAATACAGGAAGGTCCTGCCAGGATCCAAAATGTTAGTTAAAGGCCCTCCACTTTTTGTGTGTGTATATTTCAAGCCAATCCTGTCTGTAAGCACTTTACTGAGTTGACAGCAGTTTTAAAATTTCTTTCCATTTTCTTAAAATTAAAAAAACAAGTTCAGTTTATAATAATTTCCCTAGACTCGCATTGCAAGAAGAGGGTGCAATTGAAATTGGATGCTGCACATTCAAAAATGATTATATGCTTTAATAGCCAACAATTTTCTTTTTGTTTTGTTTTGTTTGGTTTGGTTTTTCAATGATATAGCTCACTGCTGGTGCTGCCAAACATCATACAAAAGGCCATTGTGTAGTTCCAGGCCAATCTTTCATTTTAGTCCTTAAATTATTTTTTATCATTCCAAAATGATTTCTGCAATTTAAGCACTCTTCCTTAAATTCAAATGGCCCTATTTTTTGGTAACTTTGAACAGTATCTCAGTAGAAAATGCAATTTTCTTACATTGTATGCTTTTTTTGGTTGCATCATTTGAATCAACACGGTTTTGCGTACTACCTGTGCACATGCTGAGCATTGCGGTGATCGCCATCTTTTTTGTGTGTGTTGCAATTTGTCTTTTTCAATTTGTTTTTCCCAAAAATGTCCCTCAAAAAATCAAAACCCTGCTCTATATCTAGTCTATATGTAACAGACCATGGCAAAAGCCATGGTCTATGATATGTGAGCAGATTCGCTGATCAATTATGCAAGACAACCGCCCCATGACCTCCAGATTTTGACCAATCAGCGGGCGCTTTCTATATCAGGTCTTCGGTCATTCACCCGTTGCATGTAATAGACATCCATGATAAAAAACCTGTGTCACGCGCTCTGTATCATGTTACGCGTATGCGCACCTGGCTGTTGTTGTATTACAAAACACTGCATTCAAATTGACCAATCACAGTTTTAATAAATAATATAATAATAAAATAATAAATAATGTTGCAACCTGACACCACTTTTTTCTTCATATTTAATATCATCTCAATAAAGGTCATTCATTTCAAAAATGTTGAAAAGACATGAATCTGGGACTGATTGAGAAACGTTTCTAATTTTGTTAGGAAATACTACATGTACATGGACCTGTACATGTAGAACATTTTCTTGACTCATCATGCTCATAGACTTTGTACACAACCGCTGAAGAGTGAAGTTGTGTCTGGATACTACATTCTTTCCCAACATTCTTGTTGGTTGCCTCCAGTAACCATAAAGCCAAATAAATAAAAAAACATGTTTAGCGTCCCCGCCCGCTTCCTTTTAGGAGGCCCCCTCTTTTTTTTCTCCTTTTTTTTTTTAACAGAAAAAAAAAAGATCAATTTTAAACAGTGACATCATTTTGGCCTCCTTCTCTGTTGCATCTAGCCCATATAAGCTGGTATGTCATTTCCTGAGTCCAATTGGCGGCCATTTAAATAAAAAGCTAGAGCTATTTTGGAGCACAAAAAAAGGGCCTCCTTAGGCTCCTCCTTCCTTTTTTTTTCAAAAAGGCAGGACGTTTGAGGATTAATGGTTAGGGTTTTAATGGCCTTATGGTTTTTATTCTCTATAGAAAGAAGGCCCGTAACTACACAATCGTCATACAGGCATACATGAAAACAAAAGTAAGACAAGTTTTAAGTCGTGAGATAAAAATTCAAAATTTCAGGCTATTTGAACTAGTTGAGTTACACTGAATTACTTTCAAAATCGATGTAAATGAGTAACAATGTCCTTCAGTTTCATTTCATTTGTTATTTCGCAGGTCAAATTTACAATGGGTTTAAAAATAATAAGAATATTACAGACAGTATAGACATCAATAAAAGACATAAGTTTAAAAAATACACATTAAACCATAAAAAAAGACTAAGACCCTTACACCAAGATAATTGCACGCCCCTGCGGGATTGCTGAAAAGTGAACTAAATCACTGTCAAGTAGCTCTCCCACAGCATGACTAAAAACACAAACATTAAAACAGACTTACAGTTACACTATATAACACATGGGCAAAATGAAAACCCTTTAAAATTGCACAAATTCCTGGAATGTTGTTTTATTTTATATACTGCACCATATTAACAAGAAAAAGCAAGGAAAACACCCCCTAGATAACTTCAGATCTAAAAAGAAAAGAGAAAAAAAAGAGACCATGGAAGACAGACAGAAAATCAAACGACCGACAAACAGACCCCCACCCGACAAACGCAAGACGTGCAACTTGTTTTATCAGCTGAAACTGTGATGTGTGCTGTATGAATGCCCAAAACCATGAAACTGAAATTAGACGTACAAATAAAACCACTTCAATTTCAAAGTGAATGAGAAATGCTATTTTGGAAAGAATGTAGTAATCCACACGCCACTTCTTTGATTGTGTACAAAGTCTATGGAGTGTTGAGTGCATTTTAAAAGTATTTTCTAACAAAATTAGAAATGTTTCTCAGTCCCAGATTCATGTCTTTTCAACATTTTTTGGCAATGACTAACCTTCATTGAGATCTGATGAAAAAAAAGTGGCGTCAGAATGCAACATTATTTTCACAACGGGAATTGCGTTGCCATTGATTGATGGATTGTCAAGTAAGTTAGACTTTGAGCCAACCATGATGAACCAACAACCACATTGCACAGAATCCAGTACGGACATGCTGTGGGACAACTTACCATCTTTCGTAGCCCTTCTTCTCCAACTTCAGTCAAAGCAGTCATCTTGATCTCTTTCTTCTACTAAACAAATGCAACTTCTTAGATTCCAAAGAGTCTATGATTATGAATGGTACACTGTCATTTCCAACCTTCTTTGGGCTGTTCTTTGTCGAATACACAAAGTTATAGGGGCCTAATCAAAAAGTGGCTCACTGCATGCAATACTGAGTTCACGTACGTACATAAATACAGTCTGCATAACACAAACTGTATGTTGTATGGAACCCCCACGTGTTGACGTTTGAGCTATTCTTATGCAAATATTGGTCAGTACTTTTGTGATATGTAAGGGTAAGGTCATTCATACCAAATTTGTATTGATTTCAGGGTAGGGTCAAAATTCAAACAAAAAGTATTAATTAATCATACTATATCACTATTCATTAATTTTTAAAACCAAGAACAGTCACTTAGAAAGAAATTGTCAAAACGTTTTAAAGACAAATAAACAAAACACCCCTTTAGTAAAATGGAATAGACAATGTAGGCGTGTTCTCTTAAATAAAAGAAAAGGTTCGATGACCTCCGAAGTTGTAGAACCCGGACAGTGGTTTTTAATTCGTGGAATGAAAAATCAAATAAATATTGACGAACATATTCTTCAGAAATTGTCGCTCATCGTGCAAAATTTATGATGTACAAGTCAAGTTGATTAAAACTACGATATTGCGAGGGAGAGCATTTCGGAGAACAGGGAAATGTTATGAGTAGGGGAGGAGGAGGCGATGGGTATTCGGTCATTAACTCTAGATGGAGTCTAGACAAACTTTATCGTTTCGGTTTGCGGTAACACCATGTGGTAATAACTACTGCTTAGAAGATATTAGTTCTGAAAAGAACTTGTTCTGCTTATAATCAACTTTGCTAAGTAGTTTTTGTTCAGATAAGAACAGTCCTGCTGTAAGCTCTAAATGAGGCTTGTCTTTGGTCTCTTAGAACGTTATTCCCACGTTCGAGACTAGTCTGAGTATCACCCGTTATCCACGGTAAATCCTGTATCACCCGTTATCCACGCAGCCAAATCCTGTATAAAGCGGCATTCGCCGTGGTCTATTAGTTCGAGACCCTAGTGTCCTTCTTCTTCTTCCTTATTAGTGCTGCCTTCATGTGGTTGACTAAACGCACTTCATCATATTCATAACGTCATCAGACTGACTGCGATAAAATTTTGTTTTTTAAAAATGGAGTAGTAATCAGTTGACTTATGGTTAAAAAAAATCATCTCCCATATGCAATAGTGGGTACGTTCTTTGAAAATTTCTGGGATTATTAATGAAGCACTATACTAACCCAAAACCACTTGATGCCACTTGATTTTTTTGTGCCAGAATGAAGAATGTAAAATTGAATACCCATTTTACTCTGGCAGGGAGTCCATTGTGAAAAATCAAGACTTTTTGCAGTAGATGAAAAACTGAGAGTTACATGTTCAAACACAATTTTCGAAAAACTTCCTTTTTAAGGTTCGGCGATCGACACCTTTCATAATTTGGAAGGTGGGGGAACGGAAATTACAAGATATTACACAATTAATCCAAACATATGCCAATCTTCTAAATTTGGCTTTGCAGTCTAAACAGAAAAATAAAAACCAAAATTCTCAATTGTATTTCGCTTTTACAAAAGGAAGAAGAGCGATTCGGAAATGTGTACATTTTGCCATGATAGAATAGTTCTATCATGATCTATTTTCTGGTCGTGTAAAACGGTTAAGGCGGCCCTTTGGAACGAAAGGTTGCTCCTTCATGATATGGTAAATCGATCACTATATCATCCGTGGAGAATATTCTTTTCGGGGTTAGTGAAACATAATAGCTACCGGTTTTTAAATACTCTAATTTATATAGGTCAACAGACAGTGAGCCGTTTTAAATATGGACAGTACTGTAACCTTATCATCCTTTTTGAGCAGGAACTCCAGCTCGTCATAGGAAAGGAAACTGATTTATTAATTATTTGTTGTGTGTAAAATCAGTAGTACGTATAGAGAAGACGATTAACTGTACAAATTGTTATTTATTTGTTGATTGAATCTACGAATAAAATACGAAAATACGAAAAAAAGGTTACACCTCTATGTTCCGACACCCCTATGTTCCGACTGCACATATTCCTATTCCTAACCCTAACCCTAACCCTAACCCTAACCCTAACCCTAACCCTAACCCTAACCCTAACCCTAACCCTAACCGGGAGTAACACAATCTAGGTTGTCGGAACATAGGGGTGTCGGAACATAGAGCAGTCACCGAAAAAAAAGCGGGGGAAAATCACTTTTACGAAAGAGGGCGAGGGCGTACTTTTTTTTTTAAACGGGCAAACGCACAATTTTGTCCTTACATTCCATTTTGTTTTACTAATATTTTAAAACAGAGTTGGAACGTCTTTTCTTTGAAGTAAATCCGGCAAATGAAAGGATGAATTAAAATGTATTAAAAATGTACAAGGGGAGGAACAAGAATAAAAAGAAAATGAGTAAATTTGAGTAGGCCCTTCACAATCAAATTTTGTTTCAATTTCAGTTGTCAAAATGAACATAGCAATTGCCCCCTTTTTTAGAAAAAAACACACGCCCATAAAGGGAACAATAGTTTTTTTAATTTGACATGTAAACATTCTTCCCACCCGCACCGTTTCACTATTATTTAATACTGGATTGAAGAGGGAAAAAAAGGTTTTGGGCATAAACAGGTAACCCAGACTGGCTCCCGGTCCATACATTATTGATTCTGATTTTGGGGCGGGACCGAGCCGAAGGCCAACGAGAACGGAAGTTATTTCCCGTTAGCCAATACACATGTAATTCGAAATTTGTAAATAACTCAAATGGGCCTTTTTTCCGGTCGATGTCTAATTCGAAAGCACTTTTATATATCTATCTATCAGAATAATAACATTTTAGAAAAGGAGTCTATTTTTCGGGAGTTAAACTCGAAAGTGCCACGGGGAATACAACTTTAACAAAGTGACAAAAACTAAAACCTCAGAGCACAGCACAGGCTTTACCGGTGTGAATCGAACCTAGAACATTAAGAACGAATGAAGATAACCATCAAGTTTATCTTCGGTTCGAACGTATAACGCCCTGAATAGGCACGAGGATAATGTGTGTGGGTGTGAGCTTGTCTTACATACGCAGTGTGGACTTCCGAACAAAAGACGTCCACATAATGTAGGTAGCAGCGACGAAGTGTGGACTTGCCCACGTCCACACAGTGTTTCCCCATTTCTGGAAAACAGGTTTAGAGGCATTTTTGGGTTAGGTTTATCGGTAGCAGAATGAAGAGAAACACTAAAGGGAATCAGTGAAAAAAAATTGGGTTGTAAGAGTTTTCACAGTTTGAGAAAAATGAGTTTTTCCACTGGTGTTCCTTAACTACACGAAAAGAAAGGAAAGTCCACACTAGGTATGTGAAACAAGTCTGGGTGTGTGGGTGTGTGTGAGGGGGGGGGGGGGGGTGTCATTATAGAAAGACAGAAATTACAAAGGGGGAAAAGAGCACCCTGAGCGTCAAAATGGCGTTCAGACCCCCTCTTTTGCAACACCGACCGACTAATCGACGATCGACCAAGGACTGCAGTGGTTCTTGTCCTCTTGTGGCGCAGGATGAGGAGGAATCATTCCGCTGAAGTTTTATAGTAACTGAAACTTTCCCCCAAACACTTACATTATACTATAGAATCCTGTCTTTCAATAGTCATTTGTCGGGAAAATTCATATACCATATTGTATGATCCCCGAGTGTAGAAATTAAGTTATTCAGGTTTAGATCGATCTTAAAATTATGTTTCCACAGGAGCCCTCACATTAAAATTACATGGAAATAAAATTGAACAAAGAAAATAACATTACAAAAGTAGAAAAGACATAACACTTAAACTTTACACAAAACATATAATATAAGTAGAAAACTAACAGGTGAGTGGAGATAGCAATTTTAAAAAAATACTTTTTGCATATTCATACTAAAAAATCTGCATAGTAAAGAAAGAAAAAAATTCTTCTTGATGCTAAACATTACATGGAGTCCCCTAACAGACCTAGTAAAAAAATCACGTTAGGATGAAATTCTGCAATGATAAAAAAACAATGAGAATAAAACAGCAAAATATTATAGTATTCCCAAATTACACATGTAAAACAAAATTAACATGCTAAGAAAAAAATGGCTATATAAAAATATGCAATTTCATTCCTGCAAAAAAATTGCATAAAGTCCCACCCAATACATGTAAACCTAGCCGAAATTCACATGTAAACAAAAGAATTACCCATGAATACCAAAAATGTAGCTTTATACTGTTACATTATCACATGCCGTCCCCTCAGGACTCGACTGACTAAAAAAAAACCCTGTTTAATTAAAAATGTGTGGTTTGAGGTTAAGTTTAAAAACTGAAGCTGAACTTTATGAACTTTGCAACAAAAAATGCCAGTCGTTGCAAAAGGGTTTATTGTGCCGCCCAACGCCTTGAACAAGCACTGCGTAGATATCCGTAAACTGTGTACAAAAAGCGAAATATTTGCCGTTTCTTTTTCCCATCTCTACATTTTTTTCTTCTGACAATTATTAAGAGGCGCCGACGTGTCACGATGAAATTGCTAGTTGACCTTTAAAATCATAATCATATCGTGTCAGGTTCCTTTCTCTAATCTCTTGTACCATAGGTGGTGGGGATGAGCCAATTGTTTTCACTAAAGTGAAATTGATTAATTTTCGGGACAGATTTAAATGAATTAAACAGCGCTGGAACTTAACTTGTTGCGGCTCTTTTATTTCAGTATTTAAAATTGTGAAGTAAAATTTGCTATCCAAGTTGTTTCTTCAGAGGCTGAGACAAAAGTGACTGGCCAGCAACTTTTCCATCCCGCCTAAACTTTCTACTTCTAGAATGTAAAGAACCAACCCTACGTCTCATTGGCCCATAGCCAGGCCTTGCCAAGTGTCACAGAACAAGAATTCTTATTGGCTGGTTGCCCCTCCAAGCCTTCTCAGCAATTGGTTAAAATTCGTGGCTGTTGGTTGGCTATTCTCCTGTTTACAGGATCTCACTTTTGTCACAAATTTGTCAATAGGGTTTCATGTACAAAGTTCTTCATACGAAAGTACAGTAGGAAATGCATTCACAGTGATCGAGATGTGTGCATGAAGTTAGCCTACATTTTGCACAACACATAAATATAACCAACAGGAGAAGATCAATGGAAATTTTGCTGCTTATAAATAATTTGATCATTTAGTGATAAAATTGAATATCCCACTAAAAATTCATGGTCGGCGTGAATAGCGCCCTCTCAGAAAACACACGGAACAATCTAACTGTTGAGGGCGCTTTTGGGTCACGTCCCCGGAAGTATTACAGCTTTGCGATTTTAACTCCCCAAGTAACACTGTCACTGATTCTTTTTTAAAGGGATGATAGCAGAATATTGAGGACTTCGATTTAAGTTTTTACATGGCAGAACCAGGGATGGCTACAGCGGAATCATTGGAACAACTCTTCCCAATTCACTGGGCAGTGTGGCACAATGACATTGGTAATTTGAGCAGATTGCTTGAAACAAAACAGGTAAAAATATCCCCTATTTTAGGCTATTCTGCTATTCTAATGTAATACTCAAACATTCATGACATTATTGTCAAATTTCATGTTTGTCTAATGATTGATGGTGCAATCATTAGACAAGAGTAAGACTTGATAAGTTGATTTTTATTTTGTGCATGCAAAATATGGCTGTTCCGGTAGTCGTGTAGACCTGTGAACGTGGCGTTGTAAACAACCCCACGACGTTGGTTCTGGCATGTCTGGTGTCATTTTGAAACATTTGATGTCATTTTATATTTTGAAATTGATCCGCGACATAGGCTATAATCATGTATAATATTAGTCCGAAAATTTGGGACTCTCAATACTGTGTATGAGAGTCCCAAAACTTAAGGCATCCATATTGTGCAAAAGTTTGTGCTGCATAATAAAACCAGTGTGAATCAAATGTGCAAGCTTCTTACTCACTACAGTTTCTTCAATAATCCCCAAAACTTCTGCCCTGCAAAGTTGCTGTTGTGAGCATTGCATCACCAAAAAATCAGCGTTTATTTCTAATTTTGCAGGGAGTTATCGAAATCCAAACGCGAAACATCACGTTGATGTGTACTGCAATGCATTGTGCAAAAAGACTCCTCAGCTAACACAGTTTCATCGTGTAGACAGCGCCCTCTTGTTGATCTGAGTGAATGCAGAATGTTTCATTTTTTAACAGAGGGCGCTATGTTCATTTGGCCATCGATTAAAAAACAAGTAAGCTGCAAGGTTCTTCCTACACCTACCCAGAATACCTTGGGAAACACACCACCATTTCTAAAGCATGGAGAATGACGTGGATGGTTTTTGAACTGTCAAAAACTTGCCTTAAAATTGGATTTAAGGTCTCAAATTTTGCAGGTGACATGCTTGCAACTTAAGCATTTTGATGTATGTGTTGTGTGGGCATTAATTAGCTGAATGGTGAGTAAAAAAACGTCAGTAGTAATTTTGCACGTTTTTATGCACTCACGGTCCCAGTCTGGTATAATATTGCCCTATTGGTTAAACAGTTACAAATGTACTTATTACTTTATTAGGCTTTCTGTGAATTTACGCGAGTGTTGGATCTTTCATTGCCAAGAAATTTGATGAAAAATACAGCACAACGAATGTGTTCAAAATAAGGGCGATCGTGAAGTGTAGGGCCCCTGTTTTGTTTTGATCAAATTAGAGTCAAAAATGTTTTTATTGCTCAATAATTACCTTTACAATCAAAAGCAGACTTCTCAATTCTAATGACACCAGTTTTGCAATTTTGAACAGATTCTTGTGGTAGAAATCACGATTTTTCTGTGCGGTTTGTGCCTTGCGATTCAGCGCGCCGTGCGTGCTCACAGTACATCGCACGGTTATCGCCATCTTTATTTTCGGGTTGCGTGTTGTCGCCGCCCTGTCATCGTCATTTTACCCCCATATTTCCCTCAAAAAATCAAATACCTGCCATCTACCTGTTTATTGAGAATGTCGCCAACTAGTTTGGTATGTATTGTAGGTCCAATAACTTTAAAGTGGATTTTGTTCCCTTATAGGAACTGGGACTTACACTACACAATCGCCAAAATAAGCACCTTCGATGTATCGATATTAATCAATAATCCGATATTGGTTTGATATCGATATCGCCGATATCATTTTTAAAAATCATATCGAAATATTGAAAATTTTGATATTGAGGAATAATATCGAAGATATCGAAAATTTCAATATTGAGGGATGATATCGACAGTATCAAAATGCGTATCAGATAGGCCTAATCGTTAAAATAAATCTCAGATTATCTCCCGTTTGTGGTTTTACTTTGTGTTAAACGTTTTTGTTTGTACCGTAATTTTCGGAATATAAGCCGCGGCTTATACGTTGATTTTGCCCATGAAAATGTTTACTGCGGCTTATACACAGGGCGGCTTATACGCCGAGCCTTGAAGAATAAAAATGAAATTCACATGTGCATTTAATGTACTGGTATAAGAAGAGATATGTTGCTGAAATGAATTATAAATTAAGAAAGTCATTAACAAACCGAAACCACGTCTCACCATGGAGCAAGGAAATTCCTTGCTCCATGGTCTCACGTAAAGGTACCGAGCGGTAAAAAAGTACGGTGATGAAAGCTGTCTTCGACACTTGCCACCAGCCGTACGTGATACTGGTACAGTGCAGCAGCGATATGCAGGCATGCTTTCCCAACAGCGGACCACACCATTTGTGGTAACAAAGGGGTGTTCTTTCTTGGGAACAATAATTACCAATATTTTCGCTGTTTAAAAAAAAAGAAAAAAGACCACTACAATTTTTATGGCGTTCGAAACATTTTTTTATTACATAATCAGTTGTTCAACGTCACAATATATTTTGTTTTCTTGAAATGTATTCAAGAAACGATGTAAAACTCAAAAGAGGGACTAAATCACCCCTTACAAAATTAATGGAATCGTCTATTAAAATGTCGGCTTCGTTTTGACTATTTCCAAAGAAAGTCACGATCGAAACTTGAATTTTTCTCGCAACTAATCGCAACAATTTGATAAGTTTTGAGGTAAAAACGGACCTGTTTATTCTTAGGACAAAACAAATCAGCATCTGTTGCCACAAAGCAAGATTTGTAGCGCTCCAGTCAGACAACACACGGTGGGTTTCATACTCTCTCACGTGCTGTGGGAAAATGTTGTCATTCACCGGCGTGCGTGGCGCAGGCTGCCGGGCTATGACGGGGCAGCCGGCAGCAGTTCCCGGTGTTTATTTCTCATCAATTCCCATAATTGTTTGTAAAAGTATCAATTGTAAATGATTTGATATAACTTTTGTGGTCCTTTTAATAGCTTCTGTAGTGTGAATGGAACTGGTTCAGAGCATTTTGACTAGAATTTGGAGGCCTTACAAAATTGAAACCGCAGCGGTCGGTGCGGCTTATACGCCGGTGCGGCTTATACGCCGACTTCAAATCTTAATTTGCAGATTTTTGCGTGCTGCGGCTTTTACGCCGCGCGGCTTATATTCCGAAAATTACGGTAAGTGAGAAATAAAACATCACAACATGCAAAGCGGCGACGCTTTGTGATTTGCGTTCGCTGGAATTTGTAGTCTCCAGTATAATGCAAAACCTCAAAAGAAGCTGCCCTTTTTTTTCGCTTGGAGAATTTCCGTTAGGCCAAAAAAAAAAAAAAGTCGGTCTCTGGTCAGCGCGCGCGTCGATTTTAATCATGGGCGTCGATCTTTTTTTTTTTCCAAAATGTTCCGCGGTAGCTCCAACAGCGCCCTCTATTTCCGCACCTCCTCAATTTTTTTTACCAAAGAGCACCAAGGAATGGGAAATTGCACCAAGGCAAATGATCGAAAGCATCAAGGCAAATTATGGAGGACACCAATGTACACCAAAAAAGCAAAATAGTACCTACCTTGTCTGTACAATCCAAGCTTGAAAAAAAAAAAAAAAAAAAAAAAAAAAAAAAGCCGCGTGGCCGCATCAATTCCGGAACTCTGGTCTGACCAGACACCGAATATTATTTTTTTTTGGCCTTATCCGCCATATATATTTTCATAAATTCTCTCGCCAGTAATGCTTGGTGCTGTGGTTGATGAAACTAATTGATTGAGCATTGCGCTCTGGAAAAGGCGTGGGAATTGATTTGTATATTTTTGGTGGTGTAACTTTGAAGAAGTTCCGTTGTTCATATGTTCTCAGACTGTGACCTTAGGTGCTGAAAACGATGCCAAAGAAGATCAGGCCAACTTTACTCACTGGCCAGCAAATTTCTCCCTAACCCTGCTGAATCCAACAGGATCCAACTATGTCACATACCCGATGGAGCCTGTTGGATTGAGCAGTTAACCCCTTGTGTACATTCCTCATGCAAAATGTTGGATTCAGCAGGCAACTGAACCGCATTATAACACCATGTTGGACTCCGTTGGATTCACCAGACGACTGAAAATAAGGCACAGTGGATTAAGCAGGAAACTCCGGTTGGACTCTGTTGGATTTAGCAGGGTAGTCCTGAGGACGTACTTGGGGGTTTAAATTAGGAGTAATATGGTAGTTGGCCTGCGAAAATTACTTCATCTTGGTTATGCCGTAGCCTCCACAAAAGCCTGTTTTAAGCATTTTTTACAAATCATTTTGAGGGTTAAAAAACAGTAAATGTCCACATTTCATCAAGGTTGCCACTGGGGGAGGGAGATTAATTACTCTTGAGGTACAAATCAGCATTGTTAGTGATTTGGTTGAAAACAATTAAAGTTACTGAGCCAAACTTAATTGCTGTTAAAATTGCTACTTCATGTATTATACATGTACCCAATTTTTGGAATCTTGCTCTTTAAATCTTAAACAAATGACCACACTTTTATGATTTTCTTTTGATCATTGCATGCAGGGTGATATTGAAGCCATTGACCCACATGGCCGGAGCCCACTGCACCTGGCTGTGACCTTAGGTCATCTAGAGAGTGTACGCATCCTCCTACGATACAATGCACAGGTCAACATTGAAAACAAGGGTGGCTGGAATGGTATGCCCAAGAAGATTTATGGCTTTTTAAGGCACAGACCAAGTTGCATATAGTTTTGGCTGCAATGGGAGATTTTTGAGGTCCTTTTCAATTGTTTGCCGTTTGTGTCATGTTTAACCTAATGTGCGCATGTTCAAGCTAATGTGCGCATGTTTAAGCTAATGTGCGCATGTTCAAGATGATGCGAACAATAGAAAAGGACTGGTGTGTTTGCTGCCACCAAGCGTTCCAAAACTCTCCCATTTAAGATATCTTTTGATGGAAGCTTTTGAGACATTAATTCAATTTGATTCTAGTTTTTGAAAGAATTTTCATTGGGTAGGTGAGAAATTTGAAGGTTTTATGTTTATTTGTAATCATTGGGTTTGCTCTCCATTGATCAGGAGGTAGTGGGTTCAAATCCAATCCACTGCAGCACTGAGTATACATGTACAGTGTTGCAATCCCATTGTTAATAATACAGTGTGGATATGCTGGACAATATGAACCAAAGTGATCACCACTTTTTGTTCAAAGTAAGGTTGAAAAGAAAAAATTGATTGGAGATAGATTTGAATCTATCATCTCTGGAACAAATTGGTCTGCTTGTACAGTAGTTGGGGTTAAATGTAAAATGTAGCCTAATGAAAATCTAAATTGGAGTCACTGGGTGAGTATTTCTCAGATCATTGACCCCACAACTCCCTAACAATTGTAAGAGTGTTCTAAAGGAAGGATCGGTCTACTCTTTTGTATGCCAACTCTTCAAACAAAGAGTGGAACAGCTACATGTACATGTACCATAAGAGTCTTGAACTTATGAGTATTCCTATCAGTTGCCCTCTGCCTATTCTAGGTCATCTTTAGAGTGACCAATTCCCCATCCTCGGGGCTCTGAGGACTGAATGAGAACCAACATCCCTCCCTAACATCTTGAAAAACATGACACAAATCCCACTGAAGGGTGAGGCATTGTTTGGGTGGGGTTTCGAGCATGAATCATCACGCAGTGTTTTCTTGTTCTGTTATGTAGCTTTACAGGAAGCCATTAGCACAGGGGATCCGGAGATAGTTCAGATAGTATTGCAGCATCGTGACCACCAAAGAGCAACATCTAGGATCTCAGGAATACCATTGCTGCTGGAAAAACTCAGACAGGTCGGTCTTATTGAGTCATTGATGTAAAAGCTTATTTCAGTCCTCCCTCTCTGGCTGGCAATTTCAACAAGGCCAGCCCAGCAGTCAAAATAAGTCAAGTGACTGTTTTTAACAGTTGAGTGCTCCCTGCCTTCATAAAGCAGGATTAACTGGCTGTGATTGTTTTAAAAACCTGATATGCTTTGACTGTAGGAGATTTATAAGCCAGCTGTGCCTATCAGTTACCTGCTTTTATCTGTTGATGGAATTTGACTGTCACAGTGCCTATAAGAAATATGAGTTGACTGTTGGTGACTAGCCTGTGTAAAAGGCATGACAGGGAACAGGATTGAATTGAACAAAAGGAGGGTTAAAGTAGGCCTTCCTGCTAAGCACTTTATCCTGAACTCTCATCATTTTACAAAAGTTCTGCTGAGACTGTTTGACTTTCAGAAGAGTTGCAGGTCTTAGTAGGTTGTTTCCAAATTATAAATACACGTATGTCTATAGGAAGTGACTTCACAGCTGCTTCCATAGGCACGTGTGTTATTGCTGGCCAAAGCCGAATAAATCAAACACAGCCTTACCTTCAGCGATGCTTGACATAATAACGTGTTCAGTAAACCATGATTGTGTGTTGATTGTTACAAAGAATATGTAGCCCCAGCAATTTAATATTGTTACATGTGTTATCATTAGTGCTATTAGTTAAAGACCATATTTGTTATTTATAAATGCCTGATTTAATGCAGCCTTTTGTAACTTCTTTTCAGGCACCTGATTTTTATGTGGAGATGAAGTGGGAGTTTACAAGCTGGGGTAGGTATCACATATTCCATTTGATTAGTTGTCTCCACAGAGTTATATAATGTCCTTTTCTGCCTGCTCAGCAAGGAATATCAGCACCCACAATTTCTCCTAGAAGAGTTTGTTGAAACTGCAGAAAGTCAAGGAAGAACCATCGGTTGAGTAGTGGTTGATAAGTTAAGTACCGTCTGGCTTCACACTAATATGTATGGGAATCATCCCTAAAGGTGAACTATCCTCAAAGATCAGCATGTAAGCTTTTGTTTCAAACATTCAGCTGAACATTCTGATAAGCTCATTGCTCAAAGCTAGCGCGCCGGCAGGTTCCACATGCGCGCAACACCAACGCGCGCTCAATGAATGCAGTACGATATCACCCTTATTATCCAGACGCGTGGCCGTCCTAGACCAATGAAATTACAGTATCCAAGCACATGATATAACAATGATATTTAGCGCACTACTTCGATAGGAGAGTTGGTCCAGAGTAGTTGACTAGACAAGTCTAGCCATTGTTGACTAACGTTTGCTAAGGGCCCATCTCAATTCATATGGGGGAGGAGTTCTGGACAAGTTGCAGACATTGTATCGGGTATAAGTTGCAGGATTCTGAACAGCTTCCCTAGAATCTTCCCGCAATGAAATTATCAGTAATGGTGAGTTAAGCCGTTGCTAATGAAAATTTCCCCAGAACATGTCCAGGACAAATGCAGAGCTTGTTCCAGACAAAGTAAATGATTTTGCCCGCAACTTGTCCGGAACTTGCCCGGATATGAATTGAGATGGGCAGTAAGAATACACCGATTCATTAAGCCCGCCCCCATGGTGATGTGACCTATCACAGCCGTGATGTCTGATGCAATGATGCACCTGTTAGGATCATGCAGTGTGGTATTTGGGAGACGCACATATGTTTTGCCAAGGTGCGCAGTGGGCAGGACTTAATGGAGTTCTATTTAAAGGATCTTGATGTTCCTCATTAGACACTTTTTGTTTGTTTTTCAGTGCCGTTAATGTCGCGTATTTGTCCACATGATACCTACCGTGTTTGGAAGAGTGGACCTAATGTTAGGATTGACACTACACTCATTGGATTTGACAACATGACATGGCTAAGGGGAAGTCGTAGCTTCATCTTCAAGAGTGAAGGTCAGTTTTGAGTGAGGTTAGGGGTGTCGTAGGGGTGGGGGGGGGGGGGGGGCTTTCACACACCCCTTATTTGTTTTTGTTGCAAAATTGTTCTTTCAGTCAAGTTGTGTGTCTGTCGTGGAGTGTCATGGCCTAGCGGTTAAGAACACCGGACTCATGTTCTGGTGTTTCAGAGGCAACAGTGACGTGGGTTCGAGCCCGCCGGCGGACACTTGTGCTCTTAAGCAAGGCATTTAACCATTATTGCTTCGTCCTTCGGATGGGACGTTAAGCCGTAGGTCCTGTGTGTTGTATAAATGCACATAAAAAAACCCAGTAAACACTTATCGCTAAGAGAAGGGGTTTGCCCCGGTGTTTCTGGCCTCCTGTATAAACTCCCACGTGGAGTATTTAGGAGAAGAACCAACCAAGAACCAAGAACAATCTGCAATGAATAGTGCCACCTATCGTCCAATAATGTCCAGTTGCATCTGCTGTGAACATTGCCCCATTAGTCAGATGGTACGCAGCATTCCCCATACCCCTCCCCCCCCCCCCAGGGACAGAGAAAGCATTCTTTATAACCTAGACCAGTGGTCTTTCAGCAATCTTGTCACACCCACCATTCCAATCGTTATGGAGACACCTGTGGGTGAGAGGTTTCATTGAGGAAGTTTCTATTCAACCGACCAAAATTATGGATCAGGATTATGAAGTCTGGTTAAGAAAAATTTCACTTATTCAACCCCATTTTTTTTTTTAATGAATTGTATGCTTATTAAACAGAGGTGTAAACTTCTTGTGGGTATATTTTAAAAGCCTCAAATTTGTAAAACCAAACAACTGGTTGATTTTTCAGATGAGTGCAGTGCAGGAATGATTTTTTTAAAAACTAGACAGGTGTACGAACGTTCTTTTTTAGACCAAAAAAGAAGCATTATAATTTACAACATATTGAAAACATTGTGAATCTATAACTTTGATAAAATTAAACATTTTGACTTCAAGTTTCGTTTTGATCATGCAGATAATTGGGTAAATTCAAAAACAGGAGTCTGTGATCAGACTAATTGGTGTTTGGTACCAAGATGTCCACATACAAAAAAACCATGAACTGATGAGACTTACATGCTCTATTCGACTCAGTAAACATCTTTATTTATGTATTGATTTTCTTTTCTCTGTACGTTACTTTTCACTAAAGATGACCACAAATTCCAGTTCATGGAGATTGATCATGACAAGCAGGTCGTCTACGCCGAACTTCTTGAACTTCAACCTCATCATGACCTCTCACGTATGCGACCTGCGGAGGAAGCCATAGCAACCAGATTGACCTCCTCCATCACCAACACTTTCATTGACACCGATAAGATTGAATTCACAAGGTCAGTTTCATGACCTCTAATTGCTGTCTCATTGTAATACATGAACATCAATTAAACTGCTGCAAACTGCTCAAATCAAAACGTAAGTGGCCTGATATTTCTGAAGAAGGCCTTGCTGAGGCTGAAATATCAGACCACTGTAATTTTCATTACCCAAAGTACAAGTTCACCACTAATACATTTTTGTAGCAGCACATTGAATTTCTAATTCTAAAACAGTTCACATAGTCAGTATTGTCGAAGTGATATTTAAAATTGTTTTGACACATCACCAATAATGGATGTTTTTTTTTATTAACCATCATCAGATATTTTCCAGAATTTTGTTAGAATGAGAACATATTTGGCAGGAAATCTGATTATATGAAATTTATTAGAACAAAATGAATTGGGTTTTATTTCATTGTATTAAATCTGGAAGTCTCAACATCAGTGTTGTCAGTCTATTACAGTCGTTTTCCTATTTCCTGATCGTTTTAAATGAAAACCTACATCTTTTGGATTGGTCTCCAACACTTTTTCATCCGACGAAGTGCGTTTTGAAAAGTAAAATGTAAGCTGCTTCTTGATACACAAATATCTGTTTGATAAAATGTCTAGAAAAGGAATTTTGGCCAGATATCCATCCTGCACTTTGACATGTTCGGATGGTTTGTAGAAAATCACAGCAGCCGCAAATCGATGATAAATTTCCTCCTCGGTATGTCACTCAGAACTTGTGACTTTGAGCATTTTTAGTTGTTCTTCTACAGTCGTATTAACTCTTGCATCAAATATTTGTATATCGATATAGGTTGAAGAGTTTAAAATATTTGAAAATTTGCCAACGACGGGACGTATGTTTTTTTTACCAGTTCTGGATTGTGTGTGTCCGTACGGACCCAACTACACGCATGTAATGGATTTTATGTCACATGTGTGATTAGTCAAAGGTGTATCGATCCGTGGCTTTGCACTGCAGATGAAAGTTTCAAAAACATTTGCATTAGTTCTCTTAATTTAAACTGTATTTCGAAAAATTTAATACTTTAGCAGAAAATCTGCCTGACTCGGGTTGGTTCTGACTGAAAAATTTATTTTCTTGCATGATTATAAATTTTGTACACATGAACATTTTTTGACCCAATCCAGAATTGTTTGAACCTATCCGGAATTACAGCGTGTCCCAATAAACATTGTGCATGAAGAAATCGCTGATTTTCTCAAAAGTTGGTCAGACTAGCTAATCAAATATTTTAGCATTTTCAAGCCTATGGTCTTGTTAATAATTGGTGAAAACATCAAGAAAATCCAGTGTTGCAAACCAGAGATATCTTTGATTTGGTAAGGCTATGTAATTTTTGACCTGCACAATGTAATTTCCACGCTTAGTATATTTATTAGGTTATTGGTATGTGTTACGCAGTGCTTGAAATATTGCATGGCCTTTATGTTGCATTTGGATGCTCTCAGATAACATTTTGGGAACATAACATTAAATAATCAAATCTAAAAGCACGTGGTGACTGCTCTAATTTCAAATTACTCGAGCATCAATGTTGTATCTATGGAGACCCTTTTGACGTTCTTTGTTAACATGCTTAACCTATTGAGCAAATCAGTGACTTCTTTATGCACAATGTTTATTGGGACGCTGTACATTAGGAAAACTGGCATCGTCACTTTTGATGTCCCATATTCAAAATTAAAAGAGCTTAAATTATTTGCACATGGTGTTCCGCAAACCTTTCATGTATCTGCACCATGCAAAGCCTCAAACCTTACTTAGCTTAAATTTGGAACACAGTTTTGTAGTATCTCTGTCACTCAAGGTTAATTATTAAACCCATTTCACTTAAATTTGTGGATTAGTTGAGCCAAAAGCAGCCTGAATGATATTCGCTATCCAGAACTAGGAAAACGACTGTACATGTACATTGTATTAACCGTAACCATCCAAAAAGTACTGTTTTGTGGATCCACATGACACAAACTTTGCTTTTACTATTTTTATGACAAAATATTTCGATTCATTTTCAATTTCACTACGTAAATTTGTCAGTGATAGATCCATACATTTTAAAAGGTAATTTGTGATGTCACAATTTTAGTTATCAGGTTCTCATACCATGCAACCACTTAATCCAAATAAAAATTGCAAGGATTTCAAAAATACATTTTTTTAAAGCACATTTATTGAATTCTTTCAATAAGAAAACAAACGTTTCAGTGTTTTTAATATAATTGAGCTATTTTAATTCAACAATTTACTCATGAGCAATTCAACTATAATTTAACAATTAAAGGAACGCTTTTAGTTTCCCTAGATTCAGTTTTTGAGTTTGAGTTTTTGAGAGGGCACTGTAACCAGTCAAAAATGTTATCATGTAGTGCCTGATCAGGCTTTATTTACAAGGACAGACAATAGAAAGTCCATGGTGTGCAAATTATTTTTACCTAAATTCAATAACTGTTGTCTGTCGATTTTGTAATATGCTTTCATAAGCCACAATTCTTTTTGAAATGATCATTTTTAAATCCCACAAAATCCATATCTGAGTACTACCGTCCGCAATCCTTCCCAATCCTCAGAAAGGGTTTGATGAATTTTGAAGAATCCAGGAGGGTGAAGACTAAGTAATCTCCATATTGTATTCATCTTGTCTACTTCAGACTCATACAAATTTAAAAGAATGGAATTGAATTAACTTTATTATGCCTTACGGGAAATTCTGTTTGGCTTTTTACATCACACACAGTAATTAGTACATTCAAAATCAGTGTTGCTAAAAGTAAAGAAAGAAAACTCAAGTGTAGCAAAAGACACTTAAGACTTTTTTTTGGACATTAAATCAACCACAAAGCCGTTTTTCGTTAGTGTGTTTAATGTTTTTTTACATGTACTTTTTCCTAAAATCTTATTTTTTTCTCCTTTAGGAGCAAAGCAGGTATATGGGGCTGGCGACATGACAAAGTGGAGACCATCAACAGCTACGATTGCAAAGTGTTTGCTGCGTCCAACGTCCAGCTGACAACCAAAACAAGATCGGAACATCTCACCAGAGAAGACAAGGAGAAAAACAAACAAAGTGGGTAATTTACGGCAAATATGAATGGAACTTTGCATTATGGTAGGGTTGCAGTCAAGTCTGATCACAGGTCTACCACAAGACAATCACAAGTAAAAGAAAGAACATTGACAAAGAAATGCATTTCATTTAGGTAGCTTGGAATAAAATGGATGCTGACTTGTACTTGCTTGTGAGGACCATTGATGCATTATATGGTGTCAATTTTAATCATTGTTTTAACCGTCCTATGCAAACATACATTCTGTGCCAAGTAGTCCTTGCAGTCAAAATCAATAAAGTGACTGTTTTCAACAGTTAAGAGCTCCCAGCCTACATAAAGCAGGATTGACTGCCTTGGACTGTTTAAGTAACTTGATACAGCTATGCTTTGACTCCGGTTGAGTGATAAAATAGCTGTGATCACAACTTGCCTGCTTTGTCTGTAGACCCAGTTTGACTAGTCACAGTGCTTGCTTGACATCTGATCTGACTGCTGGTGACTAGCCTTTGTTAAAAAGTGTAGCAGGGGAAGTGGAAGTGAATTTTCACTGTTTGTGACTGTTTCAATAGCAGGAGGGTTAAAGATATTGCAACACCCTAAAATCTGTCTATGCACACATATAAGAAAGATAAGATACATGTAAATGCATTTATTATTGTTGTATAAACTTGTGGCTAAAACCATGTTTGCTGCATGTGGGTTCATAAACATACACACTTCATTCTTTGCTCTTAACTCCAGGTACCAGTGTGTTTACATCTCCACTTCAGTCATTATTAGGTGTTGCCGAGCAACAGCAGGAAGAAATATCAGGTCAAGGGGTGAGTGTGCACCACTGTGCATCACAACCAATAAGAATGTGTCATTTGAGTCACATGACTGTCAGTAACCAATCATGTGTGTGGCTTGCAAAGGTGTCATATTTATTTTGTAATTATAGCAAAGTTCTGTTGTGATGGACATCACTAATACTTCAAATTTGTGTTTATGCACTGATAAATTCATGAACTCATAGTGTGCTTGGGTGGTTTTGGGCGCTACAGAGAATAAGACTAGGCAGGGTGATTTGGGAGGTACAGTGAATAATGGGTTATTCTTTGTGTAATTTACAAGATATTTGCAATAGTTGCATTCTAGTGTGCATTAAGGGTTTTAAGAGTTAAGGGTTTAAAATAATTGTATTGAATTAAAATCAACTCCTCACCAGTCAGTCACAACTCCGATACTCCGTCGTCCAGTCTCAACTCTCAACAGAGTTGTACTGATTCAAGTCAATGGGTCGTATGTATAAAACCTAGCATTTGCTTTTACTACCTATATTTAAGCATTTACTTGCATTTGTATGAATAAAAATGAAGCAAATGCTTTTACCGGAAAGCATTTGCTGAAAGCTAAAAGTATTTACTTTTTACTTGTCAGCTTTTGCTAGACTAGAAGTGTTTGCTTCATTTCGTATGAATAAAAAGGAGTAAATGCTTCAGATTTCAAGTATTTACTGGTCATTTTTCAAGGCTGGGTTGGGGCAACCTTCAAAATATAAAGCAAATACTTCTGCGCAAAAACTGCTGCATTTATTAATATTAATCGCGTCAAAATTAACACAAAACATTAAAAAACTACATATAATACCATACACTGTATTTTTCAGTAACGTGTATGCGAAATTTAAATATTTTTTTATTATTGATAATTTTGCATTTTGTTCACAATGTTAGCTTGTTATTAGCGTGAAATTCAGCACGACATAGAATGATTAAGGATAAATTGTATCCAACGGCACCCTGGGGACTGAACAAAATGAAATCATTTTTTAGTTATCAGGTCACCAATCTTTGCAAACTAATATTTTTAATATTTCAATAAACAAAACTCTTTGTGTATTGAATGTAGGTATGATTTTACCCACTTTAGTCATGTCTGTGATTTTTGTGCAATGGTGACGTCTACAGGACACTGTGGACCTTTACAATTTTTATAAATGATGAAAGTATACTTTCTGTATTCTGCAACTGGCGAAAAGTGTCATGATTTTTGCTGGATTTGAGAATCAAATGTACTACTACATGTACTGTACCGGTATGCATCACCTTGAATTGGACTATTACCCTCCGTGTAAACCCTCCGTGTGTGTGCAGTTTGTACACACAAAATAAACCCTATTGTTGACAATCATTCGTCCATGAAAGCAATCCAACAGTAAGAAGCACTTGCTACCTGTTGTCTAGTAAATGCTGAACAGTAAAGGAAATCTTTTATTCATACGAAATCAAGCGTTTGCTTTTCCTTAATGCTTGTACTCCAAAGTAAATGCCTTTTCTTTTTGCTTAAACTTCCTAGCATTTGCTAGTTTTTATACAAACAACCCATTGCCCGCATCATTCAATAAGAGGACTCCCAAAATGAAAGAGCGCATGTGTACAGACTAGAGGGGGTACTGGTATTGATATGCTGGCGACGCATATATGCAGTAGGAAACCCCTTGTCTTGGCTGAGCTGTGCAGCGACACCGATGCAGCAATATCACGGGCCGTGCCAAACCACTTTTCACTCGACACTTCTTGCCAACTGCAGTACAGGAAGACAATGCCAATGCGTGATTTTTGAATGCCGACTTACACACAGGATTTTGTTATGCTTTTTATGGAAAGGGGACCGAGAGTAATACGATGAATTTAGCGAAATGGCGACTTATAAACGCTAACTTACAATATGGAAATGTATTACAGACAATCGGGACTTAAGTCAGACGGCCAACTTGAGCGATTTGACGAGTTGTACAATGTCAACTTGGCCAGAGTTTACTATAAATGCTGAACAGTAAAGGAAAACTTTTATTCATACGAAATCAAGCATTTGCTTTTCCTTAATGCTTGTACTCCAAAGTAAATGCTTTTACTTTTTGCTTAAACTTCCTAGCATTTACTAGTTTTTATACATACGACCCAATGACTCGACTCGAGTCTGACTCGTCACAAATTTTGGTGACTCGACTCGACTTGAGTCACTGCGAGCAAATGACTCGACTCGACTCGAGTCCCTCATCAGAAGACTCAACTCGACTCGAGCGAAGGCTAATAAGACTCGTGTACCAAAAATAAAAGCACAATTTTTGGAAAAATATTTGCAATGAAATACTAAGCAAAATTTCTGTTTACGTCACTTTGCGAATTCATTATGGTACAGCAGCCGCTTGTCATGTACAAACATATAAAGTGTCACAAACTCCCACTTCATGGTTCTGGAACGCACAAAATACTATCAAGGTACCGGATTTACGCACATTTTCAAATTTGTTGTTACATCATTGGCTTTGGGCGATTTCTTATAAAGCTCTTGGATTCGAATACCGGCTAAATTTATGCCCACCTTTTAAAAATTAAATAAATACATGCCTACTTTTAAATAATAAGAGACACTTTTGTGTTATGCAATTATTTGGTTTTGTTGTCTGCGATCAGCGGAAAAAATTCTAGACCCAAAGCAAAACCAGATCAGACCAAAGTTTCACTTCTTGTTAACTGTTAGTGATAAAAAAGACTTGCTCTCTTGTCTTTATTTTGTTATATAGTGTTCAAATAATTGTGACTCAAATTGACTCAAGCTACATATTTGACTCGACTCGACTCGACCTTCTTGACCTAATGACCCGACCCAAGTCACTTTTTTAAAATGACTGGACTCGACTGGATTCACAAACATCAGTGACTTGTTACAACTCTGACTCTCAAAACTTTGATGTGTCTTGTTATTGACGTAAGGTATGATTTGTGATACACTTGACAGGATCAAACTATGCTTGAGGGCTAAATCCTGCGCAATTGTATTATTTATACAAATTGCATCTCTGTTTTTCAAAACTCATAAATTTGAGATGTATTTCCTAAATGAAATAAACTTACCAGAATGGAGACTTTAAGAAAATGTAATGAAATAAATTTTTACTGAATAGATATTGATGCAGTTTGAATGGATTTTCTGCCCACAGACAGACGAATTGTCGATAACCAACCCAGTCAATCCTACAGACATCAGGCCAGAGGAATACTTCAATGCTGACTTCGATCTGTCTACCCGAGATATCGGCAGACCCAAAGAACTCGCAACTAAAGTACAGAAGTTCCGAGCGACGCTTTGGCTGAGTGAGCACCATCCCCTCTCACTACAAGAACAGGTATGAAGCATTACAGACTGCTGTTTGGCAATGGGATTGTAAGAAATTATCTGTTAGTGTTTAGTAAAAATCATGTTGTTCATTAATTTGTTTGAATAACTTGGCGAACGAAGTGAAGATGTAATTAATAAAGTAACTAGTACATTAGTGTTTCGAACTGCATTATTTTGGTTGTTGTTTTTTATAGGTCTTGCCTATTATTGATCTAATGGCTATCAGTAATGCCCACTTTGCTAAGCTGAGGGATTTCATAACGCTGCAACTCCCCGCTGGATTCCCTGTCAAAATTGGTGAGTTAGTCTGTCGGTCTATCTGTCCATCCTTCTGGATAGTTATCGGACATTTGATGGTACTTCTAAGTATGAGGCTAGGGGTACTTTGTTGGAACTTTAAAAAGTTTTAATTCCTGAAAATCAGGCAAGATTGATTGATCATACTAAATAGTGGCAAGTGATATATTATTTAAGTGTTATAATATTATTTTGTGTAGCCTGCAGCCAAAATTGATCACATTCATTTTTATACTCAAATTATTTCCTGTATTTTTTTGACCCTTTTTGGCAGAAATTCCCTTATTCCACATTTTGAATGCCTCCATCACGTTTGGCAATCTCTACGCTAACCGGGAACCTGTGAACGGGGTTACCAATGTCGTAGTTGAGGACCTAGCCAATCCTGAGGCCAAGCAAGACGACAGTACGAGGGACAATGATGCAGACAAAGACACAGATGAGAGTGAGGCCCCCATGACAGTCTGCTCAGTTGATCCCTCGGTGTTTGACGTCCCCCAGGGGTATGGTTTGTACCAGACTGGGGAGGTACGGTATGGGGAGGATGAGTTGTTACAGCTGGCCATACAGCAGAGTCTAATGGAAGGCAGTAATGAGGAACAGGTAGGAATACAACCATCTATGGTAATAGGCTCATCCGTGTACGGTAGGTACAGTAGTAGTCTTGAGGGAAGTTGTTTTCAGCAGGGCTATTCATGAGAGACGGTACGGCTTTGTACCGTGCAACTACATGCTTGTCACTTATTGTCCCGATAGAGGGCATTTTAATCCCATCCGTGAACCTGGCTTGGTTGATGAACTGCATGCAAAGCTTTCCAATGCCCAGTTTCTTTACTGCAAACTTGATTGCATCGTCAATGCAGTCTGACATTTTTTTCCCACCAAATGACGCTTACAGGACTGCTAGGTGTACAAACGTGGCTTGGAAATAGCATGCAGTACGTACAGAAACTAGACCAGTGAGCTGTCCAAGGTGTAGCGACATGTGATGCGCGTGTGCAAATGCACACAAAATTCTGCTCAGAATTTCCCAAGCAGAAATACGAGATTCCCAAGACGTCGTTTGCGGCTTGTTGGCGTGTGTAAAGGCCATCTGCTTTGGTGAATCACTGCACAGTCCACTAACCCATGCATGCTGAAACACTGCACCGCAAAGGACATCTCCGAACCAATACTACACTAGCTGGGACTTTGGGACATACATTGAGTTCACAATCTTAAATTTGTGGTTTGTTGGGGACTTATTTTACTTTTACTCCTCTTTAGAATGTCCCCTGAAGAGTACGGTAAATTGATTTTACTTTTTTGCTTAACAGATGGCCATTTTAGATTCAATGGGCAGAGAACCATCGAGACGGAGTGTTGAGGACCAACTGCTTGACAGGTGAGGCAATGGGTGATAAAGTAATGTCCATGGTGTTAGGATGGGGTGTGGGGGAAGGGCCTTAGCGATATATAGGGGCAGTCTTGATATGCAATGGGTGATAAAGTAATGTCCATGGTGTTAGGATAGGGTGTGGGGGAAGGGTCTTAGCGATATATAGGGGCAGTCTTGATATGCAATGGGTGATAAAGTAATGTCCATGGTGTTAGGATGGGGTGTGGGGGAAGGGTCTTAGCGATATATAGGGGCAGTCTTGATATGCAATGGGTGATAAAGTAATGTCCATGGTGTTAGGATGGGGTGTGGGGAAGGGTCTTAGCGATATATAGGGGCAGTCTTGATATGCAATGGGTGATAAAGTAATGTCCATGGTGTTAGGATGGGGTGTGGGGGAAGGGTCTTAGTGATATATAGGGGCAGTCTTGATATGCAATGGGTGATAAAGTAATGTCCATGGTGTTAGGATGGGGTGTGGGGGAAGGGTCTTAGCGATATATAGGGGCAGTCTTGATATGCAATGGGTGATAAAGTAATGTCCATGGTGTTAGGATAGGGTGTGAGGGAAGGGTCTTAGCGATATATAGGGGCAGTCTTGATATGCAATGGGTGATAAAGTAATGTCCATGGTGTTAGGATAGGGTGTGAGGGAAGGGTCTTAGCGATATATAGGGGCAGTCTTGATATGCAATGGGTGATAAAGTAATGTCCATGGTGTTAGGATGGGGTGTGGGGGAAGGGTCTTAGCGATATATAGGGGCAGTCTTGATATGCAATGGGTGATAAAGTAATGTCCATGGTGTTAGGATAGGGTGTGGGGGAAGGGTACGTCTTGGCGATATATAGGGGCAGTCCTGATATGAAGAAGCTTGGAATGACTCTTGTTCTTTTGCATGGTGGGAGCACAGCCAAAGAGTTAAGTTTTTGGTCAAGCGATGTTAGTTATAGGAAGTCATGGACACTTTAGGTACTTCTAAATTGTCTTATTTACATGTAGTTCTGGTTTGTTGGCCTCAGTGGTTCTGGATGGAGAACTGAATGATACCATGGCAACCAATGAAATCTTGAGTGCACAAGGATGAGTTTTCATTGGCTGATATGAGCTCCGTGCACAATTAACCCTTCAACGGTTACAAAGGGAGAGTTGGTGAAGACCATTGGGCGAGACATTCAAACGCATTACTGACAACACATAACGCACATGCTTAGATGCTATAGTTTTGTATACATTTAGAATACAATTGGTGGTGTGCATACTTTGCACCGTCCCCCACTGGAGTTCTCAAAAGTGGTCAAATAGTGCCCTCTATTATTCGCGCATGGAGCCCATATCCCAGCCTGTGCCTAGTGGTGTTCTACTGTTTACTGTTCATCTGTGATAATTAATTAGTGTTCTGTTTTTTCTTTGTGATTTCATAGAGCAATTCAAGAAAGTTTACTCTGCAGCCGACCAGACGGAGATGCTCCCTCTGAACCGACCTCTGACCCAGCCTCTGATGCAAGCTTTGAACCTGTCACCGTGACGGCTAATTCCATCCACCCCTCTGACAGGCCTCTCCCAAGGCCACCAGTAGAGGGCCCTGATCAGCTTGAGCTGGCGCTGCAGCTGTCACAGCAGGAGATGATGGAGGCGGAGCAACTGAGGAAACAGGAGGAGGAGGAGCTTGCCATGATACTACAGCTGTCACTCACTGAGAAATGACATCTCAGAGGACACACCCATGTGCACATCTTGGGAATGGACTCTGCTTATGGCCTGCTTGAAGTTGCTTTCCCATAGATAAGATGTGCCTCTCCGTCTTGGACAAGGAATGAGACACTCCTGGGATTTTGGTAAAAGAATTGTACGTTACCCCAACAAAATTGGAAACGTTTGAATATGTGACCACACACACATTATTGATCAGATTTCTGAATATACATTTCTGAAAATGTAAATTATCCTCGAATTGAACAATTGAATGCAAGTATGTTTTACCCAAGATTTATGACTGTTGTACTTGTACTCAAGAAACATAAGATCAGGAATCACATATAAGTTTATGAGAAATATTTTCACATTTTAAAAAAGTTCTTGAAGCCTGATTTAACTCTGTGTGTATGGAATGCCAACATGTCGGCTTGAAATACTCCCACTAGAAAAGATGACTTCTCGACGCCGCAGCATATTGTTTTGTTCCGTCTAGGGCTGTGTCAATAAGCCTCTGCAGTAGTGCTTTAGTCTTGATGGTTCATTTTGCACATCAGCCAACAAAACGTGTGGACAAATCACAGAGGACTTTTTTTACCACAAATGCCATGGATGTATTTATTCATTCCCTCCCCATTTATAATTTTAATTATGTCTGTATATAATATGTACAGTGTGTATTATCAGATTATAGTCTTACTAGATACGTTTACCAAAACCCTGAAATTTGTTTTGTTAATCAAATATACATATAAATGTCATGGAAGTTGTGATTGGATTCATATGTGTAAGGCATGCAGATAATTTTTGTCCAGAATGTTTACAATAAAAAAGTACATTTTTTTTATCATTTCTAGATGGGTTCTTTTGTTGTAGTTTAGCAAGTTTACATGTTGTCATTAGGAGTTACATGAGCTTTGACTTCAATAATGAAAACGATTATGAGTTTTCATTTTTTAGATCCGTAAACTTGTGCAAATTAAGAGAGAGTATAAACAGTTCCTATTTCGTTTTCCTTGCTGGTGCTCTGTTGAAGTACATTGTGCATGAATAATATTGGTCTTTTTTCCGTCTTTCGTGTTCACAGAAAATCTAGGCTCAGTAATGGCTTAGACAATGAACTGAATATGTTGTTCAGTATTTTTAACATTTGGTTGTAATTTCTGTCCTATCCTTCTAGCTGTTTTATAAGTTTTGCCTCACTTGATCTATAACGTTCACTTTTGGAACCCACATAAAATGGGTGCCATTCCAAAGATGTAAACATTTTTTGTCTTTTTGTCCATGTTAGAGCCATTGGTATATATTTTCATTAGTTGTCATGAGTACATTTTATGGCAATTTCCTTGAAAGACCTTTAAAGATACTTCACAGTTCATTTTATTAATTCTAGATCATTGAAAATTTAGTGTGTCACTTATCGACTGTCTAGATCTGTTGTTGTACTTTGATGCTGTTAGAGCTCTGCTGGATATGTGGGTCCAAGATGGGGGCAAATAATGGCAACATTATCTATCATTGCGAAGTAAGCCAAGACATTTGCTAAGCACAGAATCTACTTGCTTAGCAATAGCAGGTTACCAGCCAAAGAGTCATATTGCTTTGGATTGATTCTTAGCCGAGTTTTGCTTCAATAGCAGACAAATTGAGTAACTTCTATAAAAGTTACTGGATAGGTTACTACATTTCCTATATATCCTAGCTCCATGAAGCTGGTACATGGGGGACCTGGCACACATCTACGTTTATGTGTAAATGTTTCCAAAGTAGAAGTTTAAAGTTTACCATTTACAAAATAGTAAGGGTATTTAGAAACAAGGTGTATTGTGTCCACTGTGTGACCCATTGTTCTCATTTCTTAAACATTGCACTTGTTATTGTTACAGCGCCCTCTTGTGATTGAGCTCAAGAGCTATTCATGAGCAGACTGCATGATAAATGTACGTTGGACTTGCCAATTCTGTCAAAATTTAAAAGTCAAGTTTTGTTTTAAGAACAGAACGACTATTTGATCCTGGATCAGTGGAAAGCTGTCACTTTCCGTCCTTGGACATGAATCCAATTGGATTGATAAATGCAACCACAATGTAGTTGCAAAATAAGCAGCAAGAATTGAGAAGATAGTCACAGGAAATTGCAGGCAAATGTATTTGTACACATTTTATGTGATGTCATTTTGACCCTCATGTTAGTACACGTTACACATTAAAGATCTTTGAATATTTGTGCTGGTAGTACATGTACATACATGAATATGGAGGTTTTTTGTCGGTCTTCTGTTAAACATTTAAGTGTTAGAGGTTATCATTGGTTACCCTAACGGGATGGTTCTGCAATACGACTTGGGTCAAAAGTAGATCTGCGCCATGAACTTTGAATGGTTCCATAATAATTTGCACCATGACAGCAGGGAGCCCTACAAAGATGATACCATTGTGAAAAAGTTTGTGGTACATGTGTTTGAAAGTCTTACCCAATAGTGAGGTCTTGCCATATCGACTCTAAATCAGCTGTAGAAAGTTTATGCCTGCATTACGTGCAAGATGTGACATTTTTCTGTGAAATGAGTTATTGAAATTGTTGATTGAAACTTTTGATTTGCAAGACTGTATCTTGCATGGAACTTATTTATACATGTCACTGAATAGAATGGATTCGAGTATTAATGGTTGTATGATATTGAATGTAAATCTATCTCCATCAAGGATATAAAAACCACCAGATAAATGGAATGACTGCGTCCGGATCGAAAAGTTTGTTCTCAGAATTATTGAGCTTAATAGGAAACCCTTTGTCAAATCTTTAGGTACTCTCCTATGGACAAAATATGAAACTTCAAACACTTTAATACAGATATGTGCTCCTCTTGAGCAGTCCCCATTTTTAATATGCACCAAAAAACAATTACACCTTGCAATTGATAAATTATGCAAAACCTGTGCTCCAACTTTCCAATTAAAAAAAAATGCTAACTTTAGGTTCACTTTTCTTGAACTAGACTTTAAAGCCAAATAATAACACTATTCAATCTCTGTCTGTCTCATTTTAGGTGGTCTTACAAACAATATCGTAATTGTGAACATACATACTATATCTTGTTAAATATTCATCTGTCGATTCCCTACATGTACTTGCATATAACAACTAGACAAATTCCTTAAATCTTGTGCAACTTTTAACCATTTAGTTTTTACCATTACATAGAAATCTACAAAAAAGGAAAAAGTAATTGTAAAAATAAATTTAGGGAGTCTCCAATTCTCAAGCTGTCTATTCGCTCTTTGCATGCTTCCGCCATAAGCATGCACAGCCTCGATCAGGCAGGTTTACACAATAATTATAGCTGGTTTAGTGATTCCCGTGTATACATGGGAATCACTGAACCCCGACGGGAATCACTGAACCCGACAGGGGAGTCACTATATTTATTGTGTAAAGTTGCCAGATCGAGGTTCTGCATGCTTATAGCGGAAGCGTGCAAAGAGCTAATTAGAGTAATTTCAGTTTCTTAATCCTACACACCCAAAACTAACACAAATCCATCACCCACTTTTGCATGATTGTGATGCTCACCCCATCCACCATTACTTTTTATGTATTTTGTTTACTTATAAGTTGTCTGTTTATAACTTTTCTTACACTATAATTTGATGTCTCAGTTGTATTACCTAATGAAAAAAATATGTGAAATGAGGACACCGTGAAGTGTTATATGACAGAAACCCTGTGGTGGTGGTTGGGGGTTGTTGCATATGTAATGAATCCATCTCGCAGACTAGATACAAATACAAATACGCCTGCATGTAATAATTGCTGTTTGGAGCTCTAGGCAAATTTCCCAAAAGTCATGGTTACGATGTGGAAACTAGTAAAAAGTGAGCCATTTTAAGATTGGTTATGCTCTGTGCTCTCCATGATGGAGATATTGTCTTCAGTCGTTGTGATGATGACAGTGGTTGTCTCCAGTTCCTCGCCTTGTGGTTCTTGTACCAGGCCTTGTGGTTCTTGTACCAGACCTTGTGGTTCTTGTACCAGACCTTGTGGTTCTTGCACCAGACCTTGTGGTTCTTGTACCAGGCCTTGTGGTTGTTGTACCAGGCCTTGTGGTTGTTGTACCAGGCCTTGTGGTTCTTGCACCAGACCTTGTGCATCTACGACCCTAGTGGTGCTACCATCACCAGACAGCATCATGCTGTTGATGAGGGCCTGGCTAGTTATTGGGTCCACTTGCATGCTGCTGGAGCGAGGCATGGTGACTGTCGGGTTGCGTGGGTCGTGGCCAGGCTTGATGATCTTCAGAGAATAGTCAACTGCAGGGTAACCCTTAATTGAAAAACACACACAAAAAACCCCATGTTATTACCACAGGCCTTATAGGTAAAAGGAAAGAAACGAGAGGTCCATGCATGAATGCACAAAGATTTACAAGATTGCCTACCCCACAAATGACACAAAAGTATCCTAATCCAACAGCTAGAATAAATCAACTTTTTTTCTGATCAACAGGATTCAACAGACATTTTCCACCATTGGATCCTACTGGACTACATTTGTAGGTTGAGTTAATTGTGTCAATCACTGGCCAGTGTATACATGTAGGTACCGCAAACTTCAATTGGTCTCACTTAAAACAATACCTGAACCAATGTGCTAGATGAGAGAACATTGATGCATGGGCTGAAGAGCTGGGTAATATTTGCGTCTGTGATACCACCGCTGACCTCGATAATCAGCTGAGGAAATAAGTCCTTCAGATTGGCTGCTGCATCCTTCGCCGCCTGGTTATGTAAAAAAAAAAAAATGATATTCAGCAATCATGGTAGGTACTTTGCTCTTTATGTGTAGGAAAAAGTTTATTCGAGTGTGTTTGAAATCTGTCAAAATCCTACAACAATTTGTGCATGGTTCTCATTGTAGAGAGATAGAGACAGAGCTAGGATTACCTGAGGTTCAAAGTTATCCAACATGACAATCTCCGCCCCAGCTAGTGCTGCTTCAGTTGCTTCAGGCACACTGCGACATTCCACCTCGATCTTGCTGCTGAAACCACCAACTCGTCTGGCATCATGAACAGCCTGGGATGAAGTGTTGGGGGGGGGGGGGGGTTGAGAAACCCAAAACAAAGTAAATTGATTTCTTATTACTGGAAAAAAAAGGATGGTTAACTATAAGCTTGCAAGAGTTTGTCGTTTTGGACTTTACTGTGTACAGTTACAGATATATGATCACACGTTACTGGAGAAAAAAATCATGTTCCCTTAGGCATACTTAAAATTTGATCCCAGTTTTCTAAATAGTTATAAATAACAACTGTCATGACTGTTGCTTTGCACTCGTGGTACTGCAAAGCCAATAAGGTTACATTACTCTTTCAAAACATCACAGATGGTATCAAGTGCTTTAATTTGCTGTTACAGTTTCTGTGCCCTAACTACAAGTTACAAGACTGGTCCCAAATAGATGGGGCCTATGCTGCAGTAGGGGTGTCAAATACGATGGTTAGATGATAACTAATTGTACCTTTGTAATACTTCCAGCTATCCAGATATGATTGTCCTTCAACATGATCATACTGGACAAATCATAGCGATGCGTAGACACTCCACCAATCAGCAATGCATACTTCTCCACCATACGGAATCCTGGGGTCGTCTTGCGTGACCCAGCAATCTCTCCATGCCAATTGTGTGCCTGGGCAAGCTGAACAAATCGTCGTGCTTTCTTAGCAACTCCACTGGCGCGTGCTAGAATATTCAGTGCTAGCCTCTCTCCGAGCAGTATACGTCGAGCACGCCCTGTGATTGTTGCAACTTCACATGGTACCTCATACAATTCTGCCCCCTCCCGGTACTTCCATTGCACCCAGCAGTCTAATTCATTAAAGACTGCATCAACAAATGGCACACCAGCAAGTACACCAGGACTCTTACACATGATGACAGCGGTTTCTTCCAGATCACCCACCACAAACCCAGCATGATCAAAACTTGGTGTGTCCTCCAACAACCAACGTTTGACCGCTTCCTCTACGGCAGTTGGGTGCAAGACGTTCGGTATATCGAAGCTGGCCATATTGTTATAGGAACTGAGTCCATTCGGATATTCTAACGGTGCACTTGCCTTAGGTCCAGCATAAGAGCGATGTTTTGATGTCTGAGCGTGACGATGTAGGTCGTTGTTATGCGCCCGCAATCGACACTTGCAGTAGCGACACATAACTTTGGTGTCATCGTTCGGTACGCGGCCAATCCAGTCCTTAATGCCGGGTTTTCCCTCCCATTTTGTGTTATATTTCTTCTTGTATTTGCCCCACTTTCCCATTTTGCAAAACACTTGTAATTTCAGTTACAAACAAGACTGAATTGTCGAAAGAACGATAGGAAAATTGGGATTTTTTGTCCGAGCCAGCTTCAATCATTTGCAAGCCCGCCCTCTAGTGCTTACATTGTTTATTTTCTGTGACTTTAGAGGGCGCCCTTTTTCGGAACACGATTTTTCCCTGTCCGGTGTTACTATTTACTGGAAAACACCGGAAAATACCGGACAATACCGGAAAATACAAAAAAAATACCGGAAAACACCGGAAAACTACCGGAAAACACCGGAAAATTACCAGAAAACTTCCGGAAAATACACTTAATACCGGAAAACACGCTAAATGCCGGAAAACACCGAAAAACCACAAAATACCGGAAAACACCTGAAAACACACTAAAAACCGGAAAACACACTAGATACGGGTGTAGCGTGAATATCCGACTCCATGAAATGTGGACTCATTGGTAGTAGTGCGCACGCGTGAGTACGATACTATGCTATTTTTAGGATCGTTTGGGGAGAGTGACCTGTCACGTGCGAGGGATTAACCAATAAAAGGGAAAAGGGGTCCGATTTTCATAGGAGTCGGATATTTATGTGACACCGGAAAACACCGGAAAACACACTAATTACTGGAAAACAAACACAAATCCCACTAAATACCGGAAAACACCTAATTTTTGAAGTTGTTTGGGTAGTTGCAAATGTTTACAACGTCAATTATTTTTGCGCCAGTGTAACGTGTTTTTTTTTTACCTATTTATTTCCCCAACAAAATTCAAAATAGGTTACCAAGCAGCATTTTCATTTCGAATTTTGGTCCATTTTATTCTTCGTTTCCGTTTTAAAATGCTGGTGTGCGTTGCTAAAAAAACCTTGCATCTACTCGTTTAAGTGCTATTTGCTTCAGAATAAAACAGAGTACATATTTCCCTAGCCTCCATCAACTAACAGAATGATGATCATTTTGAATGTCTTTTTTGAATGTTCTGAAATTTAAATTCACGGCACTTTGGAACAACACCTGGAACATGTTTTCTCCATTGTCCCTCCTACGGCCAAGGACATGACACACGCCGTTATCAGATACAACAAAATTTGTATGTCCTGCGCATCCAGCATCTCAAAATCTGCAAGAAGGCGCAAGAATCTCAACGTGAATATTGAACAACATGGGTAGGGCATATGTCATGTGTAAATAAACTTGAGCAGTTAATTAGATTTTTTTTTTTAATATCTATGGTTTTCCCATCTCGTTTATGAGTAGCCGTGGTTTTGTTTGTCCGCGTTGTAAAAGATAATTTTCAACGTCCCGATTTCGCTTCTATATCAGCTTTCCCGATTTCGCTATTAACATCTCAATGAATTTGCAATTAATGCCCCCCTCCCAACCTGCTGGTCACGAAATATGCACAACAAACACACCCATCATCCATACCCCCAACCCGTGATCCTCCCAAAAAGTTTGAATCCGCCAATATAATGCAGAAGGAACATTATGGGAGTGCAATTCAATTTCATTCTCAAAACGCAATATTATTGTCATTAAAAGTCAAACATATTTATGCAATGTAACTAAATACAAAAAAAAATCTACCTCTTTAGGAACATTATTAAATGTTGCTATCATTGGCAGAAAAACCTTCCTGGATATAACAATTACATCGAAAAATAAAATTGTTGGATATTTATAATTTTTTTACATTTAAATTTGGTTGCCTGACGAGTGACGACCAAATGTAGAACGTAAAATACAGACCCATGTGTAAGGCCAAAAAAAAAAAGTCTCCGGTTTCTGGTATGCGCGCGCGTCGCCGTAGCCATGCGCGTCGGCAAAATGAAAAAGTTTTTTTTCCAATGTAAGATGATGTCTCAAAACCGCCAAACTCACTGGTTTGACTGGAATCCTGCTGCTGCACAATTTTAACGTGTTTTTAGATTGGGTTATGGTCGAGAATAAGTTTTATATGGCCTCTCTGGACTCCCATATATTTGCACTAAGTTTAGTCGGGCACCATTTGCAGTCATCAGCACACATAATGAAGCAAAAAAATCAGGTAAAAAAAAAAAAAAAAGCCGCGTCGCCGCACCACTTTTTGGGCAAGCTCCATACCAGAAACCGGAGACTTTTTTTTTTGGCCTAAGGGCACTTTTTTTTAAAATTCTTGTCAGTTAACATTTTCCCCAACGGCAAGTAATGGTAACGCAGTCGTCAAAAAAGGCCCCTGTCAAGTTGGTTTAATATAAAATCTGGACTAGCAATACTGGTCTTATTGTTCTTCAGTCCAGTTTTAAAAAAAGATGTGCATTCAATTAATTATTTGGAATAACAACCCCCCCCCTCAAAAAACAACAACAAAGAAAACCCATTTATTTATCATTCATTCATGTACATGTACATGTACACGATACAGGCCTTTACAGGGGTGAAATTCCATGTTTATTTCAGTTTCCCTCACTTTTCGTTTAAAATTTTCCCCGGACCTTTGAAAAAATAATGCCCAAATAAAATCCAGCTCCAAAAAAGCCCTTCCAGAGAATGATTGACAGCGGCATTGTTCAAATTGATACAATGCCGCTCTCATTGTTACAAAGTATATGCGGTTGGGTTCAGCTGTAGGCCATTGAACTTTAAATCCTTAGATGACTTGCCGCCAGTAATTGGAAGATTCTTAGATGATAAACAGTGTGAGAGTAAATGTTTTTTGGCGGCGCAATTTTGTTTTTGGCCGGTCCGGTTTTTTTTTGGGGGGGGGGGGGGTTTTGGCAGCTCACTTTTGTTTGTTTTTTGGCTGCGCCTTTTTGGTATGTTTTGTGGTGTTTTCCAGTACTTTGTTTTTTAGGTGTTTTCCGGTATTTAGTGTTTTTTTTATGTGTTTTCGGTATTTAGTGTTTTCCGGTGTTTTCCGGTTTTTAGTGTGTTTTCCGGTTTTTTAGTGTTTTTTGGTGTTTTCCGGTGTTTAGTGTGTTTTCTGGTATTTAGTGTGTTTTCCGGTAGTTTTCCGGTGTTTTCCGATATATAGTAACACCCTTACTGTCAACAGGCGGCGCCCTTTATCAAAATTATAAAATGAAGCCTGCCCTCTGTTGACTCAAAAATGTATGTCTTATTTCTAGACTCTACGTACAATGTGTAAACGAGATAAAATGTTATTTTGATGGGACCAATCTAGTCTGACTTTGACAGTAAAATTTTGTGAAAATCTTGCTCTGAAGATATATAATGATTCTCTTTAGCTTTGTCTCAGTTTTACATCTTAAACATTGTGTTCTACAGAAGATGTGATTATTCAGAATTTTCGAAGTTTTGCTTGTGCGATTCCACATGTCTGTATCTTTGGTAGTTTTGCGGTTTGAAATAGCTGACGCATTTAGCTTGGCGAAGTCAATCTGTTTCACATCCTGCAAAGAAAACGACCCAGACATGACAGAGAAAGGTGCTGTACAAAAATCAATGGATTTATATGATGATTAATTCATAAGTAAAGTTTGAATATTTAAAATGACATATTATTTAGCAGAGGGCAATGATTTGTAGCAGTTATCTACAATATGAATTTCTTAGCTTGGAATACCCTTTTATAGCCCCACTAGTGTGGCCGTCGGTATGCTGCGCTGAACCTCAGAGGTTCAGCGCAGCATACCAACGGCCACACTAGTGGGGCTAACCCTTTTAAAGAAGGTAGTGTATATTTTACGTTTACTAAAGGTTTGCCGGCGGCAATCCATATCAACAGAGGGCGCTGTACTCTTTAAGATAGGGCTGAATTATAACATGTATTAAATTCCCACCAAAGTCGTGTAGCACAGTCGGTGCAGTGGTTAAGCAATAGCTCTAATGAGTGGGATGTCCCGAGTTCGAATCCTGACCCCCGCCACAATTTTAAGGTTTTTTTTTTTTCCAATCCCCAAATAAATAAGAATATTCTTCTTTTATTATTTTAATATGTCTCAAACATTTTATTGCAGAGTATTACTTTTTCTTTTTCAGATTTGTGGCTCTGGAGGATTTTTTTTAAAGGGAAATAAAGTCCGAAATTATAAAATGGTCTGATTCCCATCTTGTTACTACAAAAATACAACGATAATATTGGCATGGAGCCAGACTAAAATTTGTCACCGGAAAATGTTTAAGTACAAAAAAACAGTAACTGCGCATGTTCAGTGCATATCCGGCAAACTAACGTTTACTGAAGGTTTGCCGTCTCCGGCAAAATATCCACTGCCTTTAGAGAAAGAAATCTCATGTTTTGTATCACTGAAAAGAGAATTAGGCATACACAAAAAAATCAATGGTGTTGGAATCAGCTTCGTACTCGTAGGTGTTTGCACTTTGTAGATACAACAATTTAAATGGCCAAATTTGGAGTTTCAATTGTGTAAGATTTACATTAGCCTATTTACTTTTTGCATGTTTTATAAATCTTATTTTCCCAACCTATCAAAATGTTTAATATCAATAGAATCCCAATTAATTAAATAAACAATAACTTTATATTTGAATCAGGTTTTACCACTCATATAATCATAACAAAAAAAGTTATGATTTTTTCCCCCGGACCTTCGCACTGTCCAGGCGGGCCGAGCAAACACCGTGCAATGCAACCAGACAATGCCAGACAACCCGCCGTTAGTCACGGGCAAAGTATACATGTAGTTCCGATCCCGCTCCGCACATGCAGCAACACGGAACAATGCGTGCATGCTTTATTACTGTTACCGCATGCCAGACTACATGTAAGTCTGGCACCAATGCCATCTGCGTACAATAACGTGCAGTAGTAGATTAGTCTGGTTGCAGTGTTACACAATAAGTCTTGCCATTGCACACATTTTTCTCGTTTCGCCTCTGTACCCCGACCTTTAAAAATGCTTTGCGGAAAGATGCGGAAAGCTTTTAATCATTTCTTTTTATACCACTGTTTTAATAAAAATCTGAACTTTCTGGGTACGAGTGTACTACTAGTCTGTACACTGTACCATGGTTATTTATAAAGTTATGATAAAAACAGTTACCATTTATCAAGTAGATTTTAATTTTACACGGTGGTTTAAATGAAAGTGCCGGCTCACATGGTAATGTTTGGCCCAATTGGTCGATATGGAAGGCGCGATTTGAGAATTCATTTTTATTTCAATCCAAATGAATGCAGAGTTCTGAATTAATGTTTTTGATAATAGAGTCAGTATTCCTCTTGATATCAGGATACTTTTTGTATTTTTAGAGTAATGTTGATACTTTTTAGCACGGTTTGAAATGGACTTTTTGTGCGTGGTTGCAGATATACGGCCTAAAACCACTGGACTCCCTACTGTAAGGGTTTTTACAAACCTTACAGAAATGAGAAAGACCAATTAAGGTTGTGGCAGAAAATTGTCAATTTTTCAAACCTCCAAACTCTCTTGTCACAAAATGTTTGGCTCCAGTATTTTACAGGCATTATTTTGACATGGTTAGGTACTTCTAGGGGTGGGTTCAAACAAAAATTTGAAATTTACCAGAATTTCGTTCACCAAATTCACAGAAAGTTTACTCTGCTGTCCGTCGTTGTTAACGGTCAGATTGAAACACCCTAAGTAGCACTGGAAATATCTCTTTTCATCTGGTTCAACTTGATGGTGTTCTCAGTTTCAGTGGATCATTTGCTTTATGTGATTGCTCTGTTGTATTTGGAGAGTGTTTACTTGATACGTTAATTAAAACGGATAATATCGACCCTGAAAATGGAAACCTATCACCAAAGTCATACATTGTACAAGTCCCAGCCGTGCTAGCAAATCTGCCATGTCATGAGCCTAGAGCTGGGTACATGTACATGTATGTCAGGCTGTGCATTTCTAATCTTTAGTTAGTGAATAAGTTTTCATCATGACCATTTTGCAATTTAGAGCAATGTAAGGGAAATTTTTTTGGGACAAAGAATTTTGGACAGATGACTTGATTAGCCTATGGCTTTTTAGTTTGGGATTGTTGTTAATTGTACTCAAAATCCCACTGGCTAGTAGATGGAGTAATTTATGCTGAGAAAAGAATATCTCATTCCCCAGGCTAATTTTTTCCCTGATAATCTCAGCTCATGTAAATATATAGATTTTTTGGTGTTTTTTTTTTTCTCTAGAAAACAAAATTCAAAATGAGGATGGCTCCAGTGACTTGGAAGCTTCAAATTCTGTGTCATTCCCAGCGACTGATCAGGAAGGGAAAGCATGCAAAGATATGAATCCATCCTCCCCAAGAGAGATCCAAGGATCTGGAAAGGAACCGACCGAAGATGCAGTTTCTAAGCAACAGTTGCTGGAGCAGCATAGAGGTTCTAGAGAAATGAGAGACATCATGGTAGAATCCATGGTCTTCACAGGTTGGTATGCCACTGTATAAATTAAAAAGTATACATTGTTTAATACATTTAGAATAACACTAAGGTTATTTCACTTTTCAACTTATCAACAGGTTCAGAGTTTGAAAAGTGTGAACAAGGAAACCCTGAACAAGCCACGGCAGTTAAGGACCAGGACAACTCACCCAGACCTGCTGAAGACATCCAAGCATCCCCTAGCAAGCCACCAGACCCCAAGACTGACAACGCCCTCAAACCAAAGAGCGTGTCAAAGTCTCAAGCAGCAAGTAGTTTACCAAAAGAATCGCAGAGTAACAGACCAATGGGAAACAAAAACAAGAAATCCAAAAAGATGCCAAGCAACATAGAAATGGCAAAGAAAGCATCAACATCAGAATCACCTTCCCAGAATCATCAAAACAGAGATGGGCCAAGAGAATCTGGATCCCAGAAATCAGCACAGAAGGATTTGAATGAGAAGAAACCTAAATCTGATCAGCCTTTGAGTGATCCCACCTCTGCCACCAAAAGCTATGCTTCCATAGTATCTGGAAGCCCTGTCCCTCAGATGGTAGAGTTAGAGCTAGATCAAAACATCTCTACTGCAGATAGTGGTGTCTTGGTTGGAGGAGGCACATTAGACGGCAAGCACATGTCTAAGAGCCCACTCTCCAAACACCAGAGTGTCGTCCCATTTTTCTCTGGAAACCCAAGCGTGGAAATTACTAAAGGGATTCTCCATCTCTTCAAGGAAAAGTGAGTATGAAACTTTCATGTACAAAATTTATTTTGTAAAATCCATCAAAAAATGTTGGATTGAAAAATCTGACATTCGTACAATTGATTGATTACTACTATCCTACCATCCTACAAATCTATTACCACTGGAAATGGCTTTAGAACCCTGAAGATTCATTGAAATGATGTACTTTGTCTCAAATTCCCTTCCATGCAAATTAGTGAAATGACCCCATTGGATGAAGGTGTGACTCGGAGTGAGATGCTGTGCATGTTGGCTGTTCCCGCGGTGATGACCTGCCATGACCTCTTGCAACTTGCCGCGCCCCTCAGTCAGGGCATTCAGCTGATGAGGGTCATTAGAGATACCACGCCCAATCAGTATATGGTCCTCATCAAATTCAAACAACAGGTCAGTCTTTATTGCATTGTTATTGAAAGTACAATGTAACATTATACCCCTTTTAATTGTTTACTGAGTGGAAGTGAAGTAAAGTAATAAGGAATACATGTACAATGTACATATACTTACATGTACATGTATGCATACATTTGGTTTGCATTCACGTTTCAATTCCAGTTAAAATTAACATCAAGAAATTTTGTTAATATGACGTTAAAAAATGCCTTTCTGTACATGTTTTATTCTCCACTCAGAAAGATGCAGATGAGTTTTATGCAGAGTTCAATGGGAAACCCTACAATTCTATTGAGAGCAGCGTCTGCTATTTGGTCTATGTGTCCAGGGTGGAGTGCATGAAGGCATCAGAGGTAATTGTTTTTATTGTCTTTGTGCATACACTGTAGAGGGCGGTGTTTCACCTTGGCATGAGCTTGCAGTAATATTGTTGCTGGTTTACTGCTGTTTGTTTGACATTTAAAAAAAGTATACCAGGGACATTTGGGTCCTGACTAACGGTTGGAGGGAATAAGTCTGGTTCTTACTTTCGTTTTACTATAGACTTTAATATGAAGGGCTGGGAATCAGTCTACAAATGACGGTCTCGCTTGACTGGTATCTTTGCGTTATTCATTTGTTTTACCTTTAAGCTAGAATACCAGGAAGTGTTTGGACGGATATCGTGGCATGCTTGTACCTTTTTCACCCAAACATTCAGACTTGGCTTGTAATCAAAAGTTAAGCACTCAGTTGAAGTTGTTTCGTTTTTCGGTTTTAATTCCTAAACCATTGCCTTAAAATTCGGTACGTTTCTTGGACATGGAAATGGACCCAGTTGCATGGATTTGTGCCGAGATTGTTGATGCAATCCTTGTTGTGATCTGGGAATGCTTGCTTTCTCTGCTAGGGTGCAACCCTTCCAGTGCCTGGGTTGACGGAGCTCCCCACCTGTCACATCTGCCTGGAGAGAATGGACGAGTCAGTCGATGGAATCCTAACCATATTGTGCAATCATTCCTTCCATGGCAACTGCCTTGACAAATGGGGAGACACAAGGTAGGACAACTAAGTCTCTTTTTTTGTTCTTGGGTGAAGGTCTATCTTTTAGATGGTCTATCTTTAAGATGTTGCAATCATCTACAGATTTCACTTTGTTTAGGGCTACTGATCTCCTTTTTATTGTAATTCTGTAGGAATTAATATAAATGAACAGATTTGTGGGAGTTTGATGAAAAATAAATTGTTTTCATTTGACATCAATTATTTGACACAATAAAAGGAAAGCACTTTTTGTCCCTTTTTTTAATGGATATTTGTAAAATGGAAAATTGTTATTTTTGAAATTGTACATCTTTGGCTCTCTAATTGCTCACTAGTTGTCCGGTGTGTCGCTATTGTCAGACACCTGAGGCAGTGGAGGACCATAAATGCTTCACATGTGGAGCCCAGGAGGTAAGAATAACAATCTTTTGTTTAACAGATAAGTGCCCCTTGCTATCATCAGATTCACTATTCAACTCTCTCTATTGGAGTGGTCACTGAGTAGTTTTTTACACTGTAATAAGTGGAGTTCACAGACAATTCACAAGCTTTACTGATGTGGAAGTCGAACCCACTACCTCCTGATTACTGGTGTGGAAGTCTGCCTACTTGATGACTTACATATATGTAGCAGGGAATACCGCCAACAGAATCTTGTATGTTATCTTGTTATCTTGTCTTGCTGACTGGCAAAACATACATAGGAGGGTACAGACAGCCATTACAAAACATTTGAAAATGGTTCACTTCATACTATTCTTAAGGCTAACATTTGATATTATTTATATAGTGGAATTTGTTTTATTGAATTTGCATCTCCTTGACAGAAAATAAAATCCATCATATAAATATTGATTGTTTGCAGTACCTACTGCTATAACAGATTTTAACCAGCCAACCGACTGGGCAAGTAAGCAGGGGGTCATGGGTTCGAGTCCCACCTGAGTAAGCTGAAGAAGTTTTCTTGCAACCCTTGGACAACACTGAGTATATAGTGTTTATGAAATTACTTCAGTGGAGGACAAAACCCTATATTGAACATTCAACATTTATAATTTCATTGTCAGAGTTTATGGATTTGCCTCATCTGTGGGCATGTGGGCTGTGGACGATACTCCAACCGTCATTCCTACAGTCATTTTGAAGAGACTCAGCATACCTATGCCATGCAGCTGGGCAATCAGAGAGTGTGGGACTATGCTGGAGGTAGGGAGAATTCAATCAGGTTTGGATAAAGACGGAAAGTAAGGGGGCAGTTCCAGCATTATGAAAGGAAATGTGATGTCTGTGACAAGCCAAACCATGATATAATATATTCCATGATTCAGAGAAATGATCCAAACACAGTCTGTAATCTCCTTGACCATTACTAGATGATGGATGTATAAGATTTGAACAATACATTTCCAGGTTTACTCACCGAGCTCTTAAAATCTCTGTCATGGACATTACATACGGCTGGAATTGCCCAATTGTGTTTTGTATGGGTATGAACTCACGTTGGCCCGCGAGTACAGATTTATTTTGTCACATACTTGACCCATTGTCTCTCTGCTGCCCAAAACTACCCTGCCTGTTACTCCCAAACTACCCTGCCTGTTACTCCTTATACCGCATCAAGCTGCCCAAGCAGTGTCTGGTTTTATGAGGAAAGGATACAGTGTAATACAATGTAGTATACATTATTTGTTCCCTTTTTGGTAACATCTAGTGTCGCATTAAACATGTTGACAACTGCTTATTCACACACCTTTACACAACATTGGTCTTGACATTTGATCCCAAGTATTTCTGTTTCTGTGTTCATCCTCTGTCCTGGTGAGTGAGCCCTTTGTATGGAATATTTGAGGTTTTTGGACTCCCAAACGTTTGGGCTCCTGTGTCTTTTATCAGGAAGCTTTATTTTTCACAAACCACTTTTAAGTGAATTCAGAAAAGCTAGAATTAAGTGAAGCTAGAAAGTCTATTATTCAAATAACTAAATACCCATTGCAGGCCTAAAAACTCACCATTCATTCATGTTCTAAATTCTATGGTTTCTTTAAACTTCCACAATTCAGTACATAAGCCTATGCTGTTTTGAAGACCTGTTGGTGTCATTAAAAGAAGGAATTAAACAAATTAAATTTATCTTTGACTGATGTGTTTTTGTCTGTGTTTAATGTTGACAGATAACTATGTCCATCGGTTAGTTCAGAGTAAGGGTGACGGTAAACCTATTGAATGGGACAGACAAGATACAGAGACGGCACACACAGAGAAACTAGACTCACTGCAACTGGAGGTATGTGCACTGACAAAACCAAGCCAGCCAAATCAAGGTTATACCAGTTAGCTTTGGTTATTATTTTGAAGAAAGTCTCCACTAAGTCAGCACTCCTAACTCTAACACCAGGCACATTATTAGACCAATGTTTTTGGTTTGGGGTACTGAAAATGAAGTTCTTGGAAAATCTGGGAGTTCCAATAAACGTTGCCAAATTGTAACACGTTATCTAGAGCCGACGTAGACTGAAAGGAAGGTGTTACATCTTCAATGTTCAGCTGATGTGTTGTTCTGGTTTCAGTATTCCTACCTGTTGACAAGCCAGTTAGAGTCACAGAGAATCTACTTTGAAGAGCAGATGGCACGTATTGAGCAGGATGCCCTCAATAGGGTAAGTGTGGATAAAAACGAACATAGACCATGACTTTGATAATACTATCTTGGATATAGTCATGTAAGTTCTTTTATTGGCAAGCAGTTATTGTTGATGGAATGTTCATGATGTCACATTCACTACTCCTTGAGTGTTTTGTCAAACTGAGTGGCAGTACAGTGCAGTTAATAAAACACCAGTATTTATTATGATTTATTTAATCTCGCGCAGTCACTGAATGCCACTCATAAGGTGATGTCATGACATTCTGTTCATACAGATACCTGACACATAATGACAGTGTTTGATAAACATCTCCAAGAAGCTCTAAGACACTATGTGACCACAAAATACAATGAATTAAAAGCAAGATGGTTTTGTTCACGAAACTCGAAATGGACTGAATTGTCCGTTGTCCACAGTCTAAAAAGCATTTTGTCAAACTTATTCAGTGCAGTAGCACTACCATTTCTTTTTTGTTGTTGCTAAGAATAAAGGCATGTGTAGTACTCCAGTGGCACATTCTTTATAGTAACTTAATTGGGACATCAAGCCCTGTGTAATTACATGCAGGTACTCAGTCTTGAATCTATCAAATCTTACCAAACTTGGAGGTGGAGTTTGAGGATCTTGGGATGTTAAAGTGAGACTTTTTTGTCATGATGATCAGATGTCGGAGGTTGAGGCTCGTTCCCGTAAGACGGTTGAAGAGCGAGATAAGATGGAGCAGTGTTTGCAGACAGCAGTCAAGGAAAAAGCTGGATTGGAGAGGAAATGTTCTCAGCTCAACAGCCGACTCAACAAGATAAGTGCTGAACTCAAGGAAGAAAAAGAGGTATGTGGGGAGTTCAATAGCTCCACCATAAGACCATCTAAGTGACTCAATACTGATTTAGGCAATAAGTGAGGTTGGACCTAGAGGCACTACGTACAACGCTGTTAAAACCATGTAAAACCGCTAGGTAAACCTTGAGTTATCACGTTGACTGTTGCATTCTCCCCTTCTATTACTTGGAGATTGATGTCCCAACACTGGATTTTCCACTGAATTAGATTTTCAAACATTTAGTAAAGTTTATGACATTTTTGGGGGGTCAACGTAAACCATCATAATTATATGTCTTTTGTTTCTGATACTCAGATGAACCGATGTCTGCGGGACAACCAACAACTTTGGCAAAACAAAGTGGCAGATCTGGAGAAGAAGTACACTGAGGATAGCAAACAGCAACAAGGGGTATGTATGGTGTGAAGTTTTTCACCACTAAAAAGGCAAGAGTTCTTGTAGTAATGTAACAACCAAAAGTCTACAGATCCACAATTTCTTTCTGAAATAAGGTTAAAGACAACAGGAAGCTTGTGATATGGAGCATTATGGATTGAAAATCTTGACTTGTGTTTGTAGGGTGAAGGGTTCGAATCCAACAGTTGGCCAGGTACTGTGCCCATGGGCAAGTCCTTTGAAATTGCGCTAACATGAGTGTGAATTAGCTGGGGAGTAACCTTTGATAGACTCATATCACTTCAAGGTAATAATGGGGATAGTCGCAAACCCAATACAGATTTGTTTGGGATAGAATTACTTGATTATGTCTGTCATTATGATCAAAATGATGTATTTATTTCATTGTAGTGAAAGATGAAATCATGCAATCCATATTGTGGTTAAGTAATGGTCGTGTACTTGCACAGGAAATCAATGAATTGAAGGAGCAGCTACGAGACTTGATGTTCTACCTGGACGCACAGCAGAAGATTGGTAGCACCTCAGAAGACACTCGGCAGGAGATACAAGATGGGCAGATAGTGATTGGAGAGGCTGCAGCCTCATCGTCGACATCGTCGCGTAAAGGCAGGAAAAAGGGACGATGATTCCAGGCAGGTGTCAATTAGCAGAGCTGTAATAGAGGCAATCACAGGTCAATCACAAGTCAATCACAAGTCAATCACAAGTCCAATTGCAAGTAAATCACAAGTCAATCACAAGACTATCATAAGTCAATCAAAAGCCTTTCACAAGTCAAATCACAAGTTGGTCACAAGTCAAATCACAAGTCAAGTCGCAAGGCACAAGTCAATTCACAAGTCAATCACAAGTCATTAACAAGTCTTTCACAAGTCAAGTCACAAGTCAATCACTAGTCATCACAAGTCAATCACTAGTCAATACAGAAATCAGATCAGAAGTACCTAGGAAAGAATAATGATAAAGAAATGCATTTAGTGCATTCATCTGAAGAGCTTGTGAGTTAACTGGGAACTGGATAACTTGTCTTACCTACTGACTGACTCAATTACAACTCTGGCAATGAAAGTCACTCTGGTCAACCAAGTGGATTATAGTGTGTTGAATGACGATACTGGATAATTGGAACAATTTACAGAGAATTACTAAGGAACACTATTGACTTATCTTGCACAGCCTGTCTAGAGAGGACAATTTAGCCATCATTGGGGTACTGTGAACAATTGTAGCCATTTGTGGAGAGCAATGTTTAAAATCAACTGTCTGTAGAGTGCGCTTTTTACCATTCAGCTGTTTGTAGAGAGTGCCATGTACAAATTCAGCTCCTAGCCCTACACATATATGGGTCATTCCACCGGGATGGGAAGCAGTGCATGTTACATCCATTATATTTGATTACATTATTAAAAGTATCAATGCATTCTAAACATTTGCTCAACATAATATTTGTCTTAGGGTGTTTCAAAACTTGAGAAAGTTTGAAATCATTTGAATGTACTTTGACAAAAATATGAGCAAAAATGTATGCATTGGGACGTATTTTGACACCGTGTCAATGTTATCCAAATATCCTTTTTTTGGCCGTTTTTTTACACATTACACATATGTAAAATATTACCCAAACTGACATTGCGTATTTATAATTGGACACGTAATGCACCAAGAAAAGCTTTTGTTTTGGTAAAGTCAGGGTTCAAATATAGCAGAAACAATACCTTAATGTGGATGTAACAGTGTCAAAATCACTCAATGGAAGTGTGACATTTGGGTTTTACACCGTGTCAATGTTACATCCACAACCAAGCTATCATTTCTGCTCCATTTGATACCTGACTACCATAACAAAAGCTTTACTCATTGTATTGCATGTAGAGTAAGAAGTACACAAAGTGAATTTGGGTAATATTTTCTGGAAATTTAAAAAAAGGGTAAAAATATGACATTTGGACGTAACATTGACACGGTATCAATGGTTACGTCCAAATGACATTTTTGCTCATATTTTTGGCAAAATACATTCAAATGATTTAAAACTTTCTGCAGTGGTGAAACACCCAACAACAAATATTATGTAGAGCAACTGCTAGCAAGGCATTCATGCTTTTCATAATATGGTCATATGTCACACATTGTTCCCCAACCCGGTGGAATGACCCATATAGGTGTGAGAGTTGCAACAAGTATTAATTAGGATGCCATTCGTGGACAACCTCAGCTTGCATAGTGTACATAATGGATGCCTCGTTGTGTGAACCTTGGTACTCAAAACAGCTGCTTCTGTGAAAATAACTGAGGTAAATTCCAGGGTGTACCAGACCATCTCATTGGGATCTAAGGCCAAAAAAAATAAAATACTCGGTCTCTGGTCAGCGCGCGCGTCGATTTTAATCATGCGCGTCAACCTTTTTTTTTCTTCAAATTAACACGGAAGCTACAACAGCGCCCTCTTTTGCCACGCCTCCTCAAATTTTTGTACCAAGGAGCACCAAGGAATGGGGAAATTGCACCAAGGCAAATGATAAAGGGCACCAAGGCAAATTATGGAGGACACCAATGTATAATGAGGACACAAAAAAAGCAAAATAGTACCCACCTTGTCTGTACAATACAAGCTTGAAAAAAAAAAAGCCAAACCGCGTCGCCGCATCAATTCCGGAACTTCAGTCTGACCAGAGACCGACTATTTTTTGTTGTTGACCTAAGCACCATTACTCAGTTGTCCATGTTGCTAACTGTGTAAAATGTGAAAAAAAAGCTGGCAACTTGTTCATGTTGCATGAAAGTATTGTAGACGGTAATTAACTTCCTTTATTTATTCAAGGTAATAACTGAAGCCTTCAGAATTGTGATCAAATTGTGACTTCCTCCCGTGGTGTTACTAAAGGGATGGGGCATTTGTGGCACAGGCTGCCCTCTCCCACTAGAGGCCAGTGTTCTCAAAGGCAAAAATTAGCTTTGTTATTGTTTAATATCGATCAAATGAGGCCCCTCTCATGCCACTGCGTCTAACCTTTGTCATTTGGCAGCATTCTTGCCGTCGTTTCTTTGACATTTTTTGGACTGAAGTTTTTACATTATACAGAACAGAAGTAACATTAAAAATAACAGAAATGTCTCTACTAACATGTTGCCATCTTATAGCTTTGGTTTGCGGTAACACCGTGTGCTTGTGACTACTTTCTCTCAGTAGATTTATTTCCGATAAGAACTGTCCGGTTAGTTCAAAAAAGGAACTTGTCCTGCTTATTATCTACTTTCGCTAAGTACATTGGAAGGTGGTAAGACTTCTCGCAATTATCTTCACTGAGGCTTAATGAGATAAGTTGGGTCTCAACGTTTCGACTAGCCTGCTCTAGTCATCGTCAGGAGACAAGAGCGAAAGTAGACACAACCACATGGTGTTACTGCAAAACCAAAGCTACATCGATACTCCACCATAATGTTGCCATCTTACCACGTGCTTACTGATGATTATCCATTTACAGAGATTTTATAGGACATGATGGTTCCAAAGACTGCATGTGTGAGGATGTCATACAAAATGTATGACCAGATCATATTAATAATAATAATAACACTGGGGTCTTATATGGCGCACGTATCTACCAACAATTAGGTACTCAAGGTGCTGGTAATTATGTCTATTTTTAAAGACAGGTAAATGAAGTTTTTGAGAAATGTGAGACCCATTATGTAGCATAATTTACAAAGGTATACAAGGTGCTGTGGCGCATATATTGCATCCACTGCCAGAAACACCGGGGCAAACCCCTTCTCTTAGCGATTAGCGTCACTGGGTTCTTTGACATGCACTACACAACACACGGGACTAACGGCTTTACGTCCCATCCAAAGGACGAAGCAATAATGGTAAAGTGCCTTGCTCGAGAGCACAAGCACCATGTTCCCCGTCAGGATTCGAACCCATGTACCACGGCACACGAGTCAAACACCATAACCATTGGACCACACATATTAAATGAATCTTAAAGACTTATAAGATTAGTTTCGCGTTTACGTTCGAAAGAATATTATTCAATCTGTGTAATTCACTGATGTACATGTATATCAGCGTCAGTCAGGTGCAAGCAAAAACAGTTTGTAAAGCTGGTCCCAGAGTGCACATAATTATATTCAGTTGATTCAGATTCTGGAAGTCTTGTGAATATGGTCTAAGCCATGGACCAGATTTAGCCCATTCATTGGCGCTATGGGGTAATCCATTTCAAACTTTTGAGCCGACGTAAGGCCATGGCTACGGCTGGAAATAACATGCATGCCTATGGAAGCCACTAGCCAGCAGCTGCATGGCTGTGGCTGGAAATAACATGCATGCCCATGGAAGCCACTAGCCAGCAGCTGCATGGCTATGGCTGGAAATGACATGCATGCCCATGGAAGCCACTAGCCAGCAGCTGCATGGCTATGGCTGGAAATAACAATGTGTGCCTATGGAAGCCACTAGCCAGCAGCTGCATGGCTATGGCTGGAAATAACATGCATGTCTATGGAAGCCACTAGCCAGCAGCTGCATGGCTATGGCTGGAAATAACATGCGTGCCTATGGAAGCCACTAGCCAGCAGTCGCATGGCTATGGCTGGAAATAACATACGTGCCCATGGAAGCCACTAGCCAGCAGCTGCATGGCTATGGCTGGAAATAACATGCGTGCCCATGGAAGCCACTAGCCAGCAGCTGCATGGCTACGGCTGGAAATAACATGCGTGCCTATGGAAGCCACTAGCCAGCAGCTGCATGGCTATGGCTGGAAATAACATGCGTGCCTATGGAAGCCACTAGCCAGCAGCTGCAGCTGCTTCCTATAGACTTGTGCATTATTGCAGGCCGTAGCCATGTGATTGCGACAGCCTATGAGTGTATTTGGGGAACGAGTCAGTCAGTAAGTGAGTGAGGTACAACGAGTACCACAGGTCTGCCCCTCTAGGACCAGTGAACATACACTCTATCTCTCGTGACTTCTGACTCAGTCCATTACGTTGTATTGTAGATGCTTCACTTGTGTGGCAGCAGGTTTATATGAAATCAGTTCTGAACTGTCATAGCCTATCTTAGCCCGTGATTACAGTCAATATCTGATAATTGTATGGAAACATTGATCATTGAGATATTTAAAGATATATAAATATTTAAGCCTTGATATTGGAGGAATAATTTGTTGTATAAAATTAAATTAAGCATCTGATGAAATTGAGTTGTCACGCTGATCTGTGTCTGTACTTGTTTGTCTTTCTTTAAGACTTCGAAATCGGACAAATTCCAGCTTTTTGGGACTGGCAGTTATTTTCGCGGCGACAACATGCAGTATCACATTTCATATTAATATGAACACATTGGAAAGGAAATGAGTATTTTCGAGAAGGCGTGGACGAATGATCGCGAAAACACGTACTGCACGTTGTGATTAATAACACCAAGTACTAGCCAATTGCGATATCGAATCAGGATACAGGAAAAAAGTTTCCTATCCAGGGCTTACTATTGGAAACAAGGTTGGAAATAAAGTAAGCACTGGGGGCGAGGTTGACAGCATGAGGATTCACAAGGAACATTTCGCAAGTACAGTTTCACCCACCGTGTAGTCGACAACTGGAATAGATTGCCAAAGTCAGCAGTGTGTAGGTCGTCGTATTATTTGTAACTGCTTTCTTTTATATTGGTTTTGATACTGTGGAAATAAATAAACCTTGAAACCCTGACATTTCTCCCCAGTAAAGACCAAAGACATCCATGGTGTTACAACGTTAGGGATTCATCACAAAAAAAGGTATACATTGTAATGAGTACACTTCAAGAAGATACGGGGTGGGGCCAGTCGTGCACCCAAAGGGGGGGGGGGGAGGGGTGGGCCCTTGGCCCAAGACGTTGTCAATTTGATTTTTTTAGTTCCACGATTTCACCGTGGTGATATGTATGTGGCCTATTTTCGAGTAATACAAATTTGGGGTGTAAACGGCGCCACCAACGTCAAAATAGTCCGGTCCCCCCAAGTATCTTTTTCTGTGGCCAAACATTTTGGGCAACATTTTTTGAAACAAATCAAACTTCTAAAAACAAATTGTGAGCTCCCCCTCAAGCTACATCCTGGGTGCGCCACTGGGTGGGGCGCCGTACCCGGGGAGACGCAGAAAATAGTGGAACGAATTGTTATTTCACAGAGACCACATTGAATCGAATATCAAAGTATCAGCCAACGAGTTATAGTTTGCCCTCCGTTGCCAGACAATTAAGGGATGCAAAGCGCGCCGTGTTTACGTGGATGGCAGAATCAATATATCGGAGAATTGTCACCTTGTTGATGGAAACGTGTAATGCCTGAAGATCAAGCGAGCCTATTTGGCTGCACGAGCACAATCTTCTTGGAGATTTAAGAATGTTTATAAGTGCAGGTCAAGTCATCTCTCGTGGCTAGGTCGTTAATGACTTATTGATGCATACCTCCCTCGTTAATTGGAGATGAAAGGTTATGCGCTGCATCTCACAATACAGGATTGCAAGAAGAGCAAAGCAACAATCGCGGCAATAATTTTTTTTTAACAGTTGGCGATATCAGATTTCTTCAGGAAAATGGAAATAACTCTATGTGTGCAAAATATGTATTTTAATGTGTGGAAAACGTGTAAACTTTTTTTCTATCCTCGGCTACAAAAAGTAATAAAACAATCATTGTGACCAACGTGCTGGTCAGACTAAACAAGGGATTAAGTTTACGTTTATTATTGCCTTTTCCCAATTTACAGTTTAGTGATATAAAATATTATGAACCGTGAACACTCCTTACCATTTCAATATAATCCAGGGTTAATTTATGTCACGTGACCCCAAAACCTGACTCACAAACCTACTTGCAAATCCGCAGTTTGTAACACTATGAAAGATTCTGTTCTAGTCAACTAAACAAAAACAACTCGCTGGAGCCCTTCGTTTGTACGAACAGCAATATCCGATCTTCGGAGACGAAATATAATTTCTTTTTTAATTATCATCACCCTAGGTGTACTCGAGAAACACCTGGTGATATATTAAATCAAAATACTCTCTCTTATTGTCAGGGTTGGCGCTTTAATGCAGCGGAAATGGTTTGCCGCTTGGGTTCAAATGGTTGCTAAGGATCGTTAGAGAATCCGTGTTTATCTCAGGAAGCAAAGGGTCTTCCCAATAGACGTATAAATTAGAATCTCAAGGACTTGAAGTCTGTTACTTATTCGCGCGGGATGGTTTTTCTATATGGAGTAGAGTACTGCTTGTTGACTGAGGCAACAAATTGCTTCGCTCGTACTACCTGAACAAATTAACAGCCTCACCTATTGAAGGTCTCAACCATTCCACCGACTTTCAATCTTCACATCCAACCTGCACCACCTTTCAACTCCACAAAGGCACGAATAGTATTAGTCACAGCCGTTTACAATGCTTCAAAGGTACTCTTCCTGAACGGAACTCTTTCAACCTTCAATATACACACACCTTCAAATCTCAATATACATGTACATACTCTTCTACAAACTCATATAAAAATTCATTCATCGACTTCTGGAAAGTGTGTAAACGAACGTTTAAAGTTCGATTTAAAGATTATGCATTTTCATTTATTTCTCCTCACTTTATTTTAGGGCGGTCCACTGTATCCCAATCAATGATGCATTCAATATCATTCTATTCATTTCTAGAAGGATTTATTTCTTCCGGTTCCAAGATTTATCAATCTGTACGTTGCGTTTATAAAATAATATTATGGCCGACGGTGTTGTTAACGCCCGTTCTTGTTGATGTGAACGCCCGTTCGCTTGGCAGGCCAGCTTATATAGGGTTAATTACTTCTTACCTAAAAGAATTGCCATTTTACTGCCACAAAGGGCCTATCACACCTGAAACCTCTCTCAGTATGTTCCAATTCTCTAATCTTATTTAATGTGCTGCAAAACCAATGGTTTTATATTTTGAGCTAATTTTGCAATCGATAACACACAATGATCAATTAACGCCTTGCCTTTTGCAATTGTCATCACGATTTGTCTCGTAGGTAAGTATTGTGAGATATCCATGTCGTTCCCCTCGTATGCTGCACATTTGGGGCTTCTATCCATTTCCAGTTAACTTGTCACATTTTGTAGCTACTTTGATGACATGCAAAGCGCCTTACACATGGGCGTCGCGAGGGGGAGGGGGCAAGGGGGGGGGGGCACTTGCCCCCCCCCTGGAAAAGCAAAAAAAAAAAAAAAAAAAAGGAAGAAAAGAAAAAGAGGCGCGAAGACAAAGTGGTGTAAATTTAATGAGTTGGGGGGGGGGGCAAAATGTCCCTGCCCCCCCTCTAAAACTGATAAATCGAAATTGTGTTGAGAAATACAAGCATTTTTTTGCAAAAGAATTTTTTGCCCCCCTCAAGAAAAATCTGGCGACGCCCATGGCCTTACACAGTCTGTATATTTGCACATACAATATCTAATGTGCAGCAGTTAACCTTTTTGTGGATGTCTCTAACCTTCGGTTGTGTGAAATCAGGAAAACATTCCTTTCTGATACAATTAGAAAAAATACATAATGGCAAAGTTTTACTACATTGGCGAGTCAATTTCGATTTCCATTAAAACTCTTTAGTTGTGGCTTTTAGTGGTATTTCTAGCTACATGCTCAGGTTGAAGTACATCGTAAATTGCAGTAACTATAAAAGAAGTAGAAACGTAGACTGTAAAAAAAAAAATGGAAATCAATCTTTTCCGGATGTTTTCCTTCTTCAAAACCAATATCAATGTTGGCGGGACGCAAAATGCGCCAAACAGGTGTCGTATGAAGGGATTTTGAAGAGGGGTTGCTAGGATGCCAAACTACTGTAAGGACCTTCTCATGTTATTAATCTCCGGCGTAGGAGACGAAGAGGCGGCGGACCGAAAGAGTAAATTTGAGGATCACTAAATGTAAATCAAACAGACAACCGGCGAGTGGCCTTGCGTGATACAACCCCCAAAACCACACCGCCAACGTGGTTATAAAAGTATTTCAGAGTTGCTGAAGAAACAACTCTTAAAGGCAACCGAGGAATGGCCATTTGTACGGGACAGGTCCTGAAAACATATCAATCAACTAGGCACGATGTAAGCTGATGCCATTTACTCGATAGATTCTCACGGAGCAGTGTTGTATTGGGCTTGACGCTAAACGCAAATATTTAAAGCTCACGGCACTTTTCTTGGACATTTAGAAAGATGCCGTCGACTGCGCTGATGGCTGGGTTGGCGGTTTGGGGCGCAGTTAAGTAACCCAATGCACTTTTGTTTCAATTGTTAACAAGAAAATCTTGTTTTTAAGCAGTTGGAGGTAGCTCCAGTAAGACTCAAATTTTGGCAAGAGAATGCAGTCTCTTGGAATATCTACTTTTAGATAAAGCGTTTTTGTTTTAAAAGCGCGTTTATGAACGACACAACTTAGTGTATAGGCCTACAAAATAGAAACTTCGTACATGTATGTAATTGGCACTCGTCACCAGTTCCATTTTTGTCGTTGAACATGCTGACGAAAACACTCCATCGAGTAGACACCAGTTTGTTGAAACATTCTGGAACAATTCTGGAACAACCTACACGACGCGCTCACAGCCCATGACATTTAATGAAACAACATCGAAGCAAAATCTGCGAGTAAACACAGGATTTGAGGTCCAGAAGCGAGGTATTTTGAAAACGTTCGTTGGTCCTCCACTAGTTGAAATGATATCCGGAGTGTTGGTTGCGTGCTTTCTACTCGGGGGTGTGAGTGCCTGCACGGAGAAGACTGCGACACCAGACAGGTTGCAGTCAGTGAGTGTGACTGATAACCCCATGCAGGGGGAACAAATTGGGCGAGCTGCACCCATGCAAATACAGAATGTGAGAACCACAACCATCAATGACAACCAGGAGAATACCTCACCAACAAACGACCCAGGGACGTACGGGGAAGGAAGCGTGAATCAAGGAGAAATAGCTCATTCGGGTAAGCTATCTTATAATATAACGGCCCGTTTTGAATTATTTGGCAAAATAGCATTTTCAATTGAAAAGGAACGTTTTAGAGACTAAAACACTTTCGACATTTTCCACGCAGATCAACGATGTATTACCGCGCTTAACGATTATTTCGTATGTCAAACTGAAAGCGTAGCCACAAACTTAGCAAGTATAGAAGGACTCGACCTTGAGAAAACTAAAATGGCTGTCGATAATTTGCATTGAAGTTTCGAACGCGTTACTAACAAAGGCATTAGCCTTGATTTGAACTAAAAAGGTGCATTTCGAAATACACAAAACCAATCAGTTTCGCGGATATGTGTCGCGGGAAACATATAACGTAAAACGTCTCGAAAAAGCGCTTTGTGATGCATAGCCAGCCCAAGATGGGCGTGTGAGATCACTTTTATTATTCTTTGACCCCTTTCCTGTGTTTTACTATTATCCATTTGGGATGTCAAGCAAAAACGTTGCCGCAGGTAATAGCTTAAGATGAGGCCAAGTATAGCGTAGGTCATGCACATATTGTCAACAATTCGTCATCCTTTTGACTAAGTGACGAATCCGTCCAAAACCGGTGTTTTATGCATTCGAGATATTTGGATATATTGTTGATGTACCCTAACGTGGCGCGGCCCCTAACGTGGCGCACTTTGATTGAACCCTTTGAAAATTCCTCCCAAAAATAAGAACATAATTTTCTGACAAACTGCTAGATGGGTTTATAAGTAGAGATAATAATGGTTTATCAGAATTAATCAACTTTACAGAAATTATTTAATGTTAATTTGGAATTTTCCGAGATTTACTTAAGTGCGCATTCAAGGAAACACCGAATTTGTGCCCAATTTCCGGACGCCACCGTTTTTTGAATTTCGGATTAAATTTCACGACAACGCGATTGTTCACAGAGGTTAAATAGCAAGCATTATTAAGGTAAAAGTATCAGTATTTCACTGAATGAATTCGAAGTTTGTCAACAAAGAAGTTTGGCAACGCTACATATGAGGATAGTCGGGGTAAACGTCGAAGTGCGCTACATTAGGGAGCACCACTATACTTACATTTTTATGATGTCCTCTGCACAATCTGTCAAATTTCAAGACGAAATTGTACGCGATTTTCTCAAACTTTGGTTTTGCTTTGATGTGAGCAAATTCGTCACTTCGTAAAAACTGTGACACATAGGAGGCAGTTATTGCAACTTCGGTCCCAAAATTGCATCCTTCTCTTCCCCCAGAAACTGTTGCTACGGAAACGCTGGAAATCACAACTAGTCCCGATCCTTACGACGGCCCATTCTGCAAGGCGCAAAAGTCCTGGAAACTTCGCTGGCCTAAGACTAGGCCAGAACAGACTGCCTTAGTGCAATGCCCCGGCACATCCACAGGCTACGCATCAAGGTACTGCGGGCTGGTAAAGTGGCCGAAAGAATGGGCTTACTGGGCCTTCCCAAACTTTCAGGATTGTAAGGAAAGTTCTCCCGATGAAGACGAGGAACCAACGGAGATTCCTTGGTGTCCGCGTGACACCAGTTACGCAACGCTGTGGCCAGATACACTCGTGAATACAACGGCCACTGCTAAATGTCCAAAGAACCTGACTGTGTACGATGATTTGAATGCTACAAGGCGATGTGAATGGGCGACAGTGGATGGCATCAAGGTATTTTATCACTGTGTGTATAATCACTTTGATTTCATTTTAATCGAAACGTATCCAAAACTAACACCTGAATTGTTGTTTGGGTGGGCTTTATAGTTGTGCTTCTTAGATGTCCGTATAAAAACAAATTGGTACACTTATAAAGCTCACCACAAAGAGACAAATAAAACATACACTCTATACACACTAAGTGTTAGTGTATTCTTCAAAATGTTTATAGAATCAACTCGAAAAAATCGTCAAGACTTCAAGGTCAAGATAAGAAATGTACCTGAATAAAAATAAAAATGATAAGAAAAGTTTCTGATTCCAAGATTTAAAAATTCTTCATCTTAGTAAACTTGTTACTTTAATTCTTAGTTTAATCCATCCTGAATATGCCGAAACTCTGTTAATATTGCATACGTCAATTCTTACCATCAGTCTTGCCCTTAAGTCATCCTAATACGTTCAAACTTCAAGGTTTAGGCCTACACTTTTTTTTTCTAATTCACTTAATCACGGTGTTCCACCTTTTGAGAGCAGACCGCACAATGGCAAGCAGCAGATCTTATGGACTGCATAGTATCCATAATTAACGCTTCAACACTCATACCTGCTGATGAAGTGCAGCAAACGATGGACGACTGGTTGGACGACCATTCGTGTACCAGGGAAGTCACAACCTCAGCATTAGGTAGGAAGAACTTTCAAGTTGTTGATCAAGGCACTGTTTGATAAATTGCCGACAAAATGGGGACGAGAGCCATGGCAATCCCTATACGGCCATCATAGATAATTGACGGAATGGCAACAGAATTATCTTATTGATCTCTTTTCCCGATCTCACGATAACAATACGTTTTACTTTCGGTTGACATGTACTCTACAACAAAATTTTAATAAGGCAAACTTTCTGTGCAAACTCTTGCTTTATATTTTATTGTAAATGTATCCTTACAGATTTTACTGGTGTTTAAAGCTTACCATACGAATTTAACGCGGAGTGCTAGTGGAAGGACCGGCTTAAGAGCGCAAAACAGTTAACGGATAAATCATATGATTGTTTTCACTTGGCCTTTCTTTTTTTATCGGTTTATGAAAAGGAACTTTTGAATGGAACACCACTATCGTTGGAGGAGTATCCAGATCCAACTGCCAATATGGATTCATTTTGCCGTCAAAGAAAATCCTCGAGTTTATGGAGGTGAGCCTGTGGCTAACGACAACTCTGAACAAACTAAACAAAAATCTGACTGCTTCAAACCTAACCGAGAAACTCCAACAGGTCGGACAAAACATCTCGAAATTCGCCGAGAACCTGCGAGACTTCATAGTCAACAAGTCTTCTGAGATAATTGAGGATATAGTGGCGAGCAATTCCACTCAAAGCAAGTTATATAACGGTCTTTCTGATTGGCTGGAAACTTGGAAAGACAAGTTTTCTTATTTCAGCGACCAATCGGAGGACTCGGACAATTCGAGGGCAGCGCGGGTGAGGAGAAGTGACGATACGGGGTCCGTAGGTAATACTGATTTCTTCAAGTGGCTGACTGATGAAGCAACTCGATTGACTGTACCAGCAGCGCTGATAGTCTATTCCACTGTGAAAAGCGGGAAACAGAGCGTGACCTATGACCTGAGAGGGAAGGACAAGTTCAGTATCGACATTGACGACTTGAGGAGCAGTCTAACAGGCCCAGACGAGAATGGGGGATCCTGGCCCGCCAAATGGCGTAGTCGGAACCTACACCAAGTCAACGGTCAAGAACTGGCAAAAGACGGGGAAGCGCAAGGAGGCTGGAGTTTGAAAGAAGCCATAAGTCGCATCAAGATCCCAGATATTACCTGCATTGTTGAGGCCTTTCGCAACCTCTCCAGGTACGTCAATTTGATTATTCTTAAACCATTTATGTAAAAGGACGTAATGCTATGAATGTCTCACAAAGCATTTCAGAATGAATCTCTCCCTCTAGAATTCTAAGAGATACACACTAAAATAAAACGAATTTAAAAGAGGCGCCTTAAATACTTTTTTTTTCGTACTACCCGTGCATATAATTGATTAAATTCGATCTATTTAATATAATATAATTTAATTTAGTATTATTCAATCTAATTTAGTATTCTTTAATTTAATTTTAATACACGTTGTCAGTTTCTTTCTAAGGTTTCTTTGAAGATTTCTTATTTAATTTTAATTTAATTTATTTTACTTTTACTTTTCAATTAAGTTTTTGTTAGCCTTTTAGTCAGGAGAGCCCCTCGACAGAGACTTTGTCTCTTTTGGGCGATCCTTCGGGAGCTGTTAGGTTTTTTTTTCTCTTCTCCTTCAATTTGTTTGTCTTGGTTTTGACTGTTTATCCCGAGAAAAAAAGTAAATGCGAATGTAAATACAATCAACTTCGTTTGAAAACAAGTCCAATTTCCTGCACAATGTTGCACTTGAAGTATCGCAGCAGACAATGTGGCAGAAATTGTAAACACGGCCGTTATATCTTTACAGATCTCTAAAGCACAATTGGTGTGTTAAACAAAATGTGAATTTCACCCAATTTCCCCCTTTATGGTAGAACACCCTTTCGAATGTGTCTACCAGCTGCTAATGGCGGAGATGTGATCTGGGATAAAGCTGAGACGTGGATGTGTCGATCAGAGAACGCTACTCTCTCTCAAGACCTTGATCGGGTAATTCAACCTGACACTATCAAAAGACAATTTCAGTCACATCCCAATGCAGCATTTTATTTCGGCTTATATACACTTGAGAAAGAATCAATTTCTGTTAAATTAACATTGACATTGTTCATGTTGGTGCTGATCGAAAAAGCTGTAGTCGTGTGTAGCGAGAATATAGAGGACAGTTTGTACACAAAAATGAATCCGGTGGAAACTTTTTCTTTATTTCATTTTGAGCGCTTCCAATTTGTGTTTGTATTAACTTTAAGGGAAATGCGATTGCAAATCCGAAGCATTTATTTTTTAACTGTAACACCCTTATGTGCCGAAAATGTAGTTACGATTCATGAAGAAGACACCTATAAATTCATTTAGCGCATATCAATTGAAATAATTTTCAACTTCTTTAAGGGTGGGAAACATATCTAAATAAACTGCACTAAAATGTTTCATTTTTACAGGCGATAAGGGAGACCAAAAACTTCGGCTTAGGAAGTACGGCTGACCTGACATTCATTAAAGTCATCGTGAACCTGTGGACATTCATAGAAGAATGGAGAAATACCATTCCCGAGGTAAAGCCTTCAATTTGAACTCCTTTTTTGTAGTGAATTAAAACTAGGTAACCAAAATGTGTTAATATTCTCATTGAGTCTGTTTGAAATACACCTTGATTTTTAACGTACTCAATTCAAAAACATTAGTTCCATGAATGGTGGGCCTACAGCAGCGCCCAAATACTACTTTCTGACAGTATTACACACTCGCTCCGATCAACCATTTTGAGTTAATATGGCGAATATGATATGAGCCAGGGTGACGTTAGTTTGGACTAACATAGCGCCTTCCTTTTGCGTCCGCCGTATCTCAAGCGCATGTGTTATTGCGAAGTGGTTCGGACGCGATCTAAATGTACCCGTATTATGGTACGGGTTTGAATTATGAGCTGGGTCATTCCGCACAATTTCAGAAGCATCAAAGATACAAGTTAAAGATTCTAATTGAAACAAATTCCGCTCAGACGTTTTCAGTTCTAATTGACTTTTCTTCTACTAGTTTTCAGGCTGTTGCACCGGGGATATTGAAAAACCACGAAGTCCAAATTGAATAAGGATAAACCCTCCGCCTATACACATACATTGTAACAGTAAACGTACAAGTGTATGTAGGGACTCACCTTTGAAATGACTCCGTTTAAGTATTCATTCCATTGAATAATTCTGTACTGTATCATCTTCTTTCAGGTTATCCTGATGGTCATCCAGGTCATCAATCACCTGTTATCGCTACCAGAGCCTATTATACCGCAACATTTTAGTAACATGTAAGAAACACATCCCTTCCCGTTTCACCTGTAAATCAGATGTTCTTCTTTTCGGCCGATTCAAATTTGTCTCACGACCCGTTTACCGAAATATGTAATTTGTTGCATAAGATGTAGAATATCTTCCTTTCGTCCAAAAGTTTTGTTGGATGATAGTGATATACTTCTTGCTGGATCTGATATTATCTGTTCTTGTAATGGTTTGTAAATTTTGCCTATGGTGCTAAGGATTCGGAGCATAACATTCTGAACACCACGCCCCAGCTACTTTCAATCCGTTATCTTTCATTCAAGTCTGTAATTACAACGTTCATCGGTCTAACTTGAATGTCTTCTGTAGATCTAACGCTGTTTCCAACCTTTTTTGGTATACGATAACAAAATGTTATATCCTAAAAACCACAACGATCTTTCTTTCATTGAAGCCAAGTATATCATTGGGTTTAACGTGGCAATCTGCAATGATCTTCAGTCCGACGAAATTAGCCACATTTTCTCCGTGTCGTTCTTCTTTCAGAATCATTAAGACCATCGAAAACTTGCCAAATCGTCCACTGCCGAATAATGTGACCAGCGTTAAGATTATCACGGATAATATAGTACTGGCAATGGAAAAGGTAAGCTTGTGTTTGTGTTCAGTTTGTATGGCTGGAATCCAAAAGTGATTGACAATATGTCAAACTACAGGTTCGAAATATTCTAGTGTTGTGCTCAAAAGTTTACCTCTAAATAATATGATGAACTTTCGCGGTGATTGAGAATTGTTTTTGTTTTTGACATTTTGTTTTACGGAATCTTCCCCTTTCAACTCAACTTCCGCTGCATATGGTATTTAGAGTTAATAGTTAATTAAACAATCTGACTGATTTTTATTCTGTTTTGCGGAAAAAAAATTAATGGACTGTACAGAGTTAAACTAACTTGATTTGAAATCTTTGTATTTCCGCTTGTTTGTAAGGACAATACTGTTTAGATATGAACCACGTTGGAATAGTTTTTATAATTTGGGCAAATTTGTTTTCATCACAACTATAAAGTGCGTATAAACTGTCACAATTAAATCATGTTCTTTATATCGATGTTGTTCAGGTGGAACAGGACACCTTTAGCGGTGCTCTCTTTGCTTCCATCAAACCCAATGAACCTACAGAAGCATACCAAGCGGACGACTATGGTGACTCAATGTCTTCACCGAGTAACGGTAAACTTCATTCGTGTACTTCATAATGTAGATTTGTAATAATCAAATGTAAGGAAAATTTAAATATTGCATACTTTAGGCATATCTGGTGTTTTTTTTATGCGATGTCCCTTTCTATTCACAGGAACAAAGATTGGTGACAATATTTTTGAGCATAAAACTGGCGCCCTCAACGAGAGTCTTCAGGGATTGGATTTGGACAATGTGGATGAATACTTTTATGTACCAGAAAGTATTTTCACCACCAACCAGCCCACCCAGTATAATACATGTGGTATGTGTAAGCAGTAAAACGTCTTAAGTCATGTATTCATAATAATCTTCACAAAGAATGTGTGAATCTCAGACAAAGAACGCGATTTACTTTCAAAAAAGTAAATCTTATGTAGATCGAGATTCTAGACGTTCATTTTAAACAATACAAACATGAATTGGGTCGACTGACGTACATGGAGCACCAAAGAATGCAAAACGAGTTAAAGATAAAAAATATTTAAGAACCAGTGTTACACCAGGGTTATAAATCTAAATGCAAAATTTTACTTTCAAGAAACATGGTTGTCGAGACTTAGCCCATTAATCTCAGATCATGTGTAGTTGGTCAGCAAAATAACCTGATAAATCATCACAACGAAATTGTAAACTTTAAGATAAGTTAAACAAGAGGAAGAAACAGTACGAATAGCGACGTTCAGCAATTAAACTAAAATGCATGCAGGGTCAAATCTTGTTGATTTTCTTGATGGACTCAATTCATTTTGAAGATGGAGTCAACGGAACCACAGCCTCTGTCAATACATCCATGCTTCAGTTTGTCGTTTATGAGAACGACCAGCTGTTTCGTGCAATGGATGACGAAGTTGCCGTGACATTGGCGGAGGATTTCACGGAGAGCAACCAGGCAGACTGGAAGGTGGGAATGTCCTCTTTTTGGAAATTCAAATTCCTGTAAAACATTTTTTAGGCGGATTTCATTTTTTGAAATAAGGGCAATTATACTTAAAAATTATACTTGACAGACTTAAAATTGTACCGCACATTCTATCTAATGCACAAAAACCTCGTCCTCGCATGAAAATCATACTAAAGTTGAGTAGAATGACATGTTTTGGTAGTGATAACAATACCCGAGCCTTCTCATTTGTTTTTGATTTTAATAACGTGTAAATTTTGACCACATAAAATTAAACTAGACACAACATGTCGTGCCAGTAGAAGTTGCCGTATCCTTTCTATATCTTATAGCAACGTTTCAATGCAAATGTAATGCTTGTTCATAAAACAGATCATTTCAATGTTACTGATTTCAGGTGACAAGTCGAGTAATGTCTGCGACTCTTGGCGGTCACTGCGTCTGGGGCCTGAAAAACCCGGTCATTTTTAGTCTGAAGCATCATAACCCAGTGAGTTTAACCAACGTAAGACAACAGAGAGCTCATCTCACCCAAATAAGTAGTTATTTTCATTATAATGTGCAGATTTTGAAAATAAACTTTTGTGGTTACGACTGCCTCATATTAATTCTGTGAACAAATTTTTGGCTGTAAGGGTAGTGTGCCTTTCAAAAATATTGCTCTTTGATGAATGTATTCAAAAAGCACATTGCTATTTGATGAATTCGGAAAACATAGAACTAAATACATCACCATACAAACGAATACATCTGAAAATAAAACCAGCCCAAAGTCCAAAGCCTAATTGAGGAACTTTTGGACCATCATCTAAGATCATCCTACAGCCACTGGACAATGTAAATTCGCATTTTGTTTGATCTGATTCAATTATATTTGCTCACTTGAAATATTTTTGTTGATGAATGAAGGTTGGAGACGGCGGTTCCCGACTCTGCGTGTATTGGGATTTCAAGGAGAGAGGTAGGTACAGAATGAGTTGTTTTTAATTGGGAAGTTACATCACCCTGAGTAACCATTTAGAATCTGTTACCCAAAATATAAGCCGTGGCAATTCATTGCTTTGCGTGGACGTTTCCGGATCATCGTATCGAACATTTTAACATGTCCGTGACGGGCACATAGTCAGACAGTATCATTGTAACAGAATGTCATATTATTTTCCCCCATACATTATATTGGATGAATATATAACTCGAGAACCAATGTTACTGTTTTGCAGGCGTTACTTTTTGCTTAAAGAGGTTGTGGAATGCTGAAAGTCGTTTTGTTTTTTATATTTTTTTTATTGTAGAGTAGACCCACATATATCATAATGACAAAGTCCCATTCTTTTGTAATGTGCGTTTATATGTTTATAAAACTGAATTCATCGAGTAATTTGTTGGTCGGCGAGCGTATAATTGAAATAAACAGTTGTCAGGTTCTTCGTAAAATGAGAAAAATCGTGACGTAATAAACGGGACTCGCATATACTACGCTGCATCGGGAGTCCTGTTTATTACATCACGATTTACTATGTTTTGTTTGCTGCCCCCAACGACGACTTTTACACAAATTGCACGTTCGGGTCGAAACAGTACCTGAAAAACAGCTCTCAAAAGTACCTTTTGTACTCATTTCATGTCAGACACATATATCCGAAAAATGACGGATATGTCTCGCGCATTCCACAACCTCTTTAAATTGTTTTATATTATAATGGTTGCCTTATCATATCTTTTAGGTGGTTCTGGCTCGTGGTCTACCGAAGGCTGCAGAGTTAGCATCGCGTCACGTGATCATACAATCTGTGAATGTAATCATCTCACCAACTACGCTGTCATCATCGTAAGTAGTGGTAAATCTTGAACAGTTTAAGGCTAGGGCTACGGCCGGCAGTAACATATGGGAGATCTATGGGAGATGAATTCAGCCACTTCCATAGGAGCACGTGTCCATGTTAGCCATAGCCAAGTGAAGAAGATCGAGAAAGACAAATAGCTTTCATCCGTGCCTGTTACTTCGATTTCATAAACCTTGCAGAGCAATGTGGTGTTTTCGATTTAAACAGGTTTGAGCGATTGGGTGCCTCTTTAGAAAAGCGAAATTATGCATAATTACCAAAAAAATAGAAAAACTCGTGATACCCATCAGATATTACCGCTGATAAATTGTTTTGTGATTTCCTTAACTTTTAAATTTAACGGCTGAAGTATCAACATCATCCCTGAGCCTAAAATGTATACAATGTTTATATTAAAAAAAAATCTCTTCGTTGATTGTCTCCTCTTCTGTGGCTGAATAGCGTTGGATTTCCCTTTCATTAGTTACCTTCGATCAATTTGTTGATTAGGCAAAAAAAAAAAAAGTCGGTCTCTGGTCAGACCGAAGTTCCGGAATTGATGCGGCGACGCGTTTTTAATTTTTTTTTGGTGGCTTTTTTTTTTTTCAAGCGTGTATTGTACAGACAAGGTGGGTACTATTTTGCTTGTTTGTGTCCTTATTATACATTGTTGTCCTCCATAATTTGCCTTGGTGCCCTTTATCATTCGCCTTGGTGCAATTTCCCCATTCCTTGGTGCTCCTTGGTACAAAAATTTGAGGAGGCGCGGCAATAGAGGGCGCTGTTGTAGCTTCCGTGTTAATTTGAAAAAAAAAGGTTGACGGGCATGATTAAAATCGATATCGATATCGATACTGTATATTTCAGGATATCGGGGCTCAACTAGGCAGAGGAAGTCTGCCTCAGGAACACAGTATGGCCTTGGAAATCATCAGTTATGCTGGATGTTCACTTTCCTTGATTGGTCTGATTATAACAATGGGAATGCTGATATCTGTCAGGTAAGACAAAGATACATCACACCAACAACTTTGCTGGTATGAGCTCGGAACGGTAATGATTATAGATTGATCAGGAGTAAGGATTAGGATCAGAGCTACATTGCAACTATTTTCATTAAAGAGCGATGAAATGTTAAAGGTATTAAGAATGAAAAGATTTTCTTCTTGCTCTGCTCGCATTACAATTGTGTGATTAGTAGTCATCTATGGTCATTTTTAAATTTGAAAATAAGGTGCATGGATCAAGATAAGTAAATAGTATTCAATCGAGCAGAAAATATTTTAATCCAAGTGTATATTGTGTTGTGCCTTGGAAACACCAAAAGCAAAAAAAGACAAAAAGTATATCAACTTCTTGAAAACGTTTTCATTTTTGCCGTTTAAAGAATTTGTCGATTGTTTTCTAATGTTGGCCTTTATCTTTATCGCTATTTTTCAAAAGGAAACTCCGAGAAGCAAAGACAACCCCGACCCGCCTGATGCTCTGCCTCTCACTCATCATCTCAATGACCTTCTACCTGACTGGAATAGACCAGACAAGCAACCCACGCGCATGCGCGGCATTTGCTTGCTGCATTCATTACTTCACGTTGGTGGCGCTCATGTGGATGGGCGTGGAGGGGGTGTACTTGTACCGGAATATCGTAGTGGTTGCCATGAACCCGACTAGGCATATGTTCAAACTATGCTGTACTGCAGCTTGGGGTATGTTCAACCCTTAAAAACTCGGTTTATTGCCATTTTATAGCTGGGGAGTGGATATTCTAGTTTTGGCTCAATCAAAAGAAGCGTTCTGCAATATTATAAAACAGTTTGTGGTTATTTTTCTAGCCAGAAGCTCATTAATATGCGAATGAAGTTGTTCGTGTTTTGTGAAATTGGCTTTTTATTATTTCAGTACGGAATAAATTTTGGACCCTGTCAGAAGTTTAAACATAACCGTTATTCTCCTAAAACGTAGTTTAAATTCGATTCCAGCGCTCACATCATTTACCTTAAATACAAGGTACGACTTTCTTCATGCATGTTCTTATATGAAGATGCATAAACGTATTTGGTCAACAGCATCTATGCCAACAGTTTCGAGAAACATATTGAACGAGGGAGGGGGAAATAAGCTGCATTCGTGTTTATTGTTGGTATTATTTACAGGCGTACCAGCTATTATCGTCGGATGCATCGCGATATTTGACTTGGAGGCCTATGGCAGTAATGAGAGGTAAGCTTGTTAAACAAATCACCAATATATTTCGGAAAAACAAATGCGTAACTTTGCACCTTTACTTCTGATGTACCTACTCTGAGCAAAGCACACACCTCCAAATCCTTGTAGTTTCTCTAGCATATTCTCAATTTATCATTTTTTTCAAGGGTGGGCGGGGGACATTTACCCACACCACTCCCATTAACACCCCTGCAGACGCCCATTTTGTTAAATGTGCATAAAGTTAAAGCAAATAGGACTTCACACCTCTTTATGGGGGGTTGCTTTTCCGGGGGGGGGGGGGAGCCCCCCTTGCCCCATCCTGGTGACGCCCATGCCTGGATGATCAATTTAATTGGAAATATTTCATCCCAACAGCGTCATATGGTTTCCGTTCCTGAAGCAAAACATTGTGCCTGAACCCTCCAGTCCAGTCATTCAACCTTCTGCAGGAGCCACAGCTGGAGACTAGGCCTAGCTTTAGAAAACGAGCACGTACAGGGAAATTGAATGGTCGCGAGTTGTGTGTACTTATATTCAAATTGCACGTTTCAACACTGTCAGTATGGTTTGGTTGAAAGAATAAAAACACTTTCTTATTTTTTTTTCTAGATGTTGGATTTCCAACTCGACTGTGTTCTTTGCTGCCTTTCTCGGCCCTGCTCTACTGATCGTCACCTTGAATTTCATGGTATTCTTCATGGTCATGTGGGTGTTATTCCGACGGCCGTTTGGTGCGCGACGTTACACCTCAGGCAAGGAGCATCGCGAGTTCGCACGCAGACGCAGAGAGATCTTTGGTATCATCTCCATAACAGCTCTGCTTGGTGAGATTTGGCCATTCAGTTACTAAAACTCTGGAACTTCGTGCCGAAATGACGTACTAACTACATTGTGCACACTCGACACGAACAATTAAACACGCAGTCGTGTCAAGATGGACCTCTTTAACGTTGCTAGATTCGTCCAAAAAGCAGTGAAACTAGCCGGGGGCACGCAGTGTCACCTGGATACCTATGAAAGCCAGTCAATTGTATTTCTTGTAATGATTGATTGAAAATTCAACGATGAACAGGAATCTTGTCGATAGACAAATAGACCGCCATGATTTTTCCGTGGATTTCCATCCCGTTCTTAAGAACGTCAAACTTCAATATTGGGTTTCGCCCTTCACCGATTATGAGTCTTTCTATTCTTACCGCATGTTGTTCGTCAAAAACTAATATTGATTTACATCTCCCCGACGCAAATTCCAACTAATGAACGTCAAACTTGTCTGTAATTTGATGTTGTCATTTTAGGACTGTGTTATAATCCATATTCCTATCGTTTTCATACTTAAAGACCACGCTTCGGCCGAATAATTTCAGTCTTAGTGTATTGGATTTCACCACTGCTCAAAAGATAAAATGACGTGTTAACTATAAAAGGAAATTATATTGCTGTGTAGGTTTACACCGATTTATTGAAAAAATCATCTGATGACAAACAACATGCGGTAAGAAAAGAAAGAATCAAATAATTAAACCTATAACAAAGCTAAATCCTCGAACAACATTAAAAAAAACCGAATACTAATATTATGACTTCGCTTCATCTAACCTATTCAGTGATTTATTCCACTTATTTTCTTCCTATATATGTTTGGCAGGTCTTACATGGATCTTGGGGTCTTTCTCTATGGGTGATGTCGGTGTCCGTTTGACATCTCTCTACCTGTTCACCATCTTCAACTCCGCTCAGGGGTTCTTCATCTTTCTCTTCTACGGCCTTCTATCCTTCTTGACCACTCGGGGTATCAAGTCACCGCACACAGGCACCCCTCCTCTGACCAACACGGCGGCAAAGCTCAGCCAGTTCGCAGTCTCCACCGTAGCACTCAACAAGACCATCCTTCAGATACAACAATGTCGCTCACGCTCAAAGCAAAACAGCAGCTCTGGCGAGAGCATCGTGACGTCATGCAGTGATGTCCAGCTGGAATTCGGTAAGAAAAAAGAATATAATGATTTCTTTTTAGTGTTCTATTTTGAATGGCTCACTTTAATTTTCATTGTATTTGATTTGACGTTTGTCCACAGGTTCATGGAAGAAAAAATAAACCGATGTATTACGTAGCGTACACACATCACTACATATCAGTAATAAACAGTCTAATTGTTCATTTTCACCGAGTGTGAATTATTAAGACTTTCAATTCCATGGAAAGGACTTTTTGAGTTTTCATCAATTCATTTCTTTTATTTCAGGACACGACAACCCAAGTTTTCAGCCTGACCTTCTGCCAGCGAAAGCTAAACAAGAAATGTTCGCTGGTGAACAACAGCCCCAAACCCCGGACCTGACACCCTGTAGCTTTGTGCTGTCCGCTGGGATCTTGAATGCAGGGAACCAGCATAGCTTGATCTATCTGATGGATTCAGAGTCCAGTGGCACATTGTGGGCGGGGCCTCAGCACAGTAAGAAGGATGAGTTTGTACTTGGCACGGGCATCATATTTTGTGGAAAGTCATAATAAACTCAGTTTCAACCCGAATATCCTTGGCAGATGTTGCGAAAGAAAAGGCATATCTGCGCTGCGGCTCCAATTCAATAAATTCTCACTAAAATTGTAGTTATTATTCCGACAGAAAAACAAAATCAACGCCAGTGCGCTAGGAACTGCTCACATGGGTATCATTTTGTGAAGCGAAGGAAGTTTGCCGAAACAAAAAGAGTGCTATATTAATTAATTTACAAGCCAGTGAGAGATTCAATTGCTTGCGAAATGGAAAGAAAGGGACAGGACTATTGAAACATGAAACACTACCTTACAGTTGGAGGAAACTCACTTTAAGACGTGACTGCGCAGAAACCAGAAACGTCTAACCTAATGTAAAACTGACAAGGGGCAAGCACTTTTTTTATAAATAATTTTTTTTAAATCAATTTGCAGGAAATAACGATTTCACAAAAGAAGAGCAAATTTAATATGTTGGTATGAATGTTGCAAATCAAATATGTTTTTTTATAAAAAAAAGTGCTGGCGAAACTTTTTTTATAAATAATTTTTTTAAAATCAGTTTGCAGGAAATAACGATTTCACAAAAGAAGAGCAAATCAAATATGTTGGTTATGAACAATGACTGGCACGTCAGTGTTGAATTTAACCATGTATTCGTGATGATATTTAATTATCTCGATCTGTACATGCCAGCACTTCAAGTTACAACGACATTAACGGTTTGTCCTCCCCTTTTCAATTTCATTAGAGCGAAGAAAAGGTTGACATCATACCTTTTCTTTATTTTTTCCCGTACTACTCAATTTTTGCAGTGCACTGAGCAAAGTTAAGTTTTGGTCTGCATTGCGTATATAAACACAAACGTGAAATGGCTCCCCTATTTTTCATCAACAGATTTTGTTGCCAACTTTTCTCGCAAATTGCTAACACTGAAAATGAAACGACGAGAAAGTGTTCGGTATTCGAGGTCAAACGAGCCCGTTTGTCTGCTGAGGCACTTCATTCAAAATCGTGCAAATTCGCAAGTAACGATGCTGGGTGAATTGGTGTTTTTAATTTTGCAGATAATGATATGAATTATTTGGTTGAATCGTGCCTTTGATGATACACGTAAAGACACTGGTGTATTATTTTTGTATTTACTCTTTTTTTGAACTTGTATATTGAAAACGTTTTAATGTTTTGTTAGCGATTAATTAACACAAATCACACCGTCCCCCCCCCCCAAAAAAATGGAGGACATTGCAAAATTAAATTACAAACGCATTTTAGTCTCCGAAGATAAGAAATGCAAACACAAGGACACTGGGTCTGTTATCAAAATCACGTTTAAACGCGAAGACATGAACAAAAAGTATGTCACTTGAGAATATCAGTTCAGAAAGTTTATTTGTGTCTAAGACAACATATGTGATATGCGCCTTCTCATGAAACACGTATATTTTCCCCTGTAAACATCCCAGGGATGGAGGGATGTTTAGGTTAATTATTTGCAATCATGCAGTGACTTACCTTGCCCTCCAAACATAATTTTATTTCAAGTACATTTGTTCTTTAAAGTAGCCTATACGCACGTAATAAAAAACTAAATTGACAGTTAACAAGGGGGGGGGGGTTGACTGGTTGCTAAGGCCGACTCCGTGTTGTTTCCTAAAGCGCAGTCAGGTTCCCGCCGTACTTACTATGAACTCATACATAGTGCACGTCCAATGGGAGTGAAACAAGGACAGTACTAGGAAGACAAGGGCAGTACTAGTAAACGAAAGTCCTGCATAAATCCGACTTGTATGTTGCCAAGTCGCGCGCATGCTGATAATCAACGGTTTATTCAGTATTTTCCAATCCATATCACAGTGGTTTTTTTTTACCTTATCATTGAAGTAATGGTCATTAACCAAAACCTATTCAACATCATGCATCATTGACCAAACCATGGCCTGCATTTATTTTTTGCTTTTGTGCAATTCTTTTTTTTCTGGAGGAAATATTTTATTCAACCTCAAAGCAACTCCGCAGCTATACCGAAACTACTTGAGAAACCAAGTCACAAAATAATCTGACCTTTATAACACATTTGGAAATACAAAGTTAATTTTGACACAGTACTTCAAAGGAGTCCCATTTTGTGTGAAATTTTGCAATAGATCCATTTGTAATCGAGATGTACTTTTCCAAAGTAAAATAACGTTTTAAATCAAGTTTCAATAGTGCAAAGGATCGTTCATCTTCATCTTATAAATGTGAAAACGACACAAAATGAGGATCAGGTTAAGAGCACTCCACGATTTTTTTTTTTTTTTTTTACATAATACCGAAAAGTATAGCCTTATCGTCTAAGCGTATATTTAAATTAAGAGTCCTCTCAAACCAGTCATTAACCAGGGTCCAAAACATAGATGATGATCTCACGCCTACAAAATAGATGAACAAGCGTTTCGCTCTCTAACTTACAAAAAGTACACAGAGCATTATCTTTTTTGCCAATTTTAGCTAAGAAGGAATTAATGCCAAGAATTATGTGGACTAGTCTAAATTGGAACCACTGTAGTCTAGAGCACTAATATAAGAACGAAGATCCACCATTTTAACTCCATCTTGGCTATGGTTTTGAACCATTTGATTTCTAGTAACTCTGTCAACGCCTTTCTTAATAAACTTATACAGCATATAATCAAGATTCTTGATAAATATTTTAGGAGGATCTGGGAGTGTTAAAATTAAAAAGGTCAGCTTAGACAACATAAGAGATTTAACTACAGTAACTCTACCCAATACCGTCAGACTACGTTTAGACAATTTTTCCAATTACCCTGTTAAAAGTGGATTGTGTGGATTGGGGGCAATAAGGGCCGACAAAAAGGTATTTGCTCCAATGTCAAGGTCAATTGGGTTGGTCCTTTAGATAATTTTAGAGCCCTTGGCATTGATTTTTCAACAAACCTAGACAGTATGGTTGATACTAATTATAACAGGATGCTTTTGTGCAATTCTTCTGTGAATATAATATTACACAATGTCATCTGTGCACACTTTCGATGGGCTTTCATGGAGCCATGTGGCTTTTCCACCATTGTTCCTACTGTATCATCGGCCGTGCTGGTAAAAAGATGGAGGTTAACTTTGTGAAAGAAACCCCTGACATTAAGGTTCCTTAAAATGAGAGAAACAGTATGGTTTTGACACACTCATATCATTCATTAAACTGATTTATGTAATTATATTAATTGAGGTATGATCTGCAAACTTTCATACATTAAAATTTCTTTAAATTTTAAGTATTTTGTGAGTTAAAAAAATTAAAAGCTGCTGGAGTCTTGCCATATAATGTGAATCTCAAGGCAACAACAGGAAAAGGCTCGTAACTTAATGTTTAACGTCGTGTTTGTTGACTTGTTTAAGATCTATTTGTATTTCAAGAACAGAGCGCCAGCTCACGAAGAACACTGGTATTTAACATCGGATTGTGAGACGCCTGTAATTGTGTGCGGTCCGTAGAGTTATTGCGGCAGATTAGATTGTGTGTTGTTAAGCCCGTGACTTTGCTCATAAAGATGTGTGTATACGTAGACTAAGGTAAAATCCACGCCAATAATAAGAAGCTAGAAATCGGTTGTGTAAATTATGTGATAAAAATCATTAAAATTGTTCGATAATAAATATACAGAAGACACATTTTTGTAAATAAATACAGTAACCCAGATAGGCCTAAGCATTCTAATTACGTGCAATTTTGAAATTTTAATGATCAGTTACCTATTATGATTGTGTCCATATTCTGGCTTTGATTGATTCAAGGGAGGATCCAGAATAACATGTTTTTGGTGGGGGGGGGGGGGGGCAAGAGGAATCGAGTATTTTTTCAAAGGGGATGGTATATAATATCGTGTGCTATCCAAGTGTGAAGCTGATGGCTTGCGGGGGCACTCACCATTTTAATATATTTCCATAAAATTAAAGAGATCAAGATGTCTTCGCTCCTCCGATTAAAGGAGGGGGGGGGGGGGCATGACCCCCGTTTGCACCCTTGATCTACCAATGGATTGATTACTGTAGGAACACATGTTATGATGAATGTTTGTGTCGTATATAGTTATCAGTTGTATTAAAAGTTGTGCTTAAGAGTATGTATGTTAGAAATATGCACACAAGCATGTTCTAGAAGAAAATGTTCTATAAGAAAATTGTAGGTGTAACTCGGGTGATTGCCATTGGGTATCATGCTTTTGCAAGTTTGTAAGGGCAATGAGAAAACACTGCATTCATCTGTACGCTTCAGACACAATGATGTAAATAAAGATATAGATAAAAATAATGTGTACAAATATGTATTTCCAGCATATTTGCATAATCAGTATTTAAAAAAATGGTAAGTAAGAGTAAGTATACAAAACAATGTTTATGCACCTTTTATAGAACCAGGTATATAGAAAAAAAACCCAAAAACAAAAGGAGCCATTTAAACTAAGCTTCCAGTATGATAAATTACCCTTTTCGGCGGTTCTATTTTATGGTGAACAGGTAGTTTTAATAATAACAATAATGATAATAATCGTATTTATGTAGCGCCTTTTCCAAACGATACAAAAGTGCTGGGTGAGAATGCAACCACAGACAGGTAAATTAAGTATATGAACATATGAAACCCACTATGTAGCACCTTTTTTGCTAGGTGCTGCGGCGCATATTGCTGCCACTGCCAGAAACACCGGGGAAAACCCCTCCTCTTAGCGATAAGTGTTACTGTGTTCTTCAACGTGTATTACACAACAGGAGCACAAGCACCATGTTCCCACGGTCAGGATTTCGAACCCAAGTCGAACCCCGTAACCATTGGACCACAGCGCCCCACTACATGTAGTTTTACACCCTGGAACTTTGGCAAATCATCTTTTGCTTGTAAATTTCGTAGTGATTATCATAAATAAAGAATACAGAAATGATCTTTGCCGTATTTTTCTTTGTGCAACCAAAAATTATTTCGTGTTCAGAGTTCAGACATATGCATTTCAACATTGCACAACAGTAAACAATTGATTTCTCCATACATGTTGCAGTTGCTATTGAAACCGATTGCTAAAGAAAAGCAAATCTTGCTGATCACTACATCAAGGTTTGAAATATTTATGATTTTGAAAGATTTTTTCACCATAGGCAGCAGTAAAGCAAGTACACAAATTGTTTTGAGAAAAATTGCGTCCATTTTATGTTTTTTTTTGTCGGAAAAGAATGAGGACTTCTATACGGATTGATTTCTCATGAGATGAGTATTCTGATGATACGACACAATGTAGACATGATCCCGTCTGTCAAACCTTTGATAAGCTTGATGTAAAATGGTACAACTTACGATTACAATAAAGAAACATTATTTAGGAACTAACAAATAAACGATTAATCCTCTAAAGATCAAGATCATAATATTTTCCCCATATTTTTACGGGGGCGATATTTTGCACAACAAACCAATAAATATAACAAAACCTTCCCTAGCGATGGCATCGGCTCATCGTCCTTTTGGCGCTTCCCCCTTCTTAACTCCCATTTTGGCATACAAAGAAAAACTCGATTTTTTATTGGTCTAGATTGCGACTCCGATATTCCCGCCAGCAAATTTTTCTTCTGCAGAGTTGTTTTCTCTCATTTACCTTAATATAATTATGCGTGCGTGAAACATATCACGTGGATGAATGAATATATCAGGTGATATAAAATGACTTTATAAAGTATTGCTTTCAGGCGAAGACCGCAGCAGCATTATGGCATACTACGTTTAGGTCAGTGGTCAAAATGCAGCATGTTGGGGAATTTTACATATTTTCCCCCAGGAGTAAATTCTCTTTATACCGTACTTAAATTGTGTTTAAACAAGTCCTATGACTGATCGATGAAATAAATTTCACTTTTTTTTTCTGTTTTGTGGCTCTTGAAGGATTTATTAAAAGGGGATTTAAGTCCGAGAATGTTTCCTTTACCAACTGACGCATGCGTCAGTTGGTAACGGCATTGATTGTACCTGGTTATTGATTATACTTGCCAAAAGTGGGTCACAAAAACACGAAGAACTTCACAGAATGAATGATGATTATAACGGAGGAGGAGAGGGAGTAAAAACACACTTTGTTACCTGTCAATAATTTCCACATCGACGATTTAAATAATTTCGTCCGGCGGTGAATTGCATGCCTCCACTATCCAGCATTATGACATTGAAGTCGTGCAGCATATTCACAATAGACCTTTTTCCAAAATCAAATAAAGCGAAACAAATTGGGTGTTTGAAAAGGACAGGGCGAAGTGCTTTCAAAAGAGATTCACAATAGGGTGGGAAAATAGGTATATAAGGATTGGGTACTATGAGGACCAACACAGATCAGCCAGATTGTCATTTTTGCCTGTTTGGTTCGCTTCGACACTTTTCAGCAAAGATGGATGGTTTCGATCTGGAAGACGTTTGTGTTGGCAGAGTAGATTTAGATTTTCGCAATGTCACGGAGATAAGCTTGCTCCGTTCGTCGGTGGAAAACTGGGTCACATTAATCGGCATACCCCTGGTTCTTCTATTAGGTGTACCCAGCAACCTTTCCTTTCTCTTTACTCTGTATAGAGTGCCTACCATGCGCACCACGACCAACCTGCATTTGGCCAACCTAGCAGTATCTGACTTCATCTACCTGTCTGTCGTCGCGATTCTGAATGTCCGGGGTTACCTCACCACACCGGTGTCAGGCACCGCCCTTGCCCGCTCCTGGGTCGAATGTTGCGCCATTATCTTATTCATAGACATACCATACTTTGCGTCCAATACCATTGTGACGCTAGTGGCGTTTGAGAGATACTACGCCATTTGTCATCCGCTCAAGCAGAATGCTAGCGGACCGCGACGCCACCTCGGGCTAATCATCGCTGGCTGGATTGTATCCATCGCCTTCGCCTTTTCTGTTGTTCTGCGTTACTCAAAGCTCACAGTGATATGTGTCCTCTGGCCGGACACTGAGGAGTTCAAATCCCTGTCCCAAGTCGTCACATTTTGCTCTTCTGGCGAGCCCTGGGCTAATCTCTATTCTCAAGGCTTGTACTCCGTCATATGGCTGGGAGGTTTGTTGACGAATAGTTTTCTCTACTCCAGGATAATCCATCGACTTAGCCAGCGCAATCTTGGTCAGACAAGTGTGAATCAGGCTATCCGACGATCAGTCGCTCGTATGCTCATCGTCAACAGCGCAGTTTTCTTTCTTTGCCAGGCGCCCTACACCATCGTTTTCAACTTGCTGAACCTGATCTCTGCTGCTAAGGGAAATCCGGTGACCGACCCACGGCAAGTCACCGAGCTCTGGCCCCTTATAATCCTAATGGGACTTGTGAACAGTGCAGTCAATCCTATCATTTATGGGTTGGCTAACTCCCGTTACAGACAGGCTTTCCTGCAGGCGTTTGGCTGCACCATGGCGACCCAAAGGCGCCGGGAAATCAAAACGATCTCTACTGCCTCATCCAACGTGCCGAGCAAAGACAATCGTGCCGACATGAAAGATAAGAATGCCTCATTCAGCATGCACGGTATTGACAACCCCGTGAGCTTAGAAGATGAGGCACCCCGAAGTGATCTAATGAAAGAAAACCAATTTTAACTAACAACTGGATTTGACAGCTTAAAAGTTGTGCATAGTCCAACCTATGGTGCAAGATTTAAGCTCACTTTTAGGAGTCGCTAACACTGTGACAGCACAGCACATGCAGGGCCGGGTTAGGTGTTCCGTAGGCCCTAGGCACCAGTGTTCCGTAGGCCGTACTCCGAAATAGGTACAAGCATAAATTTCTGTTGATGCTAAGCTGTACTAAGCATGCCAGTCCAAACTGGTAGCTGAAAAGGCCTGTTGGCACACTGTGGTATGTTTCGTAGGCCCACAGTGCCTACTATACCGATTGGATAATACGGGCCTGCGCACACGAAGTTCAACTTAGAACAGTGCAGTATATTTTTTTGTCCCAGACTTTGAACAGCAGTTCACCAAGCAATTTGGTCAGGACTAATCATCCATGGACGACATTTCCAGCAGTCATTCTTTGTCATGAGCGACTTGGTCTTCAGGCGCATCGAACTTCGAACCCTTCAGGAAGTGTTGGGGTACATCCCGAGGTAACACATGTGTGGCCAATTCCACCATTATCTTTCTAATTAGCAGCTTTATTACCAATCTTACCGACGATACCCACTAGCATTTGTAGGAAGGCACCGGCTATTCAAACCTGCAATAGACGCAACGTGTGTTGCTACGGACATCACTTGCAGTTTACAAGAGTAGTCCTATCTCTATTCGTAAAGTAACTTCAGCTTAGTTGGATGTAAATGTTTAGATGTCGAATGCGATTTGGACACGTTATTTAACCCACATCTTTCAAACAGCACTGTTTAGACACTGTAGTTAAAAAAAACCAAATCGTGTAGAAGGAATTCATAGAACTGACTTTGCTGAAGCAACCAAGCTCCAATGTCGATGCCTATATCTCTATTTTTTCTATCAAGAACCATCAGGATATGGAACAGACTTCCTGAAGCAGCCGTGTGTGCACCCTCCATCTGCACTGCCGTCAAGCCAATAGCACTAAACACCATCAGTGCCAATTTATTGGTTACGAGCATGAATATATTAAGTATATCTTCAGCAATAGCAACAACACTAGCATAAGCATTTAAGTAACATATAGCCTCGGAAACAGTTAACATTAAAAAAAGGTTGTAAAGACGCACATAAGATGTTGGGTAAGTATAAACAATCCCCGACTTCAAAGCTATACGCTAAATTTAGTTGGAAAATATAGATTAACTTACCCAAATATTTGGTTTAAAAAACGTATTTAAGTATGAATGAAACAAACATGAAAACACATTTAACTGCCTGTATCCTACTCTGCGATTAATCTAAAACCAGTCTGGAGCAACGGCACGTCTTTGGAGGAGGACCTATCAAGAACGATAAAAGGGTAGATGAGTTTTGACATTGACAAACCCGTCATAATCAATTAGGTTGGTGATTGTGCATAACCACTGTCCTCAATCCGTTAATCACACAATCCATCAAATACGGAAATCATGCATAATGTGATAGAATAAAATAAGGACGGCCGGTGTTCGTTGCTTAGATACGTTTAAGCACCACGGGAATCGAAAAAAAACACGCGACATTGTGTTCGTAAAATCGTATTCTTTTGTTAAATCTTATATTTGCGAAAAGAACTGGGAATATTTTCAAGGACACATTGTCCTAACTCATGGTGTAGTATGTCGTCTATGTGACTCTTCGTAGCACAAGTTTAATCTATTAGCAGCAATGCTCCTCAACAACAAGGTTAGCCAACCCGTGTACAACAGTCTTTAAGCGGATCCTTCGCGCACGGTTGAGTCATAGACATGTCAGCAATATTATCGTGGTCGTTATCCTCATGACGGATAAGGAAATGAGAATGATGATTGCTGTGGATCGATCAAGCGAAACAGCTTAGAAATGCAATTTCTGATATAACAATAGGGAAGCTCACAAGGACATACACGTATTAGTATGACATGCCCATGGGATTTAAAAACAAAATGTATCCAAAAAAATTACCAGCGGAAGAGAAACGTCTATGTGCTATCGTCATGTATTTCAAGTACTTGTATAGAGGAAATCTTTTCTCGTGTTGAATGAACACGAGAACAGGGTTTCAAATGACAAGAACCAACGTGGGAATGGTTTCTGCGGACGAATTTCCACTCCCCACGTATTGGGGAGTAGATGGAGAACGTTAATTACTTAAATTATTTAAATTATTGCATTGAAGGGATTTACATTATTTTCGAAAGATAATCACCTTTCCCTTCTTTTTACTCGGCGTTTTAATATGTTGGCTGCCATTTTGAATTTTCGTTCAGCTTCACTCCACACACGCACTTGGGTGTTCGTAATCGGTAACCCGAGAACACTACTCGCGAGTCACTCGACAACGGGGTTTCGAATCCGCCCACAGTGTTTAGTAATATACCTTTTTCAGGGTACGGCATCTTAAGAATCGAAGCGAGGCATATAAGGTCAACAAACAGAACGGCGTAAATGTGCGGTGAACGAGTGACTCACACAAAGTTACAGCAGATCGACATTTCTATAAATGGATATGAATGTCAAACATATTCTGTAGTTTTCGTCTCATTGTATATTGAAGAAGGATCTAATAAAAAGTCCAGAACCAGTGGATTAATTACGTTTCCGTGATAGTTTATTTCGCGTAGCACCGCCGCCACTCCGTCAAAACTTTCTATTTTCACTTTTCCATCTGCGACGTTTTCTGAACTGAAATTGCACCTGTTTAGTAGGTGCTTATTATCCGCGAATTGTGATTCACACAGGGCCTGTCATTTTCCAGGAATAAGAGAAAATTTTGAGCCCGATGAGGGAAAGTGAAAACATTCTGTTTCGATTTTCAACGCTGGCGCACTGTACCCCGACTCGTTTACGTGCAAAATGGCTCGAGCTCTTCGGGATAAGTGTCGATGTCTCGTACGTCACGTACCATTGGGACAGGCACAGTGCACGACCGAAAGTTCTTCATGAAACTTGAGAATGTTTTCACTCGCTCTTTATTTCTTGGAAATGACAGATCCTTACGAATGACAGTTTGTGGATAGTCTTTAATATTGTAGGCCTAAGTAATTTCTACAAAACAGGTGTAATTTCAGCTCAGTGAGAATAGAAAGTCGTGACGTTTCTCTGATCTGACGGTACGGCGGTGCTACGAGCATTAAGCTAACACGGAATTTTCGGTTCGGCCACTGCTTGTGGGCTCTATATTAATAAATTATTGGGAATTTGAGCTATAAGTGTTAATGCTGAAACTTAGTGACAGTCACTTGTTCACCGCACACACTATTTATGCGCCATGTTTGTTAGCATTATATGCCTCACTTTGATTTTTAAGATGGCCTACCTTGATATACCGGTAGGTATATTCCTTTGTTCGCTCGCATCCACAGCACATGACACGCTGAACCTGTCGAGATGCGCAGTGCTTTCTCATGGATTTGACCAATCAAACACGGTATAGGTTTGCGTTGGCCTAGTGCAAATAGCAGTTGCTTTATAAATGACATCAATTTCTAATGGGCAAACACACCGCGTCTGGCTTTCATTAAACGGCCCACGTACTCTTCGTTATCGACGGCTCAAATCACTAAGTAAAATGGAAAACGCGAACGATTCGGAAATTTGCGGTGATTTCACCATCGACTTTACCAATGAGGAAACTGCAAAGATGATGTCTTTCAAACAAAGTGAAATCTTACTTTCCTCCGTTGGGGTACCAATTGTTCTTATCATTGGGGTGCCTGGTAACGTCGCCTTTCTGTTCACGTTGTACAGAGTTCGCCGTATGCAGACAACAACCAATTTCTACTTAGCTAACTTGGCCGTGGCAGACCTCATGTACCTCATCATATTCTCAGCTTATAACACAAAAACATTCTTATCCACGCCTATCGCATACAGCTGGTTCGCTGAGTCATGGCTGGTATGCTTGGTGATCACTTTGTCTCTTGATATTCCTTATTTTGCCTCCAATTCCATGATCACCCTTGTGGCTTTGGAGAGGTTCTACGCCATTTGTCACCCTCTCAAGAACCTAATGGCAAGGAGTCCCAAACGGACCGTGTCCATAGTTGTGATATTTTGGATTGTGTCGATCCTCATTGCAGCTAGCATCTCATCTCGCTTATCAACACATCGTGTGGCTTGTGTACTGTGGCCAGACGACGAGCAGTACGCCACACTCCCAAGCACGGTCAACTTCTGCGTGGCCGGGGAACCCTGGGTGAAATTCCTAACGCAAGCTTTGTATTTTGGCTTCTGGTTTCTTGGACTAGCGACCAATACTTTCATGTACTACAAGATCGTTCGTCGCTTAGGTCGACGTCTTATCCCAACATCCTCTGCACAGACGCACCACTTGAACGCGAAGCAGGTTCGCAATCAGATTGCACGAATGCTGATCGTCACCAGCGTTGTGTATTTCTTGTTACAGTCTCCACGTGTAGTCATCTTTAATTTGATGGGACTGATCCAGTCAGCAAGCGGCGTATCTGTACTGCAGCCAGGAGCAGTTACTACTCTATGGCCTATCGCTATATTCCTGGCCTTACTGAACTCAGCACTCAATCCTATCATATACAATGTCAGCAGTCCCAAGTACAGACAAGCATTTCTGCAGGCGTTTACGTGCCGCATGAAGAAGAAAAAGGAAAAGGTATCCACATCCACAACTACCAGAAAGACTGATATTGCTCGAAGTATTTCTAACGTTAGACTTGATGAAAACCAACTTTAGACTTTGAAACTCATAAAGACTGTAATGGACTGGAAATGTTAAATTTATATTTGGCGTTGGTTTAAAAGGGTTTTTCGTACTAAACTTTACAATCGCAAACTCCCGTTGGCGATATAACTTAAAGAAAACTTAAACCGTCGTTTTAAATAGCTGACCTGAAGCTGTTCAAGCTAAATTCTCGCAATTCGTTTCCGTTGTAAGACTCGAATATCAAAATGGGATGAGGATGTTGTGTTGTAGTCATTAACGTATTTACAAGAATTTTCAGTAATCTCTTATTTGCACTTTACAATTGATTACCTTAACATATTAGAAGTGATTACCTTGCACAAGATAAGAGTGAAATTAAATACTAGTGTGTTTTAAGACGTGTTTAATTACGCTAACTGGAACTAAATTAAGAACTTAAGAAAGTAACAGGAGTTTAAAAAAAGAAGAATATTTTAAGAAGAAAAACAAGCGTTTCGATTTTAGCAGGTAAACTATATAGAAGAAAAAAAAATAGTTATAATTATATAAAATAATTCATATGTTGATGTCGTAGTTTTCAGACAATCACGCTCTCTTGCTTTATGTAAATAATGTGACACTTATTAGCATGAACCATTTAAGAATGGAAAGAATGCACCTTAAGATGTAGTTGTTAAGACGCTTGGCTTGCCTACAATATGTTTTAGTAGGTAAACCTTACTCAGTGTAACAATATGATCGGCTGAAAACACTTTTAAAATGCTGTCATTTAAAGAAATATACACTGTAAAAACAGTGTTTAGCATTTAAACACATCAGAAACGTGTTTAGAGTTTAATACGTTTAGGAATGTGTTTCAATTCTAAACGTTTACCACTTTTTAATGTTGTGAAACTAAACGTGTTTACGTTTTGGACATGTGCTTAGAATTGTATATCTAAATGCGCTTAGGAAGGTGTTTAAATGCTAAACATATTATTCATTGCACATGTCAAACGGATAATGCGTGTCACAGAAAAAGGACATCTAAACATGTCATGATGCTAAACGTGTGGAAAAAGTGGGTACAGAATTAGTGTTTAGAAATATGTTTAAATCCTAAGCACCATTTTTACAGTGTATTTTAACTAGGAATTTTGTTCATAAAAAGATGTGTTAATCGACAAAATGGCTCCAGACCCAGAAAGTAAAGTGCCCATTTGTGAATGTAAATGTTAAATTGGCTCTTTTAATGCTGAATTTTCAATCAGCTTCCATTCAGTAAAAATCTTGCGTGGATTTTCCTGTTCTAAGAAGAAACAATGGGTCGTAGGAATACAAACTAGAAAATGCTGGGGACTTTAAGCAAAACGTAAAAACATCTACTTTGGAGTAAAAACATTAAGGAAAAGCAAATGCTTAAATCCGTATGAATACAACTTTTCTTTTACTGTTCAGCATTAATATACAGCCGGTAGTACTGTTGGATTGGGTGCACAATTGTGTGCACATAAATGAATGGTTGTGAACAATAGGGTCTTGACAAAATAATACGATTTTTTATTCATACGACCCACGGTATTATAGGTACTTTATGATTGCTTTTAAATTAATTTTACGCGATTTACATTAATGAAAGCAACAATTTTTGCACTGAGGTATTTATTTTATTGCTTTCCGTCAGACACAGTCATGTCAAATCGAGGTTCAGTATACTTATGTAATAATCACATGCAGACACCTGAGAAATCACGTGACATAATGTGTTTTTATTATGACATCTACAACAGATAATAACGAATAGTTACCTTATTTCACATCTGTTACAGCTGTTACGATCTGTTTGCGAAGGTCGTTATTAGTAAGAAATTTAAAGAACGAAAATCGAAGCAAGAAAAAGCAAAAACATGACTAGAAACAAAAAAGAAGCTGCACCATCATTCGTCGATCCCAGCGAAGATAAAATTAAAGCTTTTCTAATGCCCGCCGCACACGAGAGCTACGTGTTGAGCAAAAAGTCATTCGAGGCCGTTGCTCAGCACGTAACTCACAAAATATCCGCGTGTGCGGTGAATTATTGCTGAGCTTCCTGCCTCACGGTCTTCGAGACGGTGAGGCAAATATCCTGAGTTGACCGCACACAGTCAGTTTTATGTCTCGCGAAGCGAAATAAACCGAAGTGGATAGATTATTGCCTCACGGTCTTGCAAGGCAGAAAGTGCTGAGCAAACGGCCTCTACTTTTTGTTCAGCACGTATTTCTCGTGTGCGGCAGGCTTAAACGTTCAGCAGAAGCATGTATTTCACAAAGAAACTGCTCACCCCAAATTGGGTCAAAACGATGTAACAAAAGAATGTGCATTCATTCTTGTTTCAATGGCGCTGCCTGCTAAATGCAACTTAAGCGATTTAATATAGGTCCCATATAAATGGCTCTATTCAATGATCCAGAATGATCAACAACGTTTTTTGCAAACAAAAATGTATCCGCTGCTAAATACTAGTGAGTGAGTGGCAATATCGACAATATAGAAAAAAAAGCAAACGAAGTACAACGTAATCTACTTGAACAGTTTGACGTCAATAGATCTTTGCAAATCCTTATTAAGATTCGAACTTTGTAACGAGTTCTGATATGCATTTGAAAAATGCAAAATTGAATTTGCTTTCTTTTCAGTTAATTTGATTTTAGAGAAGACGAGATGGAATCGTAGGGAATTAAGCCGCATGGCTAATTTCCAATCAACAATATCGACAATATCGACAATATAGAAAAAAAGCAAACAAAGTACAACGTAATCTACTTGAACGGTTTGACGTCAATAGATCTTTGCAAAACCTTATTAAGATTCGAACTTTGTAACGAGTTCTGATATGCATTTGAAAAATGCAAAATTGAATTTGCTTTCTTTTCAATTAATTTGATTTTAGAGAAGACGAGATGGAATCGTAGGGAATTAAGCCGCATGGCTAATTTCCAATCAACATTGAGTGATTACAATAGATATGAAATATGATTTAATAAAAAGGTAGACTGTAATTGGATTTTGTGGCTGACAAATTTTTCCATTGTTGTACCGAGTGCATTTCAAGGTGAACAACTTATCTGAATCCAATCGGTTTAATTGACTTTCAAGAGTTCATCTCCGAACGTATGATGGCCAACCCTCGGCTATGTTAGGATAAGGACATCGGCTGCTTCTTTGAAGTTTCTGAAAATACTGTTAAGATCAAGGGCGGATCCAGGGGGGGGGGGGCCAAAGGGGGCCATGGCCCCCCCAAAACGAAACCAATTTTTTTTTTTTTTTAATGTGACATCGCAATAAAGGCAGGCAATGAGTACACCACCATCTTTTCCTCAAAAAAATTGGTTAAAGTGGTCAGAAATTGCCTCAGATCGCACCACAGAGCATCTAGAATCCAAAATTTTTTCGGGGCCCTAGCGGGCCCTGAACCCCACGCCGTATTTTTTTAGACCCACTTTTTGGGGGGACCAACATTTTTTTTGGCCCCCCCCAAAATTGTGTTCTGGATCCGCCCTTGGTTAAGATGGACATTTTATTATCTTTCTAAGCCCGTCAGACAAACATACATCAAGCATTGCGAATTAAGAGTTGCTTCATTTTTATTGTTTCTTAAGCTGAAGAGGATAAAGTCTGTATATAATTGGTTGTATCAGCAGTAAAGGAAATGTGATAGAGTAATCGTAATTAAATTGGGCCTTCATGATAACTAAAGTGACAGCCTGCTCGCATTGGTCTATAATGCAAGAAGCAGCAATAGTTCTCTTCGGAAACCAAATTTGAAGAGATCAGACAAACACAATTTGAAGAGGGGGGGGGGTACTGAATCCATTCCTGAGAGTATAACGGCAAACCCTAGGCTCTGTTGTGAGGTGAATAGTGTGAGCTTCTTCTTTGAAGTTTCTGAACTGTTACGTTGAGCTTAGCGCCGCTAGATAATTTGTCATCAGTCACAACGAACGGGCATTGCGATAAAAGAGTTGCTTCAGTTTTTTTATTGGTTTCTCAAGCTGAAGAGAATAAATTCTATATTATGATTGGCTGTCATCAAATGAAATTCATGAAGTAATCACGATTGTCTGTTCGGACTGAAAACTCTTTATAAAATTCTTTAGCAACAAATTCAACTAAGTTTTACAAGAAGACTAAAAATATATTTAATATCTGATTGAAACTACTGACTATTTTAGAAAAACGTACATACTGGATTTACCATACGTTACGCATTCAACAAAACGTAAACGCCTACTCCTAAGACACAAACGTTTCAATTATGATTCGGGGTATTTTTTTTGGTTACATAATACCACTAGTCTACAGCAATTAACTCAACGAATTTAAGTAGATACATATCAAATATCAACGTTTTAGTTAGCATGTCATTTAGAATATAGGCCTGTAGGCATATGAGGAAAAAAATCCAAGTTATGTGCTACCGCCAAACAAAAATTAAATTCAATCATGTCAACATTGATTTAGTGTTACCCACCCTTGGAAAAAGGGTGTTTTATCCATAATTTTGTTATGACAAAAGTCGGCATCCTAATGTGATCAGTTCAATGGAGGTTGGAACTCCGAGCATAACTTTAAGTACAGCTCCAGGAATTATTCGTTTTATTTAAAGAGAAGCATATCCCCAAATTCCTTCTGTTCAGTTGTTTTCCATTTTCCATTTAATTTTCGGAAACATAGCTATCGGCGTAGGCTTGAATATGAGCAATCAGTAATTAATTTCATTGTTGCTATAGACTGAGCGCATATCGCCTCCCGACTGGTGCTCATGAACCACGGGTAACCGACCAGCGGATGTGGATGGCATAGCCGCATCACCGTAGTAGGCCTCCAAGCCTCGATTGACAGCTCCAAGTGGATCGCTTTTTTGGAAGGGCGCCTCGGTGGCGAGAGAGATGTTATCATCCACTCTCCGTCTCACCTGCAGGTTACTAGGTGGTGTATCGGTCGGGAAACTCTTCAGACGAAGAGATGGTCGTCTAAAAATTGGAAACAAACACCTCAAAGTTATTGATCTCTCCCAAATCCCCAATGAAGTTTACACAAGTTCTTGGACTGAAAATAATTAAACAATACAAAAAGAAATTGTCACTTGACTAGACTTGTTAGGCTTTTGATGGAAATCACGGGTTTAAATCTCTTATACGAACAAAAACATATTATATTACCTATTTCGTATTAAAGCAATACAATCACAATATGAAGTGTAAAATTCGAGGTCCTATCTTATTTTGAATTCCAAAAGAATGCATCGTGATTGATCTGACATTCATTTCGTTGTTGACAATGACAAAACTTGTATATGTTTTTCTTAGCTAGATAATAATCCTAAGCGATACATCATCGTCTCCGTATATCCATGCCACAATGCTGGTTTTCGCCTACATTCGCCAATTAATATAATATCTCCAGTAGGCCTACCTGTTCCATCTTCGATGAACCATGGCCATCATGACAAATAGCACAACGACACAGATTCCGAGAATTCCAACCAGTATAATCAGAAGCGTTTGGACGGGAGCTAAGGAAAGTAAATGGTGTAGAACTTTTCAGCTCAAACTTGACTATTACACAATCACAATCACTGTTACCAAGATAAAAAGCTCTATATATCTACTAAAAATAACAACGATTTGAACGATAACGTCGAAAGAAACACACAACGTCCATAATATACTTTTTCATTCATTGGATATCTGTAATCTTGTTCGTGGCTGTGCAAAATCGAAACAATTAATGTATTGTTCGTCGAGAGCATCTTTTTAATTCAACGAAATATTAGTGTATCAAAGCGATCTTTACCTTCTGGTTGGACGGTTGCCTGTACCACATCTGTCAAAGTAAAAAAAAGAAAAGTCGATTTTAAAGAAGAAGTTTCTGAATTTCGAATTTTTGTAACCGCAAACAGAGGTCATTTTGAAGTAAATAAAGTGAAAGGCAGCACAAACTCATAAATGACGACCATCTAAACAAACACATACCTTGTTCGCAGTTAAGTCCCATACTGCCCTCGAGGCAAGTCGCGTACGAGACAGACGCACTTATTCCGATGTCTCCATCTTCGGCCTGACGACGATTACGAGAGGAGTCGATACCACTAAGTATTCGTTTGGTAAGCACACGTAGGGAGTAGGCACTGCCCGGTATCAGCCCCAGAATACTAGCAGTAGTTGCCTCACTCGGTAGACGAGTGCTGTTCTGCCATTCGGAATCACCTGCTAACCTGAAAATGGATCGGAAATTTGAAACATATCATTTTCAATTCGTGGCAGTACAAAAGCCAATCGAGATGCTAAATTCATGCATAGCTTCATATGCATATATTGAAAAGACAACATTTACGAACAACGATTCACATTTTGAACATTATATAGCATGTTAGTTCTTCGACCGGTTTACACAATTCCAAATAATTTCTTTCTTTCTGTTGATGACATAAATTTGACACTCACTGGTATTGCACCATGTTCCAGTCGGCATCCACCATCAATTCCCACGAAATATCGAGAGAATTGCTAGTGGCCAGCTGCAGCAAGACATCGAAGGCTCCAATGGTGCTATAGTCTGTGAGAATTAAACGAATAATGGCTTGTCACGAAGTAGGAAACAGGTAGTAACAATTCAAGTAACACTTCAAAGCAATCATCACTCCTTCTATCGGCAAACAACATAATCTGTAAAATGTATTCATTTCTTCCAAGGGTAGTATACCTACTTGTTACCCCGGTCAATTTCAGATTTTCAAAAGTGTTTTGTAGTCAATACCTGTGTAAATCTGAACCCACTTTAGCTCTTAAGAATACACGCAAATACATTTGTATAGATTTCCAAACCTATGACCGTGCAATAATGACACAACTTCAACTTTCATGCAAGCACAATGAAGTGGCTCTTTTCCACTCAATTACATCCAGTCAGCGAACTGTCACTCACCTGTGTCACATTGTGTCCTGCCCTGCCATCCTCGGCGACATGTTGTCGTCACAATGACGTCACTCGCTATCACCACAGAGTCCAAGCCGTACAGGACCCGTATCTCGTACGTAGTCTCTTTCTCAAGCCCCGTCAGCACGTACACATTGTGCTGGCCGAAGTTTAGCGTGCCGTTTCTCCAGGTCCGCGTGTTGATGATGCGGAATTGCAGCTGCACGAAGCCTACGCCTGATGACGTGAGCCACATGGTTGTGATGGACAGACTATTTACTGACGTCACATTGAAGATGTTGGTGAAGGGCGTGGTCATGGCTGCTGTTGGTGCTGGTGTTGTTGGGGTATCTGCAATCAAATTTGGGTAGAATTACGTTTAAATCGATACAACTCTGTTAAAGAAATAAAGTAAAGCTCTTTGGTTAAACGTTGTATTTTGAAAAAAAGTATTTTCATTTATCCATCATTTCGAAGCAGTAACAATTCGCTTTCTCTTGCGATTATGAGTCCTCAAATGTATTGAGTTAAGTTGTTAAAACTTTTTGAAGGAGGCTGAATTTCAAAGGAGGCTGAATTTCATTTAGAAGTAATACTATCACTGCCAGAATTCCGACTAAGGAATGAAAGCTGCCAAAAAACTTACAATTTTCGCAATTGATTCCATCATAATTCATTGAGCAGGTCAGCACAACAAGTTCTCCGCCCACGACGTCTCCTAACTCCCCAAGTAGAGAGACAACGACACGGACCACGTAGTACGTCACCGGGGTAAGATTCTCGATGGTAATGGCTTGACGCCCCGGTGGCAATTGACCAACCGATGCCCAGTCTGGCTGTGACTGCAGGCGGATTTGTACCTCATATGATGTAATTTCTACGTCAAGCTCCCAGGACACTGTTATGTAAGAGCTGGTTGCTTCAATCAGCTTGAGATCATAGGCACCCGATGAGTAATCTAGGAGCAAAAGCAGACGATAAAGATACAAAATGAATAACCGAACAGGGTAACTGCTCCAGTAAGCAACATGGTGAATTTGAAGTTCATCGATACTAAGGTTTGGCAAGACCACATGATGATAGCTGAAGACAAGGTAAATGCGCGCAACTTTAGGGTGTAACCATTTTGGATTGTTACTATGTCCTAATAATCATTCAGTCAATTCTATGTTTTAGAAAATATCATTGAGGTCAGGAAGTGTCAGTAGAATCACCAAAATAAACTTTTCAATATATAAATAAAAAATATACCCAAGTATGGGAACAAATATATTACACGACAGGTATTAACGATTTATACAAATTAGGCAAATTTCCACTAAAAGTCCAGCTTGGTAAACATAATTTTCGGATTCAGCACCCCAAAATTAGGTCAAATATTATGTTACCCACTTCTACTCGCAAACGCCTCTTCGTGCCACAATTTTTGATATATCGCCTATTCTAGAATAGGATTTTCTTACAGGAAAGCGAACTCGAAGGTTCCACTTACCACCCTCACAGTTCAGTCCCTGCAGTTGGTTTTGGCAGGTGGAAGCACTGTACGTTTGTGAGATGGTCACATTCCCACCGCTCCCAATGAAGACAAAGCGGACGTTGTAGTTGACGTCAGGCTCCAGACCATCCAGTATATATACCTGTCGGGAGGCAGGGACGGTGGGGCCTGTCTGCCAGGACTGACGGGAGACTACGGAACCTGTGCGGTACTGGCCAGTCACCGTCTCTGACTCGAGATTGGAATCTAGCTGGAAGGTTAGGGAGGAACCACCTCTTGCGAAGATGCTGCCATCGTAAGGCAGAGCTGCGGAGATGAAAGTGGATTGTTTGATGGAGTTAACAACGGTCTATCAAAGGAACATAATAATTTCTTATACCATTTACAAATGCAGGTAGCACTGTCAATCTTGTATATGTTCTGTGACTTGAGAGCCTGCGATTGTTCTGATTTTAGACTTGAAGTCTCAGTTATTATGCTCTAACAGTCCACAAGAGAATGACATGTGTGGCGACAGTGTATGTAGGCTATAAAAAGTATAAGACTTAGTGTACCTTACTTTTCAAAAGCTACATATTCTAGTATTTAGTTTCATAATGACGAAAATAAAGCGTGGAGTTGCACTGTTCTTCTAAGGACCACGCAACTGAAAAATGGGATAGTACTATAGCCCCTTTTTGATTTTGTACCCTGCAAACCCTCAAGACTTATTCCAATAGTTCTGTGTCAAATGTATAAGCAAAGATGACCACAAAGGTTATCTTGCATATAAATAGTAAGTGAAGCTAAAATTGTTGAAATTTATCTACAAAACAGACAAAATGAAATAGAATATATTCGTTTCATTACTGGACCAAGCCCAGTCTAATGTGGCTTTCGCATGAGCCCCTACTAAGATAATGGCCATTTAATCAGTTGACGACCATAAATATGTCCTTGATAAAACATTCAGGCTATCCCCAATGTATGTGCATCTGTTGTTTAGAGCCAGCCTGCCTCCCATCAGAATTTGAGTGATGAGTGATGAGCCAGTTAAGTGCTGGAAAGCTACCTACAGCTAAGAAAGCCACATTAGACTGGGCTTGGTCCAGTAATGTAAAGCGTGATTAAAGGACCAACCCCAATTAAGTAAAGTAAGTTACGGACGGGAAGTAAATAAATATGACATTAGCTGGCTCTTTATTTTCTTCTTTTGACAACCTTAATCATGAAATCAACACTGAGTAGAAAAAAAAACATAAAAAAGAAGATAATTTGAACCCAAAACAATTAATTAACCATAATATGATATACATTAGGTTCATATAAATTGACAAGATCACTCACATTCTTCGCAAGCAGGTCCCTGGTAAAAGCTAACACACGACACGAACGTCTTTTCATCGGTGTAAGCATCAGTACCGTCCGGTTTCCGCGCGTGAATCCTAACCAATACGGTCTGCAAAGGCTCAAGTCCGTACAGCATGGCCTCAGTGGTAGTTCCCGAGACTTGCACCCCCTCGCGCCAAGAAGTGTCAAAGTCAAACTGGTACTCGACCTGGTTCCAGTCCATAGCGCCTGTGAGTTTCCATGACAACGAGAAGGAACTACTGGTGGCCGACACAAGTGTGAGGTCGTAGATGGAAATATCTGTAAATGGAAGCAAAACAAGTATGAACGCCCCAATTAGAAAGGGTGGTAGACTAATGAAAAATATCACGCCGCGGTAAATGTGCTCCTAAAAACTTTGATCAACATGCCCTTCTCGACCTTTTGCTATAGGCCTATGTCAACTCAACCATTTAAATTTATTGCCAACGATTACTTTTGAATTATTTTGCTGATTTTTATTTCCAATTAACTCCAAGCATTATTTTGAAAACGCCTAATCATTGCTTCTGTTTAATCTAAAAAAATCATACTGTAATTCTCATCGGAAGTATAAATATGGAAACATGTCAATATGTTCTTGAATTCATTTACTGTTAAGTAACTCACCCTCACTGCAAAGCAGGTTAGTGAACCCATCTTGACAAGTGCTATCGAAAACAGAATCACCGTAAAGTATTACTCCATCCTTCGGTAAGGCTAAGCGGATTTCGTACGTCGTGGCCGATTGAAGATTTGTAATTGTGTACTCCGACACACTGGGGAGAAGCGCAGAACTTCTCTCAAATTCTGAGCCTATCGAGAGAGGGCGCCATTCGATCAGCAAGGCAGAAACCTCGATATACAGTGTCCAAAATACTGTCAGGGAACTGAAATCTTTATATGTCACAACCAAATCGTACAATATTGGCGGCTGCGTTGTCGTTGGTACGAAAGTAGTGGTTGGCTGAATAGTGGTGACCGGCTGCGTCGTTATAACTGGGAGCTGTGTTGTGATTGGCTGTGGAGTCGAAGTGACTGCTGGTTCCGTGGGTGTGATTGGTTGTGTTGTGATTTGTTGCATAGTTGTAATTGGTCGTTGGGTGGTAGTGATCGCCTGCTGTGGTGTTGTTATTGGCTTATCTGTTGTAGTTTGTTTTACACTTGTTGTTTGCTGATCTGTTGTAGTTTGTTTTACACTTGTTGTTGTTTGCTGATCTGTTGTAAATTGTTGCAGAGTTGTAACTGACGGCTGGATTGTAGTGACAGGCTGGAATAGTGTTGATGACTCCTCTGCCGGTTGTTCTGTAGTTAACTGATCTGTAGTTGTCTCAAAATCGACTGTGGTTGTGTCAAGTTCTGTGTTTTTATCCTCAACTGTTGTTGAATAAGTTGTCGACTCAACTTTGATTTGTGTCGTCAACTGAAGTGTGCTGGACTCCTTAATAGTGCTTTGTATCGAGCTGACAGAGTCTGTCATTGATTCAAATGTGGATGATTTTGTCGGCATATTTGGCTCTGTAGTCGAACCCGCAGTTGTTGACTCTTGGAATGTTGTTGCATCTGTTGTCACGACTGGTGTAGTGGAGTCAACTGTAGACGGGTCAGACTCGGTAGTAGCGCCAGAGGTTGTCAACTCGTTCAAAGTTGTTGGCACAACTGCGGAAACATAAACAAGTCTCAATTTCAGTTGTTTTCATTAATAGAAGGGTACAAACACATTACTATAATTGTAAGCTATTTAAGGGTTGCATAAGAGATAAAAATCTAGATAATAATGGAAGTTCAGCTAAAAAATATGAAAACCACAGCTTTGCAGATCAGCCCATATATAAGACAAAATGTATAGAGATAATAAGCAAAAAATAGGGCTTTAACAAATTATTTCGCTAAGCAAAAATCATGTGGAATCCAGCCACAAGAAATATGTTACATGAAATATGGGCAGGTGATCAGCTGATGCGAAGGAAATCTTCTGTAGTAATGAGTGCTCAGACAAACTAACAAATTAGCCTCTGGATCCGAGGAGGAACTAAGAACACTTGGAAAAAACTGATCCACCGTTTAAATGCCAGTTTTATTAAGGGTAAAAAGTCTACATTTTTCAAACATTGATCTTCTGTCATGCACAATTCTTCTTTTTTTTGACAGTTTCAGCGAAATCTTAACCGAATCAATTTAAACCAAAATTTTTATCATCGAAATATCCTTGCCAAAATGCATGAAAGCAATCCTCGATATTCTATGCTTGATGTTAGAGAAAATGTTTCCACTGACAATTTAAAATTACAAAACATGATTCAATATAATCGAAGGCTATGTCGAGAATAACACAAAAAAGCTACTAACAGCTTATTTCCATTGCGATCTTCTGTGTGGTCCCCTATGTGGACTGATGCCATTGAACTCATTTTGTTTTTTTTTAGAGAAAGCATACATCAAAATAAACAGTATGCCAAGACTGTTATATTGCTTGCTTGAAGGGTCTGGCTGAGGCATAATTGTGACATAAAAGGCACTATTAACTTTAAATATAAACTCGCAAATTAGAAATAATTCTCTAGTAAATATGCGTATGTTAATTATTCTTCAATTTATATCAACAGGTTTATAATTTTTTAATCATTTCTTATTGGTTTGAACCTTTGCTGACTTATTGCATATTATCAAGAAGGTTAGAAGCATTCCTGAAATGACATCGTTTGTTGCAAACAAAGAGTGAGCAAACCTCATAAAAAATCGCGGATCAAAACTTTCATGGCGGGGTATGAAAACTGTCTGGGGCAAAACCGCTGCATTGTGCTGTGCGCCATTCAACGTAGTGGTTCACACGCTCCCCCAACAATTAACCTTTTCAGCCGAGAAATTCCCCTCAAATTTACTTTTCCCCGCGTTTTGCCCAGCAACCAAGACCATACACACGGAAATGCCTTTTCAAGACCGCATTAAATTATCATTGTTATGCAAAAGGCATGACCCATTGGATGACCTCGCCTACTTTCGGTTCAGAATAAAGCCTTTTATTGGTACACGAAAATGTATTTACTATTTGCTCCGTGTCATGAAAAAAAAGGCAAATATATTGTGGCTCTCACTGGGACATATGAAAATGTACCTAAACTTAATTAAACTATTCATTGCATTTAGGCCCTACTTGAATATCTTTTTGAAGACTCAACCTGACAACAACCGCCACCCTAAAAAAGTTTTTTTTAACAACGAACACACACAAAACTAACATTTAGCACGGGATTCATTCTAACTCTATTACCAAGATTTTTTTAGTAATCACGTCAAAACATTATTTAAGGTCATCCCTAAACGCTGCACTGTGCACTGCTTTGAGAAAACAACGGTTTTTTTACGGACCCACATTTCCCCTCAACCCACGGATTACATGTAATGGAACTTTTCCCCACTATGAAAGGTACTGGGACGTTATTTGCCCTTTCGAAGTTGAACGCTTGACTGACGCTATTGTTACACCTGCATATGCAGAACAAACTACGAGCCTATGCACGCGGCACACAGCGCTACCTGTATCCATGCACCATCATTTTACCACAGACATGTTTTTGTTCGGCAAAATCAGTCTCCACTATTCAAATCTGTTCTTTTTATACCAACCAATCACGTGGCAGCCTGTCTATGACTTGCATATCTCGCATAGAAACTTTCCCCTGCGGGGGCACAGTCGGGTCAAGGGAAAAATTTTCTTTTCAGAAGCTGTTTTGTTCGATACCTGTTCCCAAGTTTTGCGACACGTCATCGAAAGGTACAGGTACGCGCCCAGCGAGGTTTTAAGCCAGTGGGTTGTGGGTTTGGGTAGGCTACACGAGCTGAGGGGCTTTGCACGTATCGGACGGCTGTGGTGAGTTGCAAAGTGTAGATCATTTTGGTATTATACATGTAATCATATAAGGGGAATGCGACGAACTGATACCAAAGGGGAAAGGTAAGTGGTAATACATGCCAATTATCTTTAAAATGTGATTTTTTTTATGTTTTGCATTTTTAATTTTAATGTTTTTATTTCATAGATTTGTTGTCTATTGTAGTGGATTGTTGCGTTTGGTTGCCTTCTCCTCCAATATGCAGTTCAAAATGAAGAAAAATGCAACTTGCTGCAGCCATTTAATGCTAAATATGTTGACTCTTCACAGATGTATATTGTAAACGATTATATTTTGCACTTATTCTCCCTGACGAATTGGAAATTTGTAATAATAGGCTATTGGCAACACAAGTTTCATTTACGCGATCGCTTTCTTTGAAGATTGTCATGTTGGCTTATATTGTAGGTAGATACAAAATTCGAAAGTATACTAAATACAAGAAAATATTTGAAACTGTGCTGCCGACGTTCAATTGTACAACAACGGTTCGTTTATCCGGTTTTTCATGCGCAAGACTTTTTCAATAGGATTAGTTTTAAAGAGGACAGTTTCTTAAAGACTTCGCTGTGCACGAACGGTGTAAGTGCTCCAAGGACGAAATTCTTTGTTATTCAGTTTTCACACGGAGTTCTGCCTCCGGTACAACCACCGGTGTCTTGTCCCAAAGTGACCTTCTGCAGTCTATCAATAGAAACCTGTGAATTTACAACCTGTTGAACCAAACTGCAAATACATATTAAACATTGGGTGAAAAGGGAGAGCAAACAGAGAATACCACACTTACGCGCCACTCACACAGTCTGGTGAGCCATCCAGTGGTATATACAGAATACTGTCAGTCCGAAGTCCATGTGTTATTTGTATAAGTTAACGTCATTCCACTTATTACTCTAAAACATATCGTAATCCAATGGTGTTTTATCACCGAATATCGGGATATAATCAGTTTTTTTTTAATTGTGGACATTGTTTTAGTGTATTTACATAACCTATTTGTTTAATGCCAAGCTTGAACAATTTCGATTGCACAACTAAATTGCGAAATAACATTACAGGTATCTGTTAGCATTTGCTTGAGTTAATAAGGTTTTGTATCAAGTTTCCCGTTAATTATACCATTTATAAAAATTGATCACGATCTTCCAAATAGTTTTGTGAGGTCGACGATAATTTGCTTCATTAAAAATACGTCAACAAATCCAGAACATTCTCAGAAAAAGTGTAATTCCCTGATGATAGTTTTCATTTATTCTAACGCCATTTTGACTTAAGTGCGTTCTTAAATGCCAATAATTAAAGCAGAAAGATTGCGGGTAACACCATGAGAAAAGTAATCTCTTCTTGGAAGAAGTGTGGTTCTGAAAAGAACCGGTTGGTTGAGTGTAGAAACCGGTTGGTTGAGTGTAGGTTCTTTTCATAACCACACTTCTATCATTATCATTCGCCATGCAAAGCTTCAAGTCGTATATATGCCGATTATTGTTACAATCGCAGTTATTATTTATTTTATTATTATTACAGTATTTACAATGCCAGCGTTCATCCTCAACCATAACTGTGCCAGAAATAAAAATAGGAACATTCTTTTCCTCTATCAAAAACTCTTTTTATATTACACTGTGGGAAAATATTGACTAGATGGGCTGGGTATGCCATGCAATGTTTGTGTTAGCACCTCTCCCAGCATTGCTATACATAAATGACCACCTACGGCTAAATAATTATTATTTCAAGCATCAGGTGGATAAAAACCCTATTCAGAAATGCTGACCGTAGCTACGTATATTCTCCCTGCTTGGGTGGCGTGTATGCATTCTATATTAGCCGTATTATTATATCCAATAGACCAGAAAGCACTCTGTCCGATTCCCATGGAATTTACCATTGTGTATGTAGTTTACCTGTACTTTTTTTTATATAACGGAGTCGGAGGTGCTGGGGGACCACGAACATTGGCAATGGATGTGAATAATTTACGGCGGTGCTCTACAGCATTAAGCCGTATTGAATGGGAATGAGGAAATACGGTGAAAAAAATCGCAGTGAATCACTGTCACGATTTTATTTGTGTACATTGCTTTAAGAATAACTTTGGTGCCATTTACCCGGATAAAGCCCAGATCGTAAGCCTATTTGTCATCACATTGAACCACGTACTTCTCTACGATTGGTTCTTTTCTTTTCTTGGATCGACTGGGCTAAAAAGAAATATTCCTGGGAGCAAAATCGAGCTTTAAATCACAAGCAAAAAAATACCCGACGGGTAGGCCCTACAACGAGTTAAACACTTGCTATATGTCATCATAAAGTATTATTGTATGCCTCATGACGTGTTTCTAAACCGCCTTGACCGGGTGCAAATTGAAGGGTCTACTATCCATGGGTTGAATAGTTGGAATGGACAGACAAAAGAACAAGGTTTGTGTGGGTTTCAAAAAATAAACCAGACCGCTAAAATTTATGATCCTCTGTGTTTCGTTTTCGTTTCAAAATAACTTACCCTGTTCAATCATGCACACTTAATCTTGCAATATAGGCCTAAAAACTGTATGATTTAAACTGTGTGGACAATTCATTGCGAAATGCAGTTTATTGGGTTTGTTATCTAGGGATGTCCTCAAAAGATGACGAAGATAGCTTCGTATACAAATTTCCCGAGACATATAAAAAAATTAACAAGTTTAGAAAAATCAGTAAAAAATCCGGTTATAGCGGGAAATAATGTGCGCATCTTGTCTTTACATGTATCAGCAAGTATCATTTTCAGTAAGTATTTGGCAAGATATATCTTATTCGTGCACACGTAATTGAGCACGGGTTTTTCAAGCACATACTTCTAAGTATAAGGGTGTTTAAGTGTCGGCTTTGGGGGTATGTTGTCAACCTAGTTTTTTTCCAAAACCCCGGTTTTGTCTCCAGTTTCGGTCTCATTTCTGGCTTCATAGTCATTTAAAAGCCCATTTTTGTATCCAAACCAAATGGAAATACAATAATATCAAAACCTGCGATTGAGTCGGATACGCCCATCATCAGCAGCCTGAAAATCTCCCGGAGCAGAAGTCGGAGGCGAAGCCAAGGTTTCGAAAAAAAAACCTTATGTCAACCTTTTTCCTACTTTAGCAAGTTCGGATTTTTGCAGATTGAAGTCTGGATTAAGCCTATACAGTGATTGTAGTGTTACGCAGTACCACGCCCTTACATCAACACAGCACGGAGTACGATAAGCCGTGCAGAAATCACGGCCTATAGCACGTGACATGTGACATCGCCACCAGGTGTACTTCAGTTAAATACCAAAATCTGAGCACACTTGGTAGCGGTGCCTTAAGTCATTACATTACATCAGGGATATGTGGAGAAACGGCTGAGCTCGGAACTACAGACGCAACACATCCTGAAGATATAGCCGTATATATCCTTTTCTGTCTTAATAGGGTATATAAGTTGCACATTCATTTTGTAAGTTTTTTGTTATTACAAATTGTGTCTTTTTCTGTTAAACAGATCTACAGGAAAGCTTTCGTGAAAATCTATGAGCCATATCGCCGGTAAAGATCATTTAGATATTAGCTAAATATTACCTAAGAATAAAGAATAAGATACCACCATTATTGATTTGGGTTCATGTAATTTGTAAAAGCAATATACACTTAAAATAAAATAACAGGTTACGAAATTGACAATCTTCGCAACATTTCATTCCTATATTTGGTTATATTTGTGGTCGTAGTAAATTCTCTTTGATAGTCCAGTCCTATTGGCGGATTCTTGGAATGTTCTAAATAAGCCAAAAACGTTGAAATTTCAGGTTTTCTTTTGGAGAAAACCACACTACATTTTCGGGACATTTACTTGTTATCGGAACTTTTATAGCCTTTAGGCACCAACTTAGATGTGTGGTTTTTTTGGTCAGTGGGCCTACATCATATTCATCTTAATCCCCCTGCAAAATTACTCTTTTATGTCTCATTTAGGTTAAGTAGACCCCATGTTTTTGTAAAAGTACTACAGATTTTACTTGTTATCACAGCCCGTCGGACCTACCCAGCAGGCATCGGTATGGAATACAAGCCCAGCCTCATTGATCTGGGTTCCATTCGTTAAGCCGCTTTTTACTAACATTCCTCTATGCCTAAAATGATTCAATAAAATATTTGTGATCTAGAATACCAGGATTTGGTTGACCTGCGAAAATAACCCAGATTTGTAGAAGGACTTTTATTGCATTAAATAAGGAAAAAGTGTTTTGAATGGTTTTGCAAGCTATGCGATGATGAAAAGAACTGACGTCAGTCCAGGGACCACACTGAAGCTATGCAAAGCGAAGGGATAATACGACTGGGCTCAATAAGCCATATTTTTTTTTATGAATGTTGTTCTGAAGAGCTGTCTTTCATTGCGGTTCAAGCCATTCATCTTCCCTGATTTCGTTTACTGACAGAATTACCACACAATAAATCACAGTGCTTCTCTGAAGAAAAAATAATAATAATGGCAGCATGGTCACGCGATTGCCTGACTGACCTCGAGAGAGTTAAGAATGTCTCCACGGAAACCAGTCTTTTCAAAACTTATGACATTGTTATCGTCAATTGTTAGTACTACCTGTGGTTGGTTCCTCAACTTTGGTGCAATTCAAGCCGTCGCCAACAAAGCCTGGATCACAGACGCATGCGCGGCGACGCTGTGTGACCCCGCAGCTTGCATCATCATGGCACCGTAGTGGCTGGCAATCAATCGTCTGAGCATCGATGCATGAACATTCATTCGTACAATTTTCGCGTACCCATTTATCACCGATCTTAGGAAAAATTAAGTGGGGAAAGGTCAAAATAATTATTTTATTTAATTTGACGAAGAACAAACTCTGCTGATGAACGCATCCCTTTTCTACATAAAGTTTCTGCGTCAACATTCAAATCCAGAAACCCAATGATCAAAGTGGCTTTTGGAAAGCAACCGTCCTTCGCGGCTTACCTGTTATTATTATTATTTTGAGAAAGCTAATCGTAGATCAATTACAAAACAAACTTAATTCAACATCCTCGTTGCTTGCGGCACGCAAACAATTAAAAACATACAGCCTTACATTACAAGGGTGTAGGAGAGATTGTGTAGCCACAAAATATTGTTTATTGACAAGACAAACAAGAATTTCATAAACCTGGCTAGACTAGCTTGCCTTGCTGAATAAAAAACAATGAACTATAAATTCATTTGAAAGACGAGAATGCATGCTTACTGAATAATAGAAGCCATTTTCGGAGCAGCCGCACTGACTGATGGGAAGGCATTCATGATTGTCGAGTTTGAAACCTGGCGAGCAGACGCAGCCTTCCCGACAAGAACTACAGAGGGCGGGCTCCTGAGCTACCTCATGACTTGCACAAGTTTCAGGGCATTGGGGAGCACATGGGGTGTAATTCATATCACTTGCACAAGGCAATGCTAGGGCAGAATCAGAAAAAGGTAAAACATTGAAAACAAATCCAGAAAGAATTTTCCAATGAATTTGTGTAAATGGCCTTATTTGTATCTCCAAGCGTTCTAAAAATAAAATTTCGAGTAAGACACTTACGACAAAAGTCTTCTCTTCTCCACGGCATTGCTGGAAATCCTAAACTGGCACAGGCCTCTGCATAGACGCTGATGTCGTCACAAATGACGTCAACATCTGGTAATGTCGCGCATGCGTCGTACACACATGCATCGTAGTATGGATCCGGATTAATATAAGCTTGGCACTCCGAAAATGGACCTAGAAAGAGACGTAAGATTGGAGAGAAACGGAATAGACCACTGCATCTGTTTCCAATCTACCTATTAGATAAGGGGCATCATTTGTGTTCCATTAAATAATCAATGAGTCTTTCAGATTTTTGAATTAAATTGAACTGAAGTGCTCTTGCCGAATTTTTCATTCATTTCATAGTTTGAAATTTATTTGTCGTAGGATGTGTTTGTTAAAATGCAGTCCATCGTGGGAATCTTTGAGAGAAAAACATGCAAAAGACAAATACGGTGTCACTCTTCATGTTAAGGTTTGAATTGTTTCTGGAAACACATATACACACTTTAGAGCTGACTTTCTTACTGCGGGTAGATTTAGTTAATAGGGATAATTCAAAATCTAGATTTTATCGTTTAATTAGGTTTTACTTACCATTTTGTTGTTTTATGATAAAGCATAAATCTTTCCCGAGTGTTACATTTGCAAAGCCTTGGCATATATCTGGGTCTTCTGGATTGGAGTTACACCTTGAATTCTCGGCGAGCCAACTTTGACCAAATGTGATCGGACTTCCCACCTGCAAATGATCAGAGAATTCCGGTCATTTTTGATTTTTTTCCTAAACAAAAGTAAATTTCGGAGACTGCATGACCTAACCATGGAGTAAAAATCGAAATTGTCCATATAAAATATATAGCAAAATAAGTGAGATAGGGTATTGTGCCATCTTAACTTGCGGAATGAATAAGCATTTATTTGAAGCCATTTGTAAGGAAAGAAATTATAAGAGTTGTCTAAGCGAAAACAATATTAGTATAATTCTAGGCTGGATCGTATCAAACTTACCACTGTGCGATCTGGTAGCATGAAATCATTTTCCTTAACTCCATCGTAGTTTCCACATAGACCACACAATGTACCACTGTAGTCAGCCGGTACTGTTATTTTGGCGGTGTGTCTACCGTCCCAGTTAATAATCAACCCGAAACAAGTCGTGAGAATCTATACAACAATAGATCACAAAATGAGATAATTTAACACATTTAAAAACGTGATGGGATAACTTTTTGAATTCTTGCAAACCACCCCAACCAATAAATGAATAATAATTTCATTACACTGTTATTTCGGCTGTGTACTATATGAACCTAGCAACCAGTTGTGTAAAAAATTGAACAAGTTGTGTAAAATTTTACACAAGTTGTGTAATATTTTACACAAGTTGTGTAAACAACAATTTACACAACGGGTTGCTAGGTTCATATGGTACACAACCGTCTAATTTTTACACAACCGAAATTACATTGTAGGAGCCACTGCAGTGTACAAACTATGATTTGTTCCAACCCCCAATTGAACATCGAAAATTCAACAATTAACCTCAATTACTAATCCTGAAAGAAAATCGAGTTTCTTGAGGCAGGGAATTTACTTCGTTCCAGATCTTTAAAGATTAACAAAACTACAGTGACAGATTTCTGCTCTTCATAACCATGGGAAATGCTCTTGACAACAGAATGATTTTTAACATAAACCTGTAACCATTGCTAGCAGTTTCGAATAATCCCTCAATTTTTTTATCCTGCACAATTTCACACATTTTGCAACTACTGTCATTCATAGAAAGCGGTCAGGCCTACCGTTTCAGTGCCCGTGAACAAGATGCTGACGCCCTCTATAGACAGGAACGGCAGCTTTATATCAATCCCGTCAGTGCTTGCTGCGCCGAGTTGAGTGAGCACAAAGACCTGAATAGAAAATCATTAAATATTTCTTTTCTTCAGAAATATTCCATCATCAAAAGCTTCCTTCTAATACAAACTGGTAATATAATGGCAACTCTGATGTAAGGCTTGTCATTACTCTATCGTGAGTCACTGCACTTAAAATCTGCACAGTAGCATGTATGTCAATCACAAGTCAGTTATTATTCAAGTCACTAGTCAGATCATACGTGACAGGGAACGCACGATGGGAAACAAGTTAGAATTCATCAGTATAACTTCACTGGAGACCAGATGACTTGTGATAAACTCATTACGACATCAATTATAAATCCATTTGTACCTTTCCGTGCAAATCCACTTTCAACTCCTGCGTGTAAGCTACTTTAGCATCTGAATTTCTCTTCACGTTTTGTGCCGTAATCCTGAAGACAGGTGGAGCAGTCGAGGAATGATTCCCGCAAACGTCGACCAAGGTGTAGTCACAATCTCCTTGGAAGTCAAACTGACGACCGTCAAAGGTTAGATAGTGTGGATCGCCCCATATGTAGCACATACCGGGAGCTATTGCAATATAAAATAAACGACTTGGAATGTAAGGATTTTAATATAGCATTTGCTATTTTCCCCAAGAATATGATTGAATATAGAAATGTACAAACACACGCTTTTCAAAAATTAAAGCCAAAGTCTACGTGTAAATATATCATCCTTGATTCCGTGGGTTTTCCCCAGAATATTCTTCTGGGATATTCCCTCCACCTCTAAAACTGTAATTTCTTCTCATTGTCTTCACTCTACAGGTTTCTTTTAGGCTTGCGAGCTACAGTGGAAAGGGCGCTTTTGAGGAATCCTTGCTTTCATTACCAGAAAATTATTAATAATAATTGATAATAATCCCAAACAAACAATTCCACAGCGTTCAGTGCAATAAAGTCACAACACGTTGCACATAAATTATAAACTCGTTGAAAAACGCGGGGAATCACAAAACTCAAGGTAGCGCTATATCAATAGTTAAAATTTCTACATCAAATTTCAAAAAGCGCATAGGCCTATCCCGTTGCAGTCCTTAAAGTAAGCCATGCCATTTTACGCAATACTGAATGACCATATTTTATAAGGTAAATGGGCCCGTCAACTGGAGCCGATAAACAAGCTTACTTGAATTTACAATCTGCTTTCCTGAGCATTATAAATAAATAAATAATAAATAAATAAATAAGTTGACCATCTGACTCACTCCTGGTACAATTCTCTCTTCCATCGCCAGAGTATCCGTTTTTACAGATGCAGTCCCTCACGCCGTTTACAATGCCGCATTTTGCCATGGAGTGGCAAGTGTAGTCTTCACAATGTGCTTGGGTTCCATTGCAGTAACATCTCGTCGAGCAATCTTCACTCACCCAGTAATCTCCCCTCTGATTTGTGATTATTCACACAACAAAAATTTGATATAGTTATAAATACGAGGTCGCAGTAATTTACAGTGTAAAAGATCTATTTCATTGGACATGACGAAGCTTAGATCCTTAACGCTACAAATATCATAGTTTCTTCGATGTTTGGCCACAAAGGTACCACAGGTATCTCTAGATATGGAGAGATAATCGGTGATTTAAAACCTTGATGATACCTTTGCTCCTAATTCATTTACTTCTCTTTGATACTTATGCGCAGTGGCGCAAATGTGTGCCGGCGATGGGGGAGGGGGGGGGGAAGGGGATGATCAAAATTCAAAAATTTCCCGATCTTACATCAAAACAGTGCATTTTTACAGCTTTTGTACTTTGATTCTTCACCTTTCAGTGCTATTGAATACATTGTGGTTGTTGAGAGGTTCGACAAATACCTCGAAATCCTCGAATTTTTTTCTCATCACGGAAAAGTGGGTGGGAGATGATTCAATAGCCCATACCCCACTTAGTCAAAAGTGTGGGGATATATACCCCTATTTCCCCGGGATTTACGCCCCCTGCTTATGTGCTGGGGATGCGAGAAGACCACAAAGGCAAATTCCAGCAATAAATCTTGGAACAACATTCCTTAATTCTTTCAATTAGAAAACATTCTAATTTTCTTGTACAGTTGAACAAAATGAAGGATTTAGAAATGTACATTCACATACCTTTAGATAGATACCATCTTGAAGGAGGCACCCACATTCTGAAGGCTGGATACAGCGCCCTCCTTCGAGCACTTGACCATCAGGGCAGCGGCAAGTTTCCACGCACGTCTGATTGCACATGTCTCGCACGTGATGCACTGCGCATGTGTCTTGACAAGCATTTCCGCAGGGATCGAAATCCAAGCCCTCTGGGCAAGGAAAAGCTAAAAAAAACACACACAAATAGATAGAAAAAAAGAAACAAATGAGGAGACTAAAAATTAGTAGTTCACAGACTGCATGTAGTAGGCCTATATATTCAAGTTTTCAACCCTCTTCCTATAATGGATAATTTCATCTCTGCTAAGTTTCAAGGCGCTGTTCGATACACGGCGTGTTCAGTCTGTTTTGCCTGTTGCACATTTGCGCTAAACTTTCTAAATATGTCAAAATATACAACAGAGCTTAATGGACTAAAAACCTCGCTTAAACGTATCGTGATATTTTTGAAGATTCGGTCAGTCAAATCAGGCACGCCAGAGTTCCATATAAACATTAATAAACGTTTTTTCTTACGACATTGTGGTATTTCCGCCCTCCACTTTCCAATGTCCACGCCCCTATTGCGACAAGCCTCTGCATATTCCGAAACGCTGTCACAAAGTAGGTCATCCTCCGGCAAATAAGCACAAAGGTCATACACACAAGCCTCGTGATAAGGTCGGGGGTCAACGAAGTCGTGACACAAAGCGAAAGGACCTGCAGAAATAAAGAGATGCAAAGAATTACCAGACAAGCCAACTTCATCCTGCGTTTGACAAAGGTTCCGGAAGAATCTTTTGAATATTATTATCAGAACATTCCAAGTTGAAAACTGTTTATGTTTTCTACATTCTTTGAAAGTGTAGAGATCCAATAATAAATAAGAGTGAGTCAATTCAAAGTAATTACTAAAATTGTTGTTTAAACTTTTTTTGCATTTTTACTTTTTATTGTATTTAACACTTACAGTCCAGAATCCACCAGTTTTAATACGATTTTTCACACACCTAGGGGGTTAGGTAATGGAAACAATAAGGGTGTTGTGTAATGAGAACACCGTTTCATTTGTTTGCGTTACCTGTGTGCTTGATGATGACGTAGCACAAATCTTGGGCTCTTTCTTCGTTTTCCGGTCGTTCGTCGCACGGATTTGGTTCAACAATGTCTCCAAAGCATTGATCGGGATACGTTGCCCAACTGCTTCCAAAATCATTCGCAGTCGAGACCTGACGGGGAAGAAAAAAAAGGGGAATTTAAAAAAGTTTCTAAAACTAAAACCATTCGCAGGACGTTAGTGTGCAATACAAGAAGCTTTTAAAGCTTATAATTGCAAACGCTCCAGGAAATACTCGGAAATGGAGACTTAAACACATTGGAAGATATAAAGGGAAACTACCTCGAAGAGAAGCTATTTCTTAAAATATAAACGAGGAGAAAAAGAAGTGATATGGAATGGGCGGTCCCAGCACGAAGCCATAATTTAAACCAAAACAAATAAATATGCTTTGTATTATTTTAGACAATAACCAAACCCAAAGAGCGCCACTTAGACCCTCCCTTTGTAGTGCTCGAGCGCCTGTATATTAGCCTATTTGAAATATCGCAGACAAAATATGAGGGCGCTGTTTGAATTGGGTAAACTCTTTTCTATTTACCCAAACCAAATAGCGCCCTCTTATTGTGTCCGCCATATCTTAAATAGGCTAATTGGACTTACGCTACCGGAGATTACTCCAAAACAGTCTATATCATCACCCCATTCTCAAGATAGTAGAAATTGCATTCAGTCAGAATCACGACATTATTATACGCCAAGCTCAGAGACAAGATTACTTTACCAACTGTCCATCTGGAGTGACAAACTCGTTGTCAGGGTTACCATCAAAGTTACCGCAGAGACCACACGTACGGTTGCCATAGTGATATGGTAGTGATATCTCGGCAGTGCGGGAACCATCCCAACGAATAGACAACCCAAAGGGAGTTGCCAACATCTTGAACAATAGAAAAAAAATTGAAATAAAAAAATTACAAACACAAGTATCTTATTGCTAAGCCCTTACCAAAGTAAGGTACATTGTTTTCTCAATATTATTAACTGGTAGAGCACAACATACATCACACAGCTCAGAAATATCTTTTTGGCATTATTAACAGGCAAATACAAAACAATTCATCCATTGGAATTTAAATGCAAAACCGGTGAACACTTTCAAAGACTTACTGAAAAACTACATAAGTTTCAACAAACAGAAACAAATATCTAAACACTTTAATCTATTAATTGTGATATCATTTCTTTTCTATAGCTACGTACCAGTTTGTATCCGTTTTGAAAGATGACAACTCCATCTAAAAGTTGAACTGGCGGCGTGACGATTATCCCGTCAATGCGAAGTTCACCCTTCCTTCGTAAGGAGTATTCCACATCATTGTAATACAATCTTAATTCCTGAGTGTATGATACCGGGTCAGACGGTTTCTGTTTGATATTCCTGGCCGTCAGGTGGAAAGCCTCTGAAGTTTGACTGCAGTTCCTGGCCAGTGTGTATTCACAATCTCCCTGGAAATCATACTTAACTCGGTCGAATGTCAAATAGTGGGGGTCTCCCCATACTGTACAGGTGCCGGGCCCTGCATTACAAAGGAATTCTACATTAAGCATTAGCAAACACAATATTGTGAAAAAAATGTGACTTTTGTGTTGTCGAAATACCAGATTTTTATTTTAACATACAGTCTAACAATCCCCCCCCCCAAATCTACAAATTATTATGTTCAGTGAACGCAATGTAAACATCTGTGACAATTTCGTGATAAATAAGGTAGAGTGAATTCAAAACTATAATCCAGATTGTCACTAATTATGCTGCTCAATATTCAGTAAAGAGATGCGTCACCGTTAAACGCCCTTAAAAGAAAAGCTTCAGCCAGTGAGAATAAGATTATGTTTTGATGGGACTTGACAGGTCATAATAAGCCTTACGCTTTAATTCGACCAATAATTACAAGCAAGCAAGCTACAAGCAAGAACTCTGAAAAACGTACATAATATTACAGCTTAATTTAGGATGGATAACGTACCTCTGGTGCATTCCAATCCGCTTTCAACAAATCCATTCTGACAGTAACAATCACGAACACCATTCTTGATTTCACAACTGGCAGACTCATGACATTCTAAAATTGAGCACTGCACGCTACCAGCATTGCCACAGAGACATTTCTCGGAGCAGTCGGGCGAAATCCAAACGGCACCACGCTAAAAGGGATAGAGCAGAATTTTAACAAAGAACAGAAAATTCATGCTTACACAACAAACAAATCATAAACGCAACAATATTTATGAAGGGTGAGTCAAAATAATGTCCCTTTGGATTATTCTTTGTCTCCCAAAAAACGGAAAAAAGTTTTCAGCCAACATTCGATTTGGGTATTGACCACATTTAGTACAAATGTTACTTATATTCGTCCATTCATGCAAAGGATACAAGCCTTTCTTTGTGACTACCCCAAAACAATGTTTCCTAGTATTGTGTTTTAGGGGGCATTTAACTTTATTTAATGGCGCAAACAACAACCTGACCAATGGGCGCCAATATTTCCAGATCGTATCCCCCTTCGATTTTGTTTTTCTAATTGAGGGGACCTCAAGGGCCGGGTGTACCGCATTGTGCCACACACCCTGCAGGGACTTCGCCAACGAATTACTGTTGAAATCAAAGCCCTCAGAAGAACACGGACGATCGGCAGAGCTATTGCAGACATGAGGACACAGGCACATCTATACATGCGTTTATGTGAATGAAAGACAGATGGAGGTTCGAGAAGCAGGACAGTGTAAACGTGAACCTTATAGGTAATTCATTTTCAAGTTCAATGGATGTAATTCCATTTGATTGATGTCCTGTTCTATTATTCCATTTATTTCCTTCATTGTCCTCAGACCCAATGATTGTTGCCATTGTGTTCATAGCAAAAGGTCTATTCTGAACATTGTGTTGGTAGTGTTTCGGGGTAGTCAAAAAGAAAGGCCTGTATCCTTTTCATGCATGGCTGAATATCAGTTAAACAGTTACTGACTGTGGTCAACACCCAGACAAAAAAATGGCTGAATGGAAAAGCTGGTATCCTTTCCCGTTTTTGTGGGAAACAAAAATTTATCCAATGGGACATTTGTTTTGGACTCGCACAGTCGGGCCTATAGCAAGTTTATTTTGCGGAAACATCATGTGAAATTAATCTCTTTTGTTAGTTTGTGATTGATGGGTTTAGACCATAACTCTTTTTAATGAACAAAAATAGCACTTTAAAATCTTACCGGAAGGTAGGTAACTCCATCTTGCAAGAGACAACCACATTGGGAAGGATGGATACAGTGATCTCCTTCCAGAAGAAGACCATCAGGACAACGGCAGGTTTCGATACAAGTCTGCTGGCAGTCAGGATTACCTTGTGGCTCCTGACAGGTAGCTGGACATGCTGTGCCACAAGACTCGTATATCAGCTCACTGGGACATTGTAGCTCTGTCAATTTGAAACCAATGAAAATATTTGACTTCAGATTAGAGTCAAGGATTCATATAACGCTGTGCTTACACGTGTGCAATTTCTTGTGGGGGAAAACAGTGCGCACAGGGAACGCAGTACCCAGACAGCTCCCCGAAGAAAACTCACGAGTGAACAAAGCGTATCGCTATTCCATATCAGGGGTATGTAAACTTTGACAAGCACAAAAACAATCTTCTCAATACTTCATTCGAAAAGAAGAATCGTAGCAATCTTAAGAATAGTAATTGAAACTTACGACACATCTCCTTCTCCCTTTTCCAGTCGTCTAGAATTTGTCCAGATACACGGCAAGCTTCAGCATAACTCTCAGCGCTGTCACAAACCAAATCATCTTCAGGAAGAGTCTCACAAAGATCGTACAAACAAGACGCATGATAAGGTCCTGGATCCACAAAATCATGACAAGGTGCAAAGGGGCCTGGAAAATGGAGCAAAAGAGAAGAAACAATTCTGATCGCACCCCTTCGTAAAGAATAAGAAAACCACCCGTGACACCTGCACAATATAATTATAAAAACTGAGGAAAAGATCAGGCCAGAACTTAATATTTTGCCCACCTGTTACATCAATCAGTATGTAGCAAAGATCCGATGCCTGACGATACAGCTCAGATCCCTCAAGACAAGGCGGCGGGTCAACTGGTGGTTCACACCCTATCGTGTCCACAGCCCAGCTATGGCCAAAGTCAGATGGGTTTTCGGCCTAGATCAAGAAAACGGTCGCTGTCAGAATACAATGATAAGTGAGCAGTCCAATCGCAACAAATGATTCTTGATGGTGAAAATAATGAAAACGGATTTTTTTTTTTTTTTTTTTACCAGTGATCCATCGGGAAGTGTGTAGTCATTGTCTTGATCCCCGTCAAAGGTTCCGCACAGGCCGCAGACTGTATTCCAATACGTCGCTGCAACTGTGATCACAAATTTACTCTTGCCGTTCCACTTAATCTCAAGGTCAAAGCTTGTAGTTAGGACCTGAAAGAAATGCAAAACTCTGCAGCATATACCGTTGCGCCCTGACATATCTACTGAACCATTCTTGACATATGGCATTTTAATATATGTCGATGCTGAACCTTCCCGTCTATCAATGCCTACCTCAATTTGAATTTGGAACCAGAATGTATTTCAGCACAATAAATTGTAAAGGACATCTCTACCAGCTCTCAAAATGGTCAGGAAACAACTTACCACATCGCCCCCAGATTTTCGAATACTGACTCCATTCGATTGCAGAACAGGTAGTGATACGGTTATACCGTCGATTTGCACCTCTCCTCTTTGGAGTAAAGCGTACTGCTTTCCTCCAAAGTCCAACACAATTTCTCTCGTGAACGAGACGCGCTCAGATGGCATTCTCTTTAGGTTGTTAGCAATCACATGGAATGATGGAAGCACAGACGAGTTTCGGCAGTCTCTGACAAGTGTATATTCACAATCCCCCTGGAAATCGTACTCGACACCGTCAAAGGTTACGTAATGAGGATCTCCCCAAGCCATGCACATGCCGGAGGCTAAATACAAATGAAATCAAATCAGAAACAAATCAAATCAGACTTTCTTCAGCTGTAACACTGAGCTTTAAAACGTGGGCTCAGCTTAGGGATGGTAAAAAGGTGTAAAGTTCCAAAATATATTAGCCCTACCTCGTTGACAGTTCAATCCATCACCGACATATCCTTTTCTGCAGTAACAGTTTCGAACGCCGTTCTTAATGCCACATTTGGCAAACTGGTCACATTCCAAACTAGAACACTGTGCTTGGCCGGCGTCACAAACACATTTTTGGCTGCAGTCGGTAGATACCCACTCGCCCCCATTCTGCGGGTAAATCAAACATCAATCGCAATTAGTATTTTGTGCAATTTATTTGGAGCCCAATAAGTTATATTTCTGAGTAAAGAACGTGTTCATGAAAATGGTACCCCAATCTAGGGAATCGATCCCATTAAGATCGCTTGGCTCTTACCGGAAGGTAGGTAACTCCATCTTGCAAGAGACAACCACATTGGGAAGGATGGATACAGTGATCTCCTTCCAGAAGAAGACCATCAGGACAACGGCAGGTTTCGATACAAGTCTGCTGGCAGTCAGGATTACCTTGTGGCTCCTGACAGGTAGCTGGACATGCTGTGCCACAAGACTCGTATATCAGCTCACTGGAACATTGTAGCTCTGTTTTTTAAATTTAAACCAATGAAAATAATTGACTTCAGATTAGAGTCAAGGATTCATATAACGCTGTGCTTACACGTGTGCAATTTCTTGTGGGGGAAAACAGTGCGCACAGGGAACGCAGTACCCAGACAGCTCCCCGAAGAAAACTCACGAGTGAACAAAGCGTATCGCTATTCCATATCAGGGGTATGTAAACTTTGACAAGCACAAAAACAATCTTCTCAATACTTCATTCGAAAAGAAGAATCGTAGCAATCTTAAGAATAGTAATTGAAACTTACGACACATCTCCTTCTCCCTTTTCCAGTCGTCTAGAATTTGTCCAGATACACGGCAAGCTTCAGCATAACTCTCAGCGCTGTCACAAACCAAATCATCTTCAGGAAGAGTCTCACAAAGATCGTACAAACAAGACGCATGATAAGGTCCTGGATCCACAAAATCATGACAAGGTGCAAAGGGGCCTGGAAAATGGAGCAAAAGAGAAGAAACAATTCTGATCGCACCCCTTCGTAAAGAATAAGAAAACCACCCGTGACACCTGCACAATATCATTATAAAAACTGAGGAAAAGATCAGGCCAGAACTTAATATTTTGCCCACCTGTTACATCAATCAGTATGTAGCAAAGATCCGATGCCTGACGATACAGCTCAGATCCCTCAAGACAAGGCGGCGGGTCAACTGGTGGTTCACATCCCATCGTGTCCACAGCCCAGCTATGGCCAAAGTCAGATGGGTTTTCGGCCTAGATCAAGAAAACGGTCGCTGTCAGAATACAATGATAAGTGAGCAGTCCAATCGCAACAAATGATTCTTGATGGTGAAAATAATGAAAACGGATTTTTTTTTTTTTTTTACCAGTGATCCATCGGGAAGTGTGTAGTCATTGTCTTGATCCCCGTCAAAGGTTCCGCACAGGCCGCAGACTGTATTCCAATACGTCGCTGCAACTGTGATCACAAATTTACTCTTGCCGTTCCACTTAATCTCAAGGTCAAAGCTTGTAGTTAGGACCTGAAAGAAATGCAAAACTCTGCAGCATATACCGTTGCGCCCTGACATATCTACTGAACCATTCTTGACATATGGCATTTTAATATATGTCGATGCTGAACCTTCCCGTCTATCAATGCCTACCTCAATTTGAATATGGAACCAGAATGTATTTCAGCACAATAAATTGTAAAGGACATCTCTACCAGCTCTCAAAATGGTCAGGAAACAACTTACCACATCGCCCCCAGATTTTCGAATACTGACTCCATTCGATTGCAGAACAGGTAGTGATACGGTTATACCGTCGATTTGCACCTCTCCTCTTTGGAGTAAAGCGTACTGCTTTCCTCCAAAGTCCAACACAATTTCTCTCGTGAACGAGACGCGCTCAGATGGCATTCTCTTTAGGTTGTTAGCAATCACATGGAATGATGGCAGCACAGACGAGTTTCGGCAGTCTCTGACAAGTGTATATTCACAATCCCCCTGGAAATCGTACTCGACACCGTCAAAGGTTACGTAATGAGGATCTCCCCAAGCCATGCACATGCCGGAGGCTAAATACAAATGAAATCAAATCAGAAACAAATCAAATCAGACTTTCTTCAGCTGTAACACTGAGCTTTAAAACGTGGGCTCAGCTTAGGGATGGTAAAAAGGTGTAAAGTTCCAAAATATATTAGCCCTACCTCGTTGACAGTTCAATCCATCACCGACATATCCTTTTCTGCAGTAACAGTTTCGAACGCCGTTCTTAATGCCACATTTGGCAAACTGGTCACATTCTAAACTAGAACACTGTGCTTGGCCGGCGTCACAAACACATTTTTGGCTGCAGTCGGTAGATACCCACTCGCCCCCATTCTGCGGGTAAATCAAACATCAATCGCAATTAGTATTTTGTGCAATTTATTTGGAGCCCAATAAGTTATATTTCTGAGTAAAGAACGTGTTCATGAAAATGATACCCCAATCTAGGGAATCGATCCCATTAAGATCGCTTGGCTCTTACCGGAAGGTAGGTAACTCCATCTTGCAAGAGACAACCACATTGGAAAGGATGGATACAATGATCTCCTTCCAGAAGAAGACCATCAGGACAACGGCAGGTTTCGATACAAGTCTGCTGGCAGTCAGGATTACCTTGTGGCTCCTGACAGGTAGCTGGACATGCTGTGCCACAAGACTCGTATATCAGCTCACTGGGACATTGTAGCTCTGTTTTTTAAATTTAAACCAATGAAAATAATTGACTTCAGATTAGAGTCAAGGATTCATATAACGCTGTGCTTCCACGTGTGCAATTTCTTGTGGGGGAAAACAGTGCGCACAGGGAACGCAGTACCCAGACAGCTCCCCGAAGAAAACTCACGAGTGAACAAAGCGTATCGCTATTCCATATCAGGGGTATGTAAACTTTGACAAGCACAAAAACAATCTTCTCAATACTTCATTCGAAAAGAAGAATCGTAGCAATCTTAAGAATAGTAATTGAAACTTACGACACATCTCCTTCTCCCTTTTCCAGTCGTCTAGAATTTGTCCAGATACACGGCAAGCTTCAGCATAACTCTCAGCGCTGTCACAAACCAAATCATCTTCAGGAAGAGTCTCACAAAGATCGTACAAACAAGACGCATGATAAGGTCCTGGATCCACAAAATCATGACAAGGTGCAAAGGGGCCTGGAAAATGGAGCAAAAGAGAAGAAACAATTCTGATCGCACCCCTTCGTAAAGAATAAGAAAACCACCCGTGACACCTGCACAATATAATTATAAAAACTGAGGAAAAGATCAGGCCAGAACTTAATATTTTGCCCACCTGTTACATCAATCAGTATGTAGCAAAGATCCGATGCCTGACGATACAGCTCAGATCCCTCAAGACAAGGCGGCGGGTCAACTGGTGGTTCACATCCCATCGTGTCCACAGCCCAGCTATGGCCAAAGTCAGATGGGTTTTCGGCCTAGATCAAGAAAACGGTCGCTGTCAGAATACAATGATAAGTGAGCAGTCCAATCGCAACAAATGATTCTTGATGGTGAAAATAATGAAAACGGATTTTTTTTTTTTTTTTTTACCAGTGATCCATCGGGAAGTGTGTAGTCATTGTCTTGATCCCCGTCAAAGGTTCCGCACAGGCCGCAGACTGTATTCCAATACGTCGCTGCAACTGTGATCACAAATTTACTCTTGCCGTTCCACTTAATCTCAAGGTCAAAGCTTGTAGTTAGGACCTGAAAGAAATGCAAAACTCTGCAGCATATACCGTTGCGCCCTGACATATCTACTGAACCATTCTTGACATATGGCATTTTAATATATGTCGATGCTGAACCTTCCCGTCTATCAATGCCTACCTCAATTTGAATATGGAACCAGAATGTATTTCAGCACAATAAATTGTAAAGGACATCTCTACCAGCTCTCAAAATGGTCAGGAAACAACTTACCACATCGCCCCCAGATTTTCGAATACTGACTCCATTCGATTGCAGAACAGGTAGTGATACGGTTATACCGTCGATTTGCACCTCTCCTCTTTGGAGTAAAGCGTACTGCTTTCCTCCAAAGTCCAACACAATTTCTCTCGTGAACGAGACGCGCTCAGATGGCATTCTCTTTAGGTTGTTAGCAATCACATGGAATGATGGAAGCACAGACGAGTTTCGGCAGTCTCTGACAAGTGTATATTCACAATCCCCCTGGAAATCGTACTCGACACCGTCAAAGGTTACGTAATGAGGATCTCCCCAAGCCATGCACATGCCGGAGGCTAAATACAAATGAAATCAAATCAGAAACAAATCAAATCAGACTTTCTTCAGCTGTAACACTGAGCTTTAAAACGTGGGCTCAGCTTAGGGATGGTAAAAAGGTGTAAAGTTCCAAAATATATTAGCCCTACCTCGTTGACAGTTCAATCCATCACCGACATATCCTTTTCTGCAGTAACAGTTTCGAACGCCGTTCTTAATGCCACATTTGGCAAACTGGTCACATTCCAAACTAGAACACTGTGCTTGGCCGGCGTCACAAACACATTTTTGGCTGCAGTCGGTAGATACCCACTCGCCCCCATTCTGCGGGTAAATCAAACATCAATCGCAATTAGTATTTTGTGCAATTTATTTGGAGCCCAATAAGTTATATTTCTGAGTAAAGAACGTGTTCATGAAAATGGTACCCCAATCTAGGGAATCGATCCCATTAAGATCGCTTGGCTCTTACCGGAAGGTAGGTAACTCCATCTTGCAAGAGACAACCACATTGGGAAGGATGGATACAGTGATCTCCTTCCAGAAGAAGACCATCAGGACAACGGCAGGTTTCGATACAAGTCTGCTGGCAGTCAGGATTACCTTGTGGCTCCTGACAGGTAGCTGGACATGCTGTGCCACAAGACTCGTATATCAGCTCACTTGAACATTGTAGCTCTGTTTTTTAAATTTAAACCAATGAAAATAATTGACTTCAGATTAGAGTCAAGGATTCATATAACGCTGTGCTTACACGTGTGCAATTTCTTGTGGGGGAAAACAGTGCGCACAGGGAACGCAGTACCCAGACAGCTCCCCGAAGAAAACTCACGAGTGAACAAAGCGTATCGCTATTCCATATCAGGGGTATGTAAACTTTGACAAGCACAAAAACAATCTTCTCAATACTTCATTCGAAAAGAAGAATCGTAGCAATCTTAAGAATAGTAATTGAAACTTACGACACATCTCCTTCTCCCTTTTCCAGTCGTCTAGAATTTGTCCAGATACACGGCAAGCTTCAGCATAACTCTCAGCGCTGTCACAAACTAAATCATCTTCAGGAAGAGTCTCACAAAGATCGTACAAACAAGACGCATGATAAGGTCCTGGATCCACAAAATCATGACAAGGTGCAAAGGGGCCTGGAAAATGGAGCAAAAGAGAAGTAACAATTCTGATCGCACCCCTTCGTAAAGAATAAGAAAACCACCCGTGACACCTGCACAATATAATTATAAAAACTGAGGAAAAGATCAGGCCAGAACTTAATATTTTGCCCACCTGTTACATCAATCAGTATGTAGCAAAGATCCGATGCCTGACGATACAGCTCAGATCCCTCAAGACAAGGCGGCGGGTCAACTGGTGGTTCACATCCCATCGTGTCCACAGCCCAGCTATGGCCAAAGTCAGATGGGTTTTCGGCCTAGATTAAGAAAACGGTCGCTGTCAGAATACAATGATAAGTGAGCAGTCCAATCGCAACAAATGATTCTTGATGGTGAAAATAATGAAAACGGATTTTTTTTTTTTTTTTTTACCAGTGATCCATCGGGAAGTGTGTAGTCATTGTCTTGATCCCCGTCAAAGGTTCCGCACAGGCCGCAGACTGTATTCCAATACGTCGCTGCAACTGTGATCACAAATTTACTCTTGCCGTTCCACTTAATCTCAAGGTCAAAGCTTGTAGTTAGGACCTGAAAGAAATGCAAAACTCTGCAGCATATACCGTTGCGCCCTGACATATCTACTGAACCATTCTTGACATATGGCATTTTAATATATGTCGATGCTGAACCTTCCCGTCTATCAATGCCTACCTCAATTTGAATATGGAACCAGAATGTATTTCAGCACAATAAATTGTAAAGGACATCTCTACCAGCTCTCAAAATGGTCAGGAAACAACTTACCACATCGCCCCCAGATTTTCGAATACTGACTCCATTCGATTGCAGAGCAGGTAGTGATACGGTTATACCGTCGATTTGCACCTCTCCTCTTTGGAGTAAAGCGTACTGCTTTCCTCCAAAGTCCAACACAATTTCTCTCGTGAACGAGACGCGCTCAGATGGCATTCTCTTTAGGTTGTTAGCAATCACATGGAATGATGGAAGCACAGACGAGTTTCGGCAGTCTCTGACAAGTGTATATTCACAATCCCCCTGGAAATCGTACTCGACACCGTCAAAGGTTACGTAATGAGGATCTCCCCAAGCCATGCACATGCCGGAGGCTAAATACAAATGAAATCAAATCAGAAACAAATCAAATCAGACTTTCTTCAGCTGTAACACTGAGCTTTAAAACGTGGGCTCAGCTTAGGGATGGTAAAAAGGTGTAAAGTTCCAAAATATATTAGCCCTACCTCGTTGACAGTTCAATCCATCACCGACATATCCTTTTCTGCAGTAACAGTTTCGAACGCCGTTCTTAATGCCACATTTGGCAAACTGGTCACATTCCAAACTAGAACACTGTGCTTGGCCGGCGTCACAAACACATTTTTGGCTGCAGTCGGTAGATACCCACTCGCCCCCATTCTGCGGGTAAATCAAACATCAATCGCAATTAGTATTTTGCGCAATTTATTTGGAGCCCAATAAGTTATATTTCTGAGTAAAGAACGTGTTCATGAAAATGATACCCCAATCTAGGGAATCGATCCCATTAAGATCGCTTGGCTCTTACCGGAAGGTAGGTAACTCCATCTTGCAAGAGACAACCACATTGGGAAGGATGGATACAATGATCTCCTTCCAGAAGAAGACCATCAGGACAACGGCAGGTTTCGATACAAGTCTGCTGGCAGTCAGGATTACCTTGTGGCTCCTGACAGGTAGCTGGACATGCTGTGCCACAAGACTCGTATATCAGCTCACTGGGACATTGTAGCTCTGTTTTTTAAATTTAAACCAATGAAAATAATTGACTTCAGATTAGAGTCAAGGATTCATATAACGCTGTGCTTCCACGTGTGCAATTTCTTGTGGGGGAAAACAGTGCGCACAGGGAACGCAGTACCCAGACAGCTCCCCGAAGAAAACTCACGAGTGAACAAAGCGTATCGCTATTCCATATCAGGGGTATGTAAACTTTGACAAGCACAAAAACAATCTTCTCAATACTTCTTTCGAAAAGAAGAATCGTAGCAATCTTAAGAATAGTAATTGAAACTTACGACACATCTCCTTCTCCCTTTTCCAGTCGTCTAGAATTTGTCCAGATACACGGCAAGCTTCAGCATAACTCTCAGCGCTGTCACAAACCAAATCATCTTCAGGAAGAGTCTCACAAAGATCGTACAAACAAGACGCATGATAAGGTCCTGGATCCACAAAATCATGACAAGGTGCAAAGGGGCCTGGAAAATGGAGCAAAAGAGAAGAAACAATTCTGATCGCACCCCTTCGTAAAGAATAAGAAAACCACCCGTGACACCTGCACAATATAATTATAAAAACTGAGGAAAAGATCAGGCCAGAACTTAATATTTTGCCCACCTGTTACATCAATCAGTATGTAGCAAAGATCCGATGCCTGACGATACAGCTCAGATCCCTCAAGACAAGGCGGCGGGTCAACTGGTGGTTCACATCCCATCGTGTCCACAGCCCAGCTATGGCCAAAGTCAGATGGGTTTTCGGCCTAGATCAAGAAAACGGTCGCTGTCAGAATACAATGATAAGTGAGCAGTCCAATCGCAACAAATGATTCTTGATGGTGAAAATAATGAAAACGGATTTTTTTTTTTTTTTTTTTTACCAGTGATCCATCGGGAAGTGTGTAGTCATTGTCTTGATCCCCGTCAAAGGTTCCGCACAGGCCGCAGACTGTATTCCAATACGTCGCTGCAACTGTGATCACAAATTTACCCTTGCCGTTCCACTTAATCTCAAGGTCAAAGCTTGTAGTAAGGACCTGAAAGAAATGCAAAACTCTGCAGCATATACCGTTGCACCCTGACATATCTACTGAACCATTCTTGACATATGGCATTTTAAATATATGTCAATGCTGAACCTTCCCGTTTATCAATGCCTATACCTTTATTTGAATATGGAAACAGAATGTATTGCAGCACAATAAATTGTGAATGACATCTCTACCAGCTCTCAAAATGGTCAGGAAACAACTTACCACATCGCCCCCAGATTTTCGAATACTGACTCCATTCGATTGCAGAACAGGTAGTGATACGGTTATACCGTCGATTTGCACCTCTCCTCTTTGGAGTAAAGCGTACTGCTTTCCTCCAAAGTCCAACACAATTTCTCTCGTGAACGAGACGCGCTCAGATGGCTTTCTCTTTAGGTTGTTAGCAATCACGTGGAATGATGGAAGCACAGACGAGTTGCGGCAGTCTCTGACAAGTGTATATTCACAATCCCCCTGGAAATCGTACTCGACACCGTCAAAGGTTACGTAATGAGGATCTCCCCAAGCCATGCACATGCCAGGACCTAGATGTATAAACATGATTTGAAGTTAAGAAGGATATGCTTCTGGGAATATTTGCGTTGCCTTTGAACTTAATTGTAAGAATTTTGGTCTTTTTTGTATGGGATGTTATTACCTCTTTGGCAATCTGTTCCGTCTCCCTCAAACCCATGGTTGCAGTAGCAGTCACGAACACCACCTTTTATGGCGCACTTTGCTGCCTCATGACATCCGATCGGCGTACATCTACCGCCACATATGCATTTTTCTGTACAGTCAGGCGACACCCAGACTTCACCGAGCTATAATATAACAAGTATAAATTCATGATGACCAAAAATGGATGTTCGGTTTAAAAACAGAAAATGATTGATGATTATAATAATTAAGAATGACAGTTCAGATAGATGACCAACACACATTTCATTTCGGTGAAAAAAAACCCTAGGCATTTTTGTCATGAAGCCCTAATTTGGAAAGGCCTCGTAGGGAGAATAATTTCCTTTTGCTTTCGCATACCATGAAACAAACTGGTGTGTAAAATTTGATTATGCAAGGCTTAACCTTTCTCTCAAGAATGGTGATCGCGAGTATGCACTTAATGTGAACCTTGCAGGTAAACATGACTTACAGGAATATATGACAGGCCGTTGTTTAAGAGGCATCCGCATTCAAATGGTTCAATGCAGCGATCACCTTCGAGCAGTAAACCGTCTGGGCAGCGACAGGTTTCGATGCAAGATTGCGAGCAATTTGAAGCACCCTGCGGCTCTTGGCAGGTGGCATGGCAAGCTGTTCCGCAAGCATCGTACATTAGACCATCTGCACATTGTAGTTCTGGAGACAAAAAACCAATAACTTATACTACTTAAAACATGTTGGTCTAGTTAGTTTTTATTTGCTGGTGACAAAATACTATTTGACTGATGAAAAAATACTATATGTTTTCCCGGCCAATTTCACCAAGTTTTCATTCAATTTAACGCCTGGCTCATTCGATTTGGATTGAAATTGAAAGATCATGCAGATCGGCATTCGACAATCAAAAAGAATCTTTCAATTTCACTATCCGAGCATTCTATCGCCTTTTAGCTTCACTCGGCCCTATCAAAGGTGCATTCATATTAAAAGTATCGCGTTGTTCATTCAATTTCGTCTAAACCATTAGTAAGGGGTTGATCGGGCATTCGTTTTCATTAATGGGCAAACATGTTTCACATTTTGTCAAACATCTTTTAAGACTTCATACGTGTCGGTATTTCTTAGCGAATCATATTTGATGACTTCAAACCGTAGATTGACTTTCTTTCTTATAAAGGGTATGTGCAGTGAATTTTTCTCAGGAATTCTTTTTGCGCAACTCTGTGAAATGTAAGAAGCCTACACATTTGACAACACTTTTTGGGTTAATCTTATTGTACACGTGCACTTCTTTAAGCATTTAAAAGTTTCCATGTTTTTCTCCGGACTAACGCTGTTACTGTGATGTCATTCCAGGAAGACACTGTTCAGTTTAAGGTTTTTCTTTCAAATTATTCATCCAAAATTTGCTAATTGAAAACATTTCTGGGAAAGGGATGGTCATTGGCTTACTGCCATGTACTGACACATCATATAATCACCAAATAAAAGAAATTTATGACAGCAAAATATCTAAAATCCTAGCAATTTTTTGGGCTGAAATAGCCGTGTAACATTAATCATGCTCGGAATGCCATCACAGGTTTTCTAATGAATATGAAATTTTGCATTAGAAACTTGCAAATAAGGTTAAATGTGACACAAAGATGTATTTTCAAGGTTTGCATTGAAAAGTTTGCATGGGCCCTGTGAATATGGTAAGTAGTTCGGTCAGATATACGTAAGAAAACATTTAAGAAATAACGCAAGAGAAATGTTCCCGACGGTACAACCATTTCCAAACATAATACGTATCCTGATGTCTTGCACGTCAAGAAATCGTCAACTTAAAAAAGACCCTTGACCAAACGTTTAACAAGTAGAAAAGATCAACAGTGAAAAAGAAATTATCTTAGTCCCTTTCAATTCATTATTTCGTTGCATCTTGTTTCCCTCATATCAGTTAATTTGTAACACTGTAAATTTTACAGTCATCAAGATTTTTTTTTGGGGGGGGGGGAAATGAACCTCGGAGAAAAATAGGAAATAATATCGATTAAAAAATCTAACTAATTTAAATGACCAAACGATTAAAGCGATTGCCCATAAACGAATAAGAGACGAACAGCATGGTTATACGTTATAAGCGCACAGATGTTCGCTTATTTGAATGCATCAACCGTCAAAAGGTTGCAAAGACTTAATTTAAGCCTGCTACAAGTTAAGTCTTGAATGCACCAAAACGAAATAGGCTGCCCAAAAACGAAAACGAACATTCACAGCAAAATCTTGGCTGCCTAAAAATGAAATTGAATGAACCCCAAATGAAAAAGAAACCCCAATTGGACCACATTTGCAAAACTCACGCGAATTTGAATGGCTGATAATGAAACTGATTAGAAAAATTCGGAAATTCGCCGGGAAAACCTATATTTGTAAACACGTTGAAAAAAGCTTAAAACTCCCGATTTCACTTTGAAAATCACATTTGATGGAGAATTTTACATTAACGCACAGATTGTTTACAAATAACCTTTCTTATTTATACAATGCCCAAAACGCATGCAAAATATAAAAATAATTTATTTTGATATTAAAAATACTTTAAAGTAAATGAAAAAAAAACTGAATATAAATTTGAGAGCATTATCACTGAGATCGAAACATACACAAAACGTGCTCAAACACATTGTGCGTAGACTTAAAAAGGCGAAAGAGATCTCTTGGTTGAAAATACGTTAATTTATAATTAGTTTGGGAGTTGTGTTGCGCATCAATCTGATATGAGGAAATGCACACCTAAGACCTTCAATGTCATAAAAAAAACCCGATTTAGATCGACAGAAAATCTTTAAAATAAACGTACGGCACTGCAGCGTTACAGTCTTCCAGCTCCCAGGTCTACCCCCAGCTTGCTTGCAGGCTTGTGCATAGCTCTCTAAACTGTCACAGAGAAGTGAATCATCAGGAAGAGAGGCACAGAGATCATACTGACATGATTCGTGGTATGGTGTTGGGTCGACAAAATCATGACATGAGGCGAATGGTCCTGCCAAAAAAGAGATGATCGAATGGGTATATTTTAATATTTATTATAGTGCAAACTGAGCAGTCAATTTGAATTGTTGTACTTTTTATAGAAATGATTAAACAACGCGGCTTCTCGGGGAAGCATGGAGAGGGCTGGCAAACTAAAACCAACAATCCAGCAAATTTGGCCCACAATTGCGTTCAGTGAAGTAAATTTTGTCACTTCAGGCACTCCATACAGAATACATTTAAATGTTGGAAGAAAGATGCAGGGTTACAGTATCCGAACGATTATCAGGAAAGTATTGAGCTCGAAATAGGAAATTTGCACTGGAATATCTTGACTGAGGAACATGCATGTGTACGATAATATAATAATGACAATATTCAATGATCCATTATCCGGTTCGTTAGTAAAAACGTCATACACGCGCGCCCACCACTGATTAACCTACTAGCGCCCATTGGATAACACTCAAATTGCGTTAACTTCCGGTTCAAATGATTCCAATGCATGCTACTTAACGGGCAGTGGATGTGGTTTAAACTGACGTGACTTTACACTAAACGAACCGGACACATAATAAGCGTAGTTTTTCTTTTGTAGCAATTAACATAATAAACCGAACATGAGCTCGGCACAGCATTAGTGGCAGATAGGGCATGTTATTGGTATTGTAAATAACTTATCCAAAGTTTGATTTTCTGATAGCAAATCACAAATCTTAGGTTAAATACGTACCCGACTCTTTTATGAGTATGTAGCACAAGTCGTTAGCCTGTTCGAACTTGTCAGTATTATCTTCGCAGGGATGCGGGGTATCTGGTGAGGATTTACATTGTTCTACATCAAGCGCCCAACTGTTGCCGAATTCCGTCTCGCTGTTGACCTGAAAGGATGTAAAGAAAACAACCGTAACTGCAAAGTTGAACAAATTACCAGCATATACAAGATTGCTCGTCAACCAACAAACCATCCTACTCCTTCAGCCTAGAAACCAGCTATTTTGCTAAAAAAATTGTAGCAAAGACACTAAATTTCCATGGACATAACCAACAAGCAAACACATGTGATTTGAAGGAAAAAAAACACCAATTGTAGCAAAGGCACCAGGTTTAAATGGACATAACCAACAAGCAAACACATGATTTGAAATAGTCCATTTCCTCACTAGTTCACCATCAGACCGTCTGTAATCGTTCAGTCTGTCTCCGTCAAACGTTCCACACAGTCCACACGTGTTGTTCCAGTACTGGTATGGCACCTCTACTTTGACCGTACTGGAACCGTCCCATTGGATAATCAGCTGGAAATTTGTAGTTAGCACCTATAATGGAATAACAAAACAAACCAATAAGCAACAACAAATGCGAATTGAAGACAGAACGTTATGCTGCCATTACTTTTCTGCACAATGAACTATGCATTCTTGAAAAAAATCTTGGAAAACCTGCTTGCCATTAAGCATTTTTTTTCATACTTCTTGATGCAACAATCTCTTCAAAATCTTCGGAGAATTTTGTTCCTATGTTCAAGGCTGTGATTCCTGTACAATTGCTTACCAAATTTCGGCCGGATATTCTGATATTGACTCCATCTGGACGCAGCACAGGTGGTGAAAGCGTTACTCCATCAACTCGAATCTCTCTATGGCTACGAAGATAGTACATCGTGCCTCTCAATATTAAGGTCACTTCTCGAGTAAAGGAAACTGTTTCAGAGGGCTTCCTCTTGGCATTTTTGACGATGACGTGGAACGAATCTTCTTCGGAGCTATTCCTGCAGTCCCTGACCAGAGTGTATTCACAGTCACCCTGGAAGTCATACTTGACACCATCAAAAGTGATGTAATGAGGATCACCCCAGGCTGTGCATACTCCAGGAGCTATCGAGATACGGAATCAATGATATCTAGGCTCAGCGAAGATGATGATGTTGGTTATTGGCCTTCTAATACGGGGTTATTTGAAGGATAGAGTAATGACCATTTAATTTTTGAAAATGGATAAAGAAAATAATTGAATTGAATTGAATTACCAGCAAGTTACAGTACTTGAAGCAACGACATGATTCGGATATCGTTTGTGATTACCTCTTGAACAATCTTGACCATCTCCCATGAAACCATCCATACAATAGCAATCGCGAACACCGCCTTTGGGGATGCAACGTGCGAACTCATGGCAGCCATAATCTTGACAACTCAGATGTCCTCCATCACAGATGCACTTGCGCGAACAGTCAGCTTGCAGCCAGGTTTCTCCGGACTAAATAAAAAAGATAGCGGAAGGCTAAGATCAATAAGGCAAACCTATTTAACTCATTTAATTGATTCACAAGCGGTACCAATTAAAATCGTTACCAAATCGGTGAAGTGGCATGGACGTGGACAACTTGAAGCTGGAAAGCACCGGCTATTATTATTAAACTTGGACAGCAAAATAATTCTAATAATGCAACCAGGCAAATAATCATGTTTATATGATTATACATACAAATACATTAATTGTTTACCAATGCCCCTACTTACTTGAAGGTAAATCCCTTCCTCCAACATGCACCCACACTGTGATTCTTCAATGCACTGGCCACCGTCTAACAGAGTACCATCAGGACATCGGCAGCCCTCAACACAGACATCAGGGCAGTTTAAGGAGCTATTCCTATCCACACAGGTGGGAGGGCACGCGGTGCCGCAAGAGTCGAATATTTTACCATCTTCGCACTCGACACCTGTGGGTGTATTATTGGAATATTTAGTGGCTCGACCTTCACAAAAATGTCCCAAAAACAAAATATTAGTAAATACGATACACCTATAGCAGATATCGGTCTCTTTTAGTTATTATTTGGGCTATTTATCTCCTATTTACCAGAGAGCAAACAAACTAATTCCTTGTCAAGATCAAAGTACGTCAATAAACCACGTTTGTTATTTTGACATTTGGATGCAAAAAACCTCACTCTTTTATTTCTTATAAAATTAATCAGCATTATAATATTTTTTATAAGGGGAAAAAAGAACGGAAAATATTAGCACATTATTTTTTTTAGGGAATTTTGCATCAAACTACATGTATATTGTTACATCGCGTACTTGGATACTGCAAGGGCGGATCCAGGGGGGGGGGGCCAAAGGGGGCCATGGCCCCCCCCAAAACGAGACAAATTTTTTTTTTTTTAATGTGACATCGCAATAAAGGCAGGCAATGAGTACACCACCATCTTTTCCTCAAACAAAATTGGTTAAAGTGGTCAGAAATTGCCTCAGATCGCACCACAGAGCAACTAGAATCCAATTTTTTTCGGGGCCCTTAAGCGGGCCCCGAACCCCACGCCGTAATTTTTTTTGACCCACTTTTTTGGGGTCCAAACATTTTTTTGGCCCCCCCCCCAATATTGTGTTCTGGATCCGCCCTTGGGATACTGTAATTTTATTGGCTAGGACGGCCACATGTCTGGACAATAAAATTGCATGTCACACACCGAGGTGATATTGCACTGCGTTTATTGGGCGCGTTTAATGAGAACTGCAATGTCAAGCGCTCAGTCTCATGTCCGTCAGAACATCAAGACCTAAATTTTCAAAGGTTATATCGCAGGGAATTAATGTATTTCTCAGACAGTAAGTTGTAACATTTTATCTTTTTGGGTAATTGGCACGACATAACAAAACAATAGACTGCTAGTGATCTGGGTTATGCCAGTTTTAACCGTCTCGGTGCGCATAGCATCTATTGGCTTCCCCTCGGGTGATCCTCAGGTGCTAAATACGTCATATCTCACATTACAGCAGTCAATTGTTAAATGGCAATCGAATTATGCCGATTTTTTTATTTAAATGTAGGTCATGACTCCTCTTCTTCTCCTCCTTTTTTTGCTTCAAAGAAACAAAAAAGGGAGTTGTGGATAGAAAGAAGTAACGAAGTACCGTAGTTATTATCCGTCCTTACGGGTCTTCAGAACTCACCACACTGTGGTCTCTCTCCCCTCCAATCGCCAGGGTTTCCACCAGCTGTCCGGCAAGCATCAGCGTACCCACTCAGACTGTTGCACAATAACTCATCATCGGGCAAAGTGACACATAGATCATACATACAAGAGTCGTAATATGGCGTAGGGTCTACGAAGTCGAAGCATGAAGCATAAGGTCCTGTGTAAACACAATATGTAATTTAAAGTAAGAGTTCAGGTTGCCTTTCCAAAGCTGTGCAAATTGGTGATAATTTCATCCAGGTGGACTTTGCTTACAATCTTCACTTGATAATTTTTTTCTCCTTAAAACACTGAATCTGTTCTTTATGTAATTACCAAAATTCATTCATTGGTCGCTAATAATCATTAAAAAGAAGCGTGATGATCTACAAAACAGAAGACATAAAGTTTCAAATTGTGTTCTTACCAGCTTCCTGTATCAGTGTGTAACACAAATCCCGTGCCAACAAGAATATATCTGATGTCTCATCATCGCAGGGGTTGCGAACATCGGGCGAGATATCACATTCGTCTCCATTAACCACCCAACTGTTTCCAAATTGATATGCACTCGTGGTCTAATATAAAACAATCAAACAAACAAAAAGTCAAACATAACAATTAAAAGGGCCAACACTTATAAATCAGTTGATACGCTTACTAAATCTGTATGGTACATTATCTGGATCGACAAATATAAACAGAATCTAAAATGTCAGAAGGTAAGTATAAAGATACTTAATCCAGGATTCCAATCCAGATACCAGATCTAGACTTTACAAAAAGATACAGCGTAGTTTTGCGGCTGTTTTGAATCTTTTTAAATTCACATGTTAATCAACACACAATGGAAAGCTTTAAATTTGTTTGTTTGGAAGATCACAATAAAGGTATTTGACCCTTACTATTGTTCCATTTGATGTGGTTAGATCGTTGCTCTGGTCGCCATCAAACGTGCCGCAGAGACCGCAGGTTCTATTCCAATAGCTGGAAGGTACAGTGATTTCTGTAGCGTAGCCCCGATCATATTTGATGATTAGCTGGAAATCAGTGGTCATTTCCTATAATAAGATTGGTAAATAAGAATCAGTTTCGGACATTATTGTGGATGTAATGAGCAACAAGGGAAAATCCATGCACTAAATGTCTTGCGTGCATGACAATGTAGCACCATAATAATCACATCAATTGAATTAAGACACAGATGGGCAGAAAGTTGATATGTGGGCCTGTAGTACGTTTTAGTGCAAGGAAAGATGAACATAAAATGTTCATATAGTTATATATATCCATGATTTGCGATGTATCCACTTCAGGGGCGTAAATCTCGGGTGGGGGTGGGGTATATAACCCCCACTTTTTGGCCAGAGGGGGATTGGCAATTGAATAAATCCCATTTTTTTGTGGTAAGAAACCAAAAATTGCGGATTTTGAGGTTTTTTTTTTTTTACCTCCCAACAACCAAAACGTATTCAATATCATTTAACAATGGGAAAAAGTACACAAGCTTAAAATGTCGTGTTGTACGCGCGAGTATACACAGATGTATACCTGCATCATAAACAGCGCCCCCTAATGTAAGGTGATGTCCAGCCCCCCCCCCCCACCTCCCGCTTTTCTAATCCCCCACTCGCCGTCACAGATTTACGCCACTGATCCACTTAGAACTCCGCTGTACTCGCTCGGACTTAGTACAAAAGTTTTAGGTAATTACCAGATAAGGTCCTGCATCTCTGACCACAACACCAGAAGGATGAAGCAAAGGTAGAGTAACTGTTACTCCGTCTAGTCGCACCTCACCTCCTCTAATAAACGTAAATACCGATCCCATGTACTCCAGCTGAAGTTCCTGTAGGAAGGACACGATTTCCGAAGGCTTCCGCTTGCTGTTCTTGGAGATGAGATGGAAGGAAGGAAGGGATGTTGTGTTCAGACAGTCCCTGACGAGTGTGTACTGACAGGCGCCTTGGTAGTCGTACAGGAAGTTATCAAAAGTAATGTAATGGGGATCGCCCCACACCACGCAGACACCGGGAGCTGAAGAGTGATGCAGTAAAAGTAACGAAAGTGATACATAATGCAAACATTTTTTTATTAATAAGTTTTGAAGAAAAAAAAAAGACATACAAAGAAGTGACAATAATAGATGTTTTCTGTCACGCTATTCCTGGTAATAAGGTGGGAAGTCTGACTACCATAATGATAACATTTTGAAACCTAGCCGCTTTTACTGGAAAGAAGTATTTAAAGAGTTGGGAAATCCAACGGGCAAGTATACGTCTTTGGTGTATAAATATGAAAGAACGTGCTTGATAAAATCCCATGATCGGCAGTTTCCTTGTGTATAAATCTAGCGCTTATCAAATCTGTACACTTCAGTTTACACTCGCCATGTTTCATGTGTCATTCACTGTAGCTGCCCTACCTGGAACACAGCTGCCTCCATCCAGTATGTATCCTTCTGTGCAGTAACAATCACGGACACCAGCTTTGATGGTACACTCTGCAAACGGTTGACACTGGTTGGCTTCACATGAAAAGCTAGCCGACTGGCAGGTACACTTCCTCGAACATCCCTCGTCTAGTATTGTGCTGCCGGACTAATGATAACAATATTCATCTGCCTTGCTTCTTTGGCCTTTATTTCATACAATACATGTATCCATCTTCAATTGTTTTGCAACACGTACAAAGACAAGGAAATGCATTTATAAGAATACTTTGTTTGTAACCATTGTTACCACTACATCACTGGACACATGACATCGAATTCATTTCGGCATTAACAATCTATAGAAAGACATAAAAAACGGGGGGGGGGATTTGAAAGTACAATTGTTCCACCTCGTATGCGATTGATTTCTTTTTGTCAGGAGAGAAAGTAAAACGAACAAATAAATGTCAAGCACCATGGAGTGAACGTCTTTTCAATATTGCGATAAACCTACCTGGACGTAAGTGCCATCAACCAGAACACAGCCACAATTTTCAGGTTCCACGCATCCGTTGTTACCATCCTGTAAGAGGCCATCAGGACACCGACAAGTCTCGAGGCAGCCGAAGGGGCAATCGGACCCTACATTGAACCCCGTTGAGCATGTCGGTTGGCATGCACTAGCACAAGAATCGTACACCTTCCCATCTGGGCAATTGAGTGCTATGGAGGCAAAGTAAAATTGATCAATTGTTAGTATCTTGTGTTACCATTTTCAATGACTTCAATAGCGTACTAAATAAAAAGTAAGAACCCTACAGTGTGTCCCCGAAAAGCGGGCCCGGACAAATCAGCGACCATATCTAAAACAAAATATTCATGTGAGACAAAATTTGTGGGTGTTTATTGACGCTGCTGATTTTGTTTGTTGCCTATAGAAAAATAAACAGAATGAATTGAAATATTTTAAAGACATGACTAGAAACGTAAGAGCTACTTTGCTCATGGGGCTTTCTTGATGATATTACTTTTTACTTGGCTTATTTTATTATTCTCCACTTGTCCTCAATGTTTCAAAGAATTACTCCTTGATATGTCAATAATTTCAAGCTGACAAATACACACCGCATTGCATAACTTGACTTCTCCATTCCACGATCGGCCCACCGGACTGTCTACACGACTGGGCGAACTCTGTAAGACTATCACATAGATACTCCTCATCTGGAAGTGACGCACACAGATCATACACGCATGCGTCGTAGTAGGGTTGCGGATCAACATAAGATAAACACGTGCTCCATACTAGAGAAAAAAAGATAAAGTGTATTCAAATCCACAGGAAATCAAATTAAAAGTATTTCCGACATTTTATATTGAGGTATTAACGGTTTTGTCAATAATAATCACTCAATCCCATAATTGGGTACGCCTTTGATTTGTTAAAGGCTAAATAAAAAAATAATATAAATCGGTGTGAGATCGAAATCAAAAAATAACGCATACCACTAGAATCCAAGATTACACTGCAGAGTTGATTGGCATTGCCAAGCGTTTCCCCTCCTGGGCACGGATCTGATGTTGGTGGTAGCGTCTCGCACTGGTCTGAGTTGGCTAACCAGCTTTGCCCAAAGTCGTTGGTATTATCAAGCTGTTACGGGAAAAGCACGCTCTTACTTTGTGTAAAAAATATGCATTGTCCTATTTAGTAGGACCAGTAAAATGTAACGTCCTGATTTTTTTGTTTACTTTTCCTGCATGTGACTTTTCTCTTATATGTATCATCAGACATAAACATATTTCTTCTGTCGCGTGAAAAATAATTCTATCGATTACTTCAATGAAAGTGGTGCCTTACCACAGCCCCATTTGGTGTAGTGAAGTCGTTGGACGAGCTATCATCGAACGTCCCACACATTCCGCAAATGGATCTCCCAATACGCTGGGGAATGGTGACTTCCACTGTATTTTTGCCATCCCATCGCACAGTCATATCAAATGATGTGCTGAGCACCTGTAAAAGACAGTATTTATAAAAGCAGATGTAGCTACGGACTTTGCCCTTTAAACACAATTTTTACCGAAATCTGACTACTGAAAGTGCGGAAATTTCGACAAGCATGTGAAGAAAAACAAAACATATTAATGTAGTAATGTTGTATTGCAATGTACGTGTAGCACCGTTTTAGTTGTAATTGATATCAAATTATTTACCGTTTACATATTGTTATGATTAGAACATAAAAGGGACCGTTAGAAATGTTATAAGAGTATACGGGATACGTATAAAAAGTTGCATGTTAACTCACCATTTTGAGCTGTTAGTAAATGGGTAGTATGCATTTTACATCAAAATGGTGATACAACCAGCAAGTTTTCCTGACTCGCTTCAATGTCCCATAAGCATAACATTTCTACTTGTCCCCATTTACTTACCACGTAAACTCCGGCGAAAAGAATTTTGACGCCATCAGCTCCAACAATCGGCAAGGCCGTTGAGAATCCATTTACCCTGACCTCTCCACCTGACAGCAAGCTGTACACCGTCCCAGTCAGGTTGAACGACAATTCCTGGATCCTGGATACTTTGTCAGAGGGTTTGCGTTTGGTGTTCCTGCTGACGAGTCTGAAGTTTGGCATATCCTGTAGAGGGAGCCCTTCAATGCAACTGTCGGTGATTAGAGTGTAGTCGCAGTCTCCCTGGAAGTCGTATCGGCGTTTGTCGAATGTTATATAGTGCGGATCACCCCAGACCGTGCAAGTACCATACACTGTGAGGTATATGTCAGTGAAAAAAGAATGCACTTGTCGGAACACTACACAACTACCAACACTGACAAATCTGACATAAAATCTACCGAAAAAAATGTCAAAACCTCATCCGTCAATCGCGGAACCAAAAAGTATCATCTACTTCTAAAAAACGTCAAGTAGAATGGATGATATCATGTTAAATTTGTTTTCTTCCAAAGGAAGAGCACGTTTTCTTCACTTCACTATTCATCAATTTAAAATACCTTGAATAACCCCTTCATTACTTTAGGAAAGTCAAATGTTCAAGGCCACATCTCGTTCAAAATGTCTCAGTTCTTTCCAGAAATACTTACCGTCTTCACAGTTAGGTCCGGTCCTTCCTGGCTCACACGTATGGAATCTTGCTACAAGACTTTCCTCTCCCGTCGAGGAGAAGACGAGTTTGATCTCATAGTATTCATGTCCTTGAAGAGAAGCTACATCATACATCGACACTGGGCTACTGATCACGGAGTGGTTCGTCCATTCCTCAGTACCATAAATCCTCTGCTGCACAATGACGTCACCCTGAATGGTGTCATTACGACCCCACGTGATAGTTAAAGATGAAGGTCTGGCATTGTGAATACCAATATTAAATGGCGCCCTCATTGCAGAATCTGTAAATTGAAAGGTCAATGTATATAAAATATAGTGAAAAATAAAAGTGTATGACATATCAAAATAAATGACGTTTGAGATACATAATTATGGTTAGAATAGACTAAATCTAGCTGCATCCATCCCCGGAAATAATATTTTTAATCTTCCCTCGGAGATGAAACAGCCATTTTCCATTATTGGACATGTTGAATTAAGAAATGATAAGATTTCTCAAAAATATTTCTACCTTGCTAATGTTCAAGATGGTTCTCGAATTCTCTATCGACTTACACACATTTGAACTTAATCATGAACAAAACGTTATTTTCCCCTGAATAACTCTCTTGGATGTGGTCCAGTTCAATTTTACTTACGACCCTTTCCAACCACAAACTTACCTACTGCACAGTCTAGTGGACTGCCGAATCCATACAGGCAGGTGCGCACGCTGTGCGGCTGCGTGTAAGCCACACTCTCATCTGTCGATCTCTGCATACCAACTCTAAATTCATAGTCTGTCTCGCTCTCCAGATCTTGTAAGACGTACATGAGCTGATTGCCGCTGATTGTCGGCCCGTACGTCCACGATTCTACGCCGACTAGCCGGTGCTGGAAACGAAACCAGTTTACGGGGATCTCTATCGTCCAGGCCATGGTAAAGGAGTTGCTCCACAGCTGGACCACCGTTAACTTGGGTAAATCAGCTGTTGTGACATATTAGCAATAATACAACTTTTAAAATCAAGCGTTCAATGTTTATGCATTGATAAAAGGTCGATGTACTGATTGTAAAACAGACAAGAAGATTGCATACCATAATATCAGTAAAGTAAGTCCGCACAAGTCATTACATGTCGCGACCATTAGATATCCACTCGCATTTCAAGTGATGTGCGATTCGCAAAAACCCTGACAATATGTTAGCCATTACTCGTCCCCTGTCGCTTGTGAACCGTTATACTTACATATGACTGAATCGTTATTTAGCTTGGTTACAATTCTGCCTTGTGAACCCCTCAAATCACATGATAAAATGCTGAACATGTATCAAGTAATTATTATCATTCAAAGCAAGTACTAATGCATCTCATTATGAATTGACATAACATGGTATTTCTTTCTCTATGTCATTATATAGCAGAAGATATTATTCGCCAATAATTATAATTATGTTCACATGATAAACTTTCAAACACCTTTTCTTCTTCTTACAACTCACTTTCCTCACACCTGTCTCCAGTCCAGCCCACTGGGCACGTGCACGTGTAGCTATTGGCGCCGTCCAAACAGGTTGCAAAATTCATGCAGGGATTACTGAAACACTCGTTAAAATCTGTCGGCCAATGATTCAGGAAAAATGCAAAATGATGACAACGTACTTGGTGTGAGCTTGATAAAATTGAACTCTCACAAATAATAGTAACGGTTGTGTGGTTGAAATTTGAATTGTTCCCTTTCTCATCTTAACTTTGAGATACAAGTTTGTTGGTGGTGTGAGTTGATAGCTGCTTTCACGGTGGGATTTGATTGAAATACAGAAAAACGGGACATAATCGACGCAAGATCGATTTAACAAAAACAAAACATTTTGGCCGCAGAAAAAAATAACTTACTGATCTCGCAGTTGTCTCCAAGAAACCCTTCAAGGCATTCGCAAATGTATATATCCTTAGAGATTGGAACGCATGATCCACCATTCTGGCATGTACCAGGGCTACACGGTGTGTCCTCTGTGGGAGGAAAACAGTTTAATCACTAAATTGAACAGGCCGTAACTTCTTCAAAAGAAGTCATTTCATATTATTAATTGCTGACTTTAACTCACATAAAAATCCCTTCTTTTGTAAACATAAAACTCTTAAAGTTAATGATATTTATTACCGTCAGCTTGGGTATCAAATTACCCGTAATACTTTACCATCTTCAAATAAAAGTATATTTACCTACAATTGTGACATTCATTCTCACTTTACTCGTCCAGCCACCAGTTTTTATGTGCCTTATACTAAACAGTCAAATATGAGGGACCCAATCTTTGGAATTCGCAAAATGATCAACTCATATTTATATTCCGGGGAACGGGTCCGATTACGAGAACTCGTTTTCTCAGTCACACACTAATTTTCTTAAACAATTGTTTTCCTCCAAAAATTACCACCCCCCCAATACCCCCCCCCATTTTTTTTTCATCAACTCGGCTCAATGCACGTTATGCACAAATGCCCATTCCTTACAAGCTTTGCTTCTTTATGGGCCCCTCCACAGCCCATCTTCAATACTTATTGTTTGCTTATCTCTAACTTTGTTCAAAATGTTTTTCTGCTATTCCCTATAACATTCTCGTTGTCATTGCCAATGATATTTTGGTAATGTGGAAATAAACTGAACTTAACTGAATTAAACTGAATTTAAATACCTTATTTATACCTGGAATCATTTAGCATTAACAATTTCAATGAACAATTATAAATTACAGACATAAATCATAAAAAGAGAAATCATTCCGAAAAACAAAATTCCAAAAATTAAGTACTTATTGCAGACTTTTAAGGGAATGAACCCCTGAATAAAATGCCGTATTAACCCGAATTAAATTTGATTTTCCCCCCACACTCTATAGGTGAAGATTGATTTGTAACTGACACGAGTAAGTATAGATTGATAAGTAGAGGGACAAGAAGATTTGTCTTACCGATCTGGCACATATCTCCTTTCCATCCAGGTTCGCATTCACAAATGAACCTGTCCACCAGATTGAAACATTCTCCACCATTCATGCATGGCATACTTGTGCACTCGTTGATATCTATGAATACAATATGACCAACGATAGTTATTATTTCTTATTATTATTGTAAGTGTAGGCCTATATGGTAACAAATGAAAAAAAATACCTTGAAATCTAGGGTAAATTTTTCCTTAAACGGTTAAGCTAAAGAGGTAATCCGTTTAAATTAAGAAACATTCAGAATGTTCATGTTTTGTGATCGTTTTTGTAGCCCATGAATGCGCTCATCAATGATCGTAGTTACCATCTTCACAGTTCGGTCCAGTATAACCTCCAGCACACAGACAGGTATATCCAGCCATCCCATCCACGCACGTACTGCTGTGAATGCAGGGATCCGACACACACTCGTCGATTTCTGAAATCAAGTATATATAGAAAAGTGCTGTGGTAATCGATATACCGGTACATAAAGAGTTTCGTTTCAAAGTGTGACACATTGCATTCAGGAAGTACAGATGTACATATCTTGCATATACTGTAACTGAGACATCTACTAAAAATACGAAAGATTCTACTGTGATCGAATCGACACACCCTCCAACTTCTAGGAATAAGAATTGAACTAATCAGGTTCGACGTAATACATTTGATTTTTAAAAAATGTAGTTTTTCCCGGCCAATTTCCTGAAATGTATATTAAATTATCGTAACCTGTTTCACAGTTGATACCCTCGTATCCAGGGTCACACACGCAAGTGTACGTGTTGTCCCCATCGACACATCTACCATTCACGGAGCAAGGGTTGCTGAAACATTCATCAGTCGTATCACAGAGTAGACCCTTCCAACCTCCAAGGCAGTCACATCTAAACATGTTGATTTCATCGATGCAGGTTCCATTGACGCACGGGTTGCTGGCACATTCATCGATATCTAACCAATTTCAAAGAAGCAGTACATTAAGAAACTCATGTTCGTATAGGAATCGATTAGAAAGAATTAACGATCATTGTATCGAAAATTCCAAGTTAACTGTCGATCTTAAATCTTGGCAAATTTGCTTTAAACTAAACCTACTAAAAAAGTTGCTAGGACTTCTACTTCACATTTAGTTCAGGTTATTTGATGTCATCAATAATCAAATGACTGCTGACAATTGATATACGAAAAGCGACAGCGGTCAATACACACAATCGTGTTTATTCAACAGTACTTTAGCACAACAGCTTTTTCATATACGAAATTGCCATCATACATGCCTGACACCACCCTGTGTGAAACTTGTTACCAAAATCTAATTATATGCCGATAGCCAAGAAACGTCATTTGATAAAATCCTACATTAGAACACAAAATATTTGCCCCTACCTAAGCAGTCAAGTCCATCCCCCGTAAAACCTTCATTGCAGATGCACCTACTCTCGCCGTTTACAACGCCGCAGATAGCATTTGAGTCGCATGCAATTTCCGTGCAGTTTACCACTCCACCTGGCAGACATAGACATCGCTCGCTACATTGTGCTGTCAGATGTACACTCCCAACCTACGATACAACATTGCGGGGAACAAGCGAATCACTTTGAGTCAATACATCATATAGGGGCGGCGGGACGTTTTTCAAACTGGGGGCAACACCGATAATGGGCACTTATCCAGAAAATGGGGCACCTTCCCTCGGTGTGAAAGTAAGAGCTCTTCGGCATCCGAAAGAGGCGGACCCAGAAGACATTGGTTGTTGTTTTTTTTGGGGGGGGGGGGGGGCTGCCCTGCGCAGTTATAGACGGTCTGCCTATAAATTTGAGTCGTGACAGAGGTCGCCCTAAGCTTCTCTGGGTCGACAATGTGATGAAGTGGTGTGGCAGAAGTGTGGAAGAGCCGAGAATAGCGGCGACTGAAACAGAACAGGTGACGGCGGCGACCCTGCAGGAATGCGCCCCCGTTACGATCTGAAGACGAGGCGGCCACGGACGCAAGTCTATGCCGAATTTTGATGAATTAATCATGAAAATGATTTAAATTCCTTCAAACTGCTCACTGATCGGATTGACCTGAACTATGCAAATAAAGACAATTAGCTGACCTGAGTACAGTATCAAAATGAGTCAATAGTATTAGCTACATTATTGAGTACTACTGGTACTGAAACTGCGCATAATAGCACAGTATTACCTTTCATATACGACGATTATTATTGCTGCAAACATTGTGTCCCTGTTTATTTCATCGTTTCAAATTTAGAAAGACTGAAATTAAAAAAAAAATATTTACCGATTGCGCTGGACTGAGAGTTGAGTTACTTACAGCATAATAGAATCCCTCCCTGAAGCAGCCGCACGTGTCGGTTGGCACACAGCTTGCCCCCTCTAGGACGAATCCTTGATCGCACTGGCATCCCTCTACGCACCTGTCGTCACAGGTTTTGCTCTCCTGACGGAAATCCAGGCAGGTAGATGGACAAGCAGATGAACAGATTTCATAGGTGCTGTTACTTGGACAAGCCAGAGCTGATAATAATACACAATGGAGAAGTAAACAACATTTATAAACTGACCTTCGTAATAGCGTTGGTTCTTGGGTGCTTTGGTGTGTTTTATATATGAGCTAATTGTTATAATATTTAACTATTCAAGGTCTGAAAGAAAGAAATTTGCCATAAAAGAAAAAAAAACACAATAAATCATTTTTAACGTGCAAACCGTGACTTCAGAGGACAGTGAAATTGGGCCATATATTATATATACCATATATATATACAATACAAAGCCTGTCCGTGCACCGTTGCATTTTGTGCTTGCGCACACTCTTTAGGCCTTTTACCCCCCAAAAATGCAAAGACAGACAGACAGCTTAGGATCTTTCAATATAGGATATGATAAGTCCTCGCAATTGATGACATACTTATTACAATAACCGCCCTTAAAGTCAAATTAATTCACTACCCTCAATTAAAAAAACCCAGCTGTTTCAATTAAGGATTTAAAACAAGTTCAAAACGAAAATGGCCGACGTTATATCTCCTGGATTATATTTATATAACTCGTTTAATTTTAAAGTGTAACTCAAGAGTGTTTCTTAAAAATAGATAGTATATAAAAAAAACGTTTTATACTCACGACAATAAGTATCATTCCTCCAAACCTGCACATCGACATAGTGATACTTGCAGGCTTGAGTGTAGGTGGAAAGAAGATCACATATGACATCGTCAGCGGAGCTGGGATATGCACACACGTCGTAGATACACGAACGGTAGAAAGGTTCTGGGTCCAGTTTGTCATGACAATTTGAAAATGGACCTGTGCACAAAATAGGAATAATCAATAGATAGGGCATAGTGCGCTTGAATATCTATTCAAATGTGTGTTGAACGTTTCCATTTTATATAACGACCGAACATTTTACTGTTCACAATAGCATCATCAGTGATGCACCGTGATATTAACGCCTCTCCACATCTTGTAAAATATTTTAATGCAAGTTATAAATGTGAACAAGTTGAGGAAAACTATTTTTATCACCTTGGGTGTCTCTGATGATTTGGCACTTGTTCCTTCCCAAGTCAACGATACTTCCATCTGTCCCTTGAAGGCAAGGTTCAACCTCGTCACTCTGAGGGACACAGTTGGGATCGTTTCCAACTACCCAGCTATTACCAAAAGCAGCTTCGTTTGAAAGCTAAATTGAAACACATGAAACTATTATTCATTACAAGTCTAAGAAACACAATTCAAGGGATCAGTTTTGTGATAAACGCCGACTATGTTTGAACAGAGAACGTCATCCGTTTTTTTTCGCTTGAAGTAGCCCATTCGAATTCAGTGCTTATTTTTAGAAAAAAAAAGCCAATTCAGTAACCAAACATAATACAGTTTGTAAGCTTACATGTTCTGACAAACTTACAAATATCCCATCCGGTGTCCTGAATTCGTCTTCCGGGGACCCATCACCGTTGTAGTTGCCGCAAAGACCGCACGTTTGATCCTTGAAATCTGCAGTCACTCGTACTTCAACTCTGCTGTCTCCATCCCATCGGACATACAACCCAAAATCAGTCACAAGTTGCTGGATTTGAGAAATAAAATCGATGTTAATGGATCATTCAATCGTTATAAATGTGAACCAAAAGCGACAAACGTTGTTGACGCTCAATAAATCATGAAGGACTAATATAAAATACCTTAAAGACTAACATTTAAAGAAAAAGAAATAAGATTCGATTGTAGGCCTATTGAGGTGGAGTCACGCTCGTGCGCAAGTTTCAAGCTTTCTTGAAGTCGATGCGCGCGCACATTTTTAATAACCTTATCGGTCGAACGGGCATTGAAAGCGCGCTTTCCAACTAAACGTGCAAGTTCAGTGGAGATCAGTGGTAAATAATCTAAATAAATGCGTAGGTGAAAAATATATTATGCATTATGTTTCTTCTTTTACACTTATCTTACCACATATATTCCGCTGAAAGAGACTCTGATGTCTGAAGTCTCCGCAGGTGGGACAATACGGACCTCATTGAGCACAACATCGCGATTTTGTCCGAGAGTAAATGTCTGCACATATAAAACCATATATAAATTGAGATGGCAACGGACTATGAACTTGAAGATTTAGAAAGGAAAGTAAAATGAATCGCTTTATTTATTACTTATTCCATGTATTACGTAGGTCTGAATAATTATTTAAAGTCTGCGGCTGATTGTTCACTACCATACTCTTGATTTTTAGGAGTAATTTTTGTTTTAAATTGTTTAGAAATTTGTACAAAAGTTACAGATTTTAAGAAAACTTACCAAATTACCAACAATTACTGTGACTTGATATGTGTATGCTACCGTAGCTTCCGGTGACCTGCGTCTGTTATCAACCTCAACGGAGAAGCGACTCTCCAATCCTTCCTTGCAGTCTCTGACTAAAGTGTACTGGCAGATGCCTTGGAAGTCATGCCACAAGTTGTCGAAAGTCTTGTAGTGAGGGTCACCAGATGCGTAGCAAATACCATACTCTGTAGTTGTGAGAAACTAGGCCTGTTAAACCTGACCTTGACACCCCCAGAAATTCCAAGAAATAGCTTTGTCATATCACTGCATATTGGCGGCGGTGGTCCACCAATTGTACGTCACATATACTTAATGTACGGTAATCACACAATTCTAAACGTATAACGGTGGTGAAATAATTTACAAGGTGGCCAACAGCCAGGTTTATGAAGCTTTACCTGTTTCACACTGACTGCCCATAAAAGATCCTGTACACATACAGGTGTAGTAGTCGATGAAATTATTACAGGTACCGTTGTTCTGGCAAGGGTTACTCAGGCAAGGGTTTACCTCTAAACAAAAAAGGACATACAATTTTGTCAAATTAACTGACATAAACCAAAGAATAGAAGTCCCTAAACCAAACTGATACATTATTTTTGAAATAAATGTAAGCTACAAATGACACATCTGAAACGTTCGATCGATAATTTCCACTAAAATAATTCAACGGTGTATGTCTTGTGTACTCGGTTCTCACAACCTACAATGTGCAGGAATGTACATGCATAAGTTGGATTTATGACATACTCGAGTTTGGAGATGTCAATGTCTTGTTCTTTCATAAATACAACATACCGTCTTGGCAATGTCTTCCCATAAATCCATATGCACAGGTGCAATTGTAGAAATCACCATCACTGAAGCAAGTGGCTCCATTTCGACAAGGCTCTTGGAAACATGGATCGGTGTCTGAAGGAAAGGAATACGAACAATTCAGTCAATAGGTATCAACATTTCAATAACGACCAGACACAATTCTACACCCCCGTGCACGTTGCGATTTATCGTATCAAATTTTGACAAACAGAAGAATTTTGTGCATAAATTGTTTCACTAACATCATAACAGACAAATAAGAAAGCTATATGATTAGAATACAATTAAAACTGAAGCTTAAACTTACTGATTTCACAGAAGGTACCATTGTAGCCCATGGCACAGACGCATTCGTAAACCTCCTCGTAGGGTATACATGTTGCACCATTCATGCAAGGGTTACTAGAGCATCCAAAGTACTCGCCACAGTTATACCCGGCCCAGCCGATGTCACAATTACAAGCGTATAGATTAACGCCGTTGACGCATTCACCATTCACACATGGATTGCTCTGGCACTCATTAATATCTTTAAAATAATCAAAAAGGGAAAGTACATGGAATTTAGTTGACAAAAAGCTCGGTTGCGTAGTGATTGTTTTTCGAGATATAACACTACTAATTTGGAACGCTGGGTCAGGTCATTTCAAATCTGTACCAGCCTTTTACATGTTTGCTTAATAGTGGAGGCCGTTAGTTGATTTTTTTGTATGACGTATGGTGTTACTAGTACAAACAGAAATTGGTAAAAAGTCAATTATCATGAAATAAAAATGCATAAAGGATATACATGTATATCAAAAGCTTCCCTCTAAATTATTGGCAAATAAAGCCTTGATAACAAAGTATAAGATGGGAGGTTTTAAATATTTTATGATGTCACTGGCATATTAGCTTAATTTTCATATAATTGATATAAATAAAGTTAAATTTCTATGCTTGACCAACCTTGGCAGGTCTTTCCATCCCCAGTATAACCAGCTCGGCAATGACATCCATGCAATCCGTTCTCATTTATCCCACAGTAGGCGTTACTATCACAGTCTAAATCTGCTGATGTTACCACATCGTTACCGACGCAAATGCGTTCAGTAAAGCAACCTGGAGTGTAGACTGTTTCACCGGCCTGTAGATAAATAAGCAGACGAAATAAATCAAGGTTTTAGGTGACTTGGAGACTTAGAGGATTCAGTTTATTTTTACTGTGACTCTACAAATGTGTAAATCAGAATTCATGCGTTGCAAATAATCACAAGATATATATGGAAGCCTCGGTTACGAATTTCTTTCAAGACATCAAATTCAAGACTTCAAACGTCCCGCATATCTCCTGCATCCATTAAACCAAACATTTAAGGAAATAAGCTAAATGGATGGCTCTTCGAGCCCACCAGAGAAATCAGACTATCAAATCAAGATCGCTTCATATAATATGACTTTACAAAACGAAAAAACAATGGCCACTGCAAATAAATATCATTTTGAAATTGGCAGCTTATAAAAAGCTTTTACCGAGTAGTAGAAGCCGTCCACAACACATCCACACTGGGAGGGTGACACGCACGAATTCCCGTCCAGGACGAGATTTTCCGCGCACTCACAGGATTCCGTACATTTACGATCACATGTGTCCATGGTTCCTAATAACACGTCGGAGCATGTGGCGGGACACGCGCTGGTGCACCAGCCATAGGTTGTTTCAGCAGGGCACGCCACATCTTGTAAATGAAAATATTGATAAAAAGAAAGCTGTGCTTGAGATACTTCAATTGAAGCGGCTTAATTCCCTCCCATAAATGAGTTTACGTGTTCTGCCGAAGCCCAGTAGGCCTCATTCGGTCGCAGCCGATATCATTTGCTCTTCGCCAAAGATAAAAACTGGTTTTTATGCAGTATTATAAACTCAGGGTGTCCCTTGAACGCTTTAATACAGCCAAATGTGAAATTAGATCAATGAAAACTTAATCCTATACTCGTGATCTTTCTCAAATTCCGTCCTACTTCAATGAAAATAGCTATCAGTGCCGGCGTTTTTACACTCACTGCAAAAAGATTGGTTCCTCCAAGCAGGCAGGATCACCTCTCTGTCTGAACACGACTGCGCGTAAAACTCGATCAGATGACAAGCCGTTGCATTTAGATCCTTTAAAGGAACGATGCAACCATCCTGCACGCAGGCTGTGTAGTAAGACAGTGGGTCCAATCGTCCATGACATTTAGCGAAAGGACCTGTAATGAAATATTGGATGTAGAATAATGGTTAATGACATTTTGGAAGTGTGTTTTTAACTATTCAAAATTTGAGGATGGCTATGACTTCTAGTAAAACCATAATGACACTATTAGAAAAATGTACGTTTTGAAAGGACTGCATGATCCCCTTAGTGACCAGAAGTCGGTATGGTTTCATGTCGTCGTATTATCTTTGTGTACATATTTTTCCTATGAGAAATAAAAGGCGCTATCCCATTTTGCTCCAGTTCAAATAGACGGAGCAGATTAACAGTGACAAGCCGAATATTGCTTTTTAAAGACAATCACCATTTTCACAAGCAAATGTTAATGAAACATTTGCACCCTAAAATCGTACAAATATTTAATAAAATACCTTCTGGATCAGTGATGATCGCGCAAGCTCTCTCGGATTCGACAAGTGCTGCAGAGTTCATGTCACAGGGACCGATGGGTTGCTGCTGCGTTTGGCAGGAAGCATCCACGATCCAGCTATTACCAAACTCCTGAGTGTCATTTACCTATATGATTAGAACACAAGCACAGGTTTAACCTGTTCCTTCAAGAAAGCTTGAAACCCTTATTTTCTTGTATTGGCTACAGCTTAGCGATGTAGACAGTGTGCGATGCAGACATTGCTCACGTTGGATTAGTGTACAGGATCTCATAAGGCTTTGGGCTATGGATTAGTCTACAGGAACTCATAAAGCTTTGGGCTATGAGTTAGTCTACAGGATCCCATAAAGCTTTGTGCTATAGGATCGTATAGATTAATCAGGAGGAACATAAGAAATCATTGGATTTTAATACTCTTGCGAAAGTGGAGATGCTCCTAAATTTCGTGCCTTTCATTAATGCAATGTCCATCATGTGTCATCTTTCCTAATTGGTTGGAAGGGCATCAAATGCGGGTAAGTAGTGTTCCTTCGGCAGGATCGCAGCAACGCAAACAACTCATAATCAGTGGCGCACCCAAAGGGGGGGGGGGGGGCGCTCGGGGGGCTTGCCCGGGTTGCCCCCCAAAAGGAGGTTGTCAATTTCCGTTTTTTAATATTTTTGTTTTAGTCCCACGAATTGACCTTGGCGATATGTATGTGGCCTATTTTCGAGCCTGGTGCCACCAACGTCAAATATCGCCCCTAAAGGAAATCCCCAACAACAACAATAACAAAAAACGACAACAAAACAAACACAAAAACAAAACAAAAAACCCAAATGGTTCGAAAATTTGAAGGAATTTTTTTTGGAGCCCCCCCCCCCTCAAAAAGAGGTTCTGGGCGACCCACTGCTCATAATGAGAAGCTGTACAAGATACGCTCTGCCCAACTATCACTGTTGTCTTGATTAAACATCATAAATATTCATTATACAAAAGAGCTCTTCCGAGAGCTAGAGAGGCGTGTACACAGTAATATAAATCCTGTAAACTGCAAGCACGTAACTATACAGCAATTGGCATCATATGCAAGGAATTGAGCGCGTAAAAAGAGTGTAGGATGCGTTGAATGGCTGTCGACACGACCGTATTTTACTAGCGAAGAATATAAAATTGTGAATTCCACCCCGAATATTATCAGACAGTGCTTTCTATGACCAACCCAAAATCTCATTTGATTGTGAACATGCACAACCGAATATCATCAGACGGTGCTTTCTACTACCAACCCAAATCGGAATGTGAACGGAATGATATCCAGGTCTGTTGTTCACGTTTAAATGAATTTGGTTTTGCCATAAACCACCCTGCTGTGTCATTGGTTATCTTTTCAGACACCGGCCAGACCCCTCTCCCAACCTCACATATATTCATACGGCATATTATATTTTGCATTCTCACATCTGCTCGTAAGTTGAAAAAGCAATAGCTGTCAAAAACAAATCAAATGAAAAGACATAAAAACACAGAAACCACCGTGAGAATTGCTTTTAAAAAATGTTATTGGTTTTTAGTGCTTTTAATTTAATTTTTTTCATTTGTTTTTGGTGTTTTTTTTTCCTTCAAAATTTTTATTCGTTTTGTTTTTGTTTGTAATGGCACAATTTTTTTTTTTACTCCGCTTCCTTTGACAAATTTAGTCACAATAAAGAAAAACAATATCACTCAACAATAAATTTAAAACGAATTGTGAAGCACCATTCCCTAGAAAACGGATCAAACTTTTACTACTAAAATCCGAAATGCCAATTGTTTTCGAATGAAAATAAACAGGGTCGTCTCGACACAACAACACAACTTGAATTCAAATGACATTCTTTTATACGCTCAATTCGTCGCTGCGGTCCTATACGCACGTTCAAACGGTGGAACACTTGTACTAGTGATATTAAATAAAAAAAAGAAGCTCATTAAGGTCAAGAAGACGCAATGCCTATAATACTCACTGTATTATAGACCAGCAAAGGTTACAAAAAGATGACTTTTAACAATTTGTCTGGGCGATGTGGCTCAGAACTAAGCTGTGTTTTATCAGCGGTTTTAATCACCCATATCTCTCTATCAATAGGAATGGGTAAACTGTATCTATAGATAAATATTTAAGAAGAGGTGTTTATTCTTTGAATATTAAGGGCCTTATACGTACCTGTTGACCGTTTGGAGTCTGGAATTCGTTGGTAGTATTCCGGTCAAAGTTACCACACAAGCCACACACACTGCCCATGTACAGGTAGGTTGGCAGTCGCACCTCAATTGTCCGCTCGCCGTCCCACTTGACGTAAAATATCGTCATTCCGTCAACAGATATCACATTTACGTCTATTTCCTGCATTGTGATCAGATACAAATATTTTTAATTATGATAAACTGTTATCATACATTGACATATATAACAGAAAAAACGACGAAAATGGCTTCTTACCACAAACAGACCACTCTGTCGGATCCATACGCCTTCCTGTGGCTCTGCAGGTATTGTGATCCGCCGTCCCCCAACGAAAACAACGCCCTCTTGCTTTAAGCGAATGTCCTGAAATGAAATACAAGCATATTCACTATTCAGTCAATAAGATATCTCAAAATATATTTTGAATATCACAAACAAAAAACGTAGACGAAATTCTAATGGGAAATCTACCTCCAACGGTGTTAGTTTAAAATTGTATTTATTAAAATTCGTGATCCAAATATACGCCTAGTATAGTACAGGTTTTCCCGCCCAATTTTTTGAAAGGTTCCTTCCCTTCTGAATATCGGTCATTCGTTTTCGTCTGAATGTGAATGCACGTCTTGAATCCCATTTCAATTAAACGAAAGTTCAATCGTTTTCATTGTCCGTGCATTCGGTTTTGAGAAACCGACGGCCAATTACAGTCATTTACGCAAGCATACCTTTTCTAAATTGATTTCAGGTACAGCTAGTTTAATTGACGGTTAATAACAAAGAAACCCCTAATTGAATCTGGTGCCAAAGGCATTAAACTCAAAGTGAAATAGAATGGTGAATGTTTGAAATCGCCATCTAAAAGCGAAAAAGAAGTAATGTAAACGAATCTGAATGGACACACACGAAAGGTGCTGCTAAATCACTTAATTGATTGAACTGAAATGGATTCTAATGCTCCGGTAGCGAAAATGAAACGCGTGTTCAGAGCGATTCTCAAATTCAGTCGAAAATGATTTTCAGAAGTGAATGAACATTATAGGAAATTGGCCAGGAAAACCTATATTATGGCGGTTAATATTGGAGAAAGTGGGACTCTTTTATCTTGTCTTCTATACGGATCGCATACACTAATCCAGACTGAGACCTCATTGCTCAAAACGATGCAAAGGAAGATCAGGCCAACTTTACTCACTCTTTATCCAGCAAATTTCTCCAAAACTTTCAATAGGCAAAGAAAAGGTCCTCAGTATTTCACCAACAAGTTCGAAGCCTCATTTCATTTTTGTAAGGAGAGCTTTCACATGAGAGGGAAGTCAAATGATTTTAAAATGAAACTGAAGAGTTGTCCGAAAATTTGGGACTCTCAATACTCTGTATATGAGAGTCCCAAAACTTAAGGTACTGAAAACATGCAATACAAGAAAATAGATTGACTTCTGAAACAACCAGTCAAACAACACTTCAGTACTGAATTAATCAACTGTCAGCTGACTGTACCAAAAGAAATATCTAGGATGTTGGGTACTAGCTCACTATTTCTACACATTTCTCCTTAGTCAGGCACCAGAATAATGACTATGAATGAAGATGTCAGTCTTGTCAAACAGTTGGACTATGGATGGACATGTAAAAGTTTAGTCTTTAGCCTCATTATGAAATCACTTGACTTCCCTCTCATGTGCAAGCCAATGCCAAGTATTGAAGAAAAGTCTCCTTTAAAGGAAAGATTCCCATATCTGGCCATCACTTTTCACCTTGTGCACAAACCGTATGAGACTGAAAATTAAAAGTAATATTTTCCTGCTGAATCAATCAATCAATCTTACTTTATTTACCACAGAACAATATGCAGAGAAAATCATACGATCATAATAATGTGGACGGGGGCCTCTAAAAAGCAAGGCTTGTCGAGTAGTGACCCCACATTTGTAATTAATTAAGTTAATTTGACTTGTTCATTTAATGTGAGATACAACAATTACATTTAACACACATACACAAACTACATACACATAACACATACAGATACATGTGACTTTTTAGGACATATTATCACTTTCTGATGGCTGAGGTCAATGAAGGGAACAATCAGTGATGGCCAGATATGGTAATCTTTCCGGTCAGTCTATTTTCTTAATTTGCATGTTTTCAGAGAACAAAAAATTTAATGTTGCAACCTGACGCCACTTTTTTCTTTATATATCATCTCAATAAAGGTCATTCATTGCAAAAGTGATGATAAGACATGAATCTAGGACTGAGAAATATTTCCAATTTTGTTAGGAAATACTTTTTGAATTTTCTGGACTCTAGACTTTGTACACAATCACGGAAGTGGCGTGAGGTTGCAGCATTTTTTCCCCTCAACTTAAACATTCAATTACAAATTTACCAGAGTTGATTTACTTACCGACCCAAGGACCTGCACATGCACCTCATACGTAAACGAACCAGTTGCATTCCCTGTCTTCCCTGCATTATTGACATCGACCTGAAACACTGGACTTTCCTCCACGCATTCCTTCACCAAGACGTACTCACACTCTCCTTGGAAGTTATGCCAAAGGCCGTCGAAAGTCAGGTAGTGTGGGTCGCCCGTGGCGTAGCATATACCGGAATCTTCCCAAAAATAACGAAAGGAACACTTTGGAATTCTCCTTAATGCCAACAAGCAACTTCGTTTGTTTTTATACAAGTCTGGCCTTCCGTGTTCAACACAAAAGTCGACACACTTGGAAGAAACAACCAATCTCTTATCACATGTCAAAACGGTGCCATAGTCTACATTTGACTGACAATAGAACACCTGTTTTCCTAACAATAGCTCACGTTCCACCATACAAATGCAAATGTTCCTTTTGATTGACAAGATTGGCTGTCATTGCTGATCACCTTATGAACCACGTTACAATGCCTAAGGTGAAAGTGGGTGTCCAGGGCAGCCAGTTTTGTATTTGTTGGTAGGCCTATTTCATCTTGGGAAAGCAATAGGATTTTGGAAATTCGATTAATGGATGAGTTTAGTAACGGGAAAAACGACTTTGTTAATCTCAGTAATTCAATTTAACAAATCATGCTGACCACGCATGTCTTGTTATATCAGGAAAAGCCGTGTTGTTATCTGATTTGATATTAATGATAAACATTTCACTGGTCTTTGTAATGTAATTGTTTAATTTCTTATTCAGGATTTTCCACATTGTTATTTTGAATTTTTAGTGTATATTAAGAATTTTATGGAAAGTGCATTTGAATATATTTTGTATAGAATTTGCGCTATTTAAATTAATAAATTACTATTATTATTTTGATTAATACCAATTTGATAAACAAAATTACCTTCCTCGCAGCGATCACCGAAGTAGTTTGCCGCACAGGTGCAAGTATAGAATGTGAAGAAGTTATTACACGATCCCCCGTTTAGGCATGGACTATCTGCACATGCATTCTTTTCTGGAAAAAAAAGAAAAAGAAATATTGTTACAAACATTAACATTGTAGAAACGATTGATTATATTTGGATTTTTCTTGGTGACCAGAGGGTAGACATATGCAAACCCGTATCAATCAATAAATACTCAAATAAAACGTAAATATTTCTATCAAATATCCCGATGATTGTTTTAACTTTGGTGAAGTTGAAGAAATAAATAAAGGAGTTTATTTGGAAGAAATTGTTTACGACTGGGAAGATTTGATCTTTTTACAATAAAGTTACATAGGGACGCTGAGATGGTATTTTTTGAGAATTTTTCCATGGTTGGGGTTGCCATCGTCTTGCTACAGATGTTCTTCCTGCCTTTTTTTTTTATTGTGGGTGGTTGTCATTGGTCTCTCAACTGTCACGACATACCTTGGCTGCAGTCTGACCCTTCCCAGCGTGAGGGACATGTGCAGTTGAAGGCACTTTGTAGATTATCGCAAGTGCCACCGTTTTGGCATGGATTACTTGCGCACTCATCAACATCTGAGGAATTAAAATAATTTCCATTATTGTATCGTATGATTATTATTATTTAATTGGTAAATATAAGCTAACACATCTGGTTCTTCTCAGAACATTTTATATCCTTTAGATAGTGACTTCACATTATATCACACGTGTACCTGCAAAAGTGTAATTTACATCCAATTATATCAAACTTATGGAAACTCTTTCACAGCAGGCAAATCATGAAGGACAAGCGTTTGTCTTTTAGGGGGAGGTTATTTGTTTTTAAATCAAGAAAGTCAAGCCTCAATAGACAACGTTACACTAACACTACTTTTCACAAAATTTGCAGTCGAGACATGAAATAAGGGAAAACATAAAAAGACACTTCTGAGGCTGTCATTCATTATGACAGTTTACCCATTCCTAGGGGTCGAGAGCCCGTCAAGTGGCCCCGTTTTAAACGGTTGATAAAGACCAGTCGGCTGGTCTGAAACACTTTTGAACTCCCGGTACTTTTACTGTTTTATTGGTTGAATGTTCACAATCCTCACGTAGGCATGGCAGTACTACCAGTGAGCCAGTACCAGTATTTCATAGTCCTAAATTCACAATACACCCGTCCGGCACAGCTGCGTTCTGCGCCAAGCTGGGCAGTACGCGCGACGCATGCGCCAATCTCCATATAAGGAGTTGTTTACGATTACTCGCGAGAGGGACGTACCATAATAAAGCTAAAGGGTCTTTCGAAAAACATGAAGTAAACTTGTTGAACTAAATCGTGGGAAATTTATAATTTTTGACGCGTGTTGACTTTTGGACCAAAACATTTTGGTTTTCAAACCTAAAAGGTATTCGGCTCGGGTTATTATCAGCATCCAGACTCCAAAATTGAACAAAATCGTGGGAAATTTATAATTTTTGACGTGTGTTGACTTTTGGACCGAAACATTTTGGTTTTAAACCTAAAAGGTATTCGGCTCGGGTTATTATCAGCATCCAGACTCCAACCGGTGTTTAACATTGTGTTTAAACCGGCCAAGCACACATTTATTCCCTTAGTAATCAACAAGCATGACGTCATCAATTTCGAACTTAATGTTTAAACAATGTTGTATCCTTTTATTTCAGCAGACTCACCGATTGTGCAGTTGTATCCCGTCCATCCGGGGTAACAGGAGCAATTGTAGCCATTCAGGAGATCGTTACAGGCGCCATTGATACACGGAAAATCCAGCACGATACACTCGTTGATATCTATTTGAAAAAGACAGGATACAATCAAATAGAAGAGAATTTAGCAGAAGAGATTTGTGGAATATTGTAGACAAGCCGATGTGGTTTTGCAGTTCTAAAATATTTTTTTTTGCAATTAAAATATATTATTATTAAAATTGACAAACTGCAGCTGTCCACCACTGATCATTTATTCCGATACGCACTGATGTATACCCTTTAATTGCAATGAACTTTTTGAGGTTTTCCTGGTTTCGCGAATGAACGAAAAATTGCAAAGGAAAACAGACAAAATATCACCATCTCTACTTCAGAAAAGACTTGATTTGTTCCTCATAATATATACAATACAATACGTGTATACATTGGTAGACAGTAAAAATAAGGTTTCAGTCTTGACTCAATTTTATTACATCTAATTTGTATGTGAATGCCTGAGTGTACTCTCTGCTTTTAGCATTCCATGGACATCTGTAAAAATTTGAACTTTTAGGAAAGCATGCATAACTGATAGCATGAATCAATTTCAGTAATTTGTTTCCACATGTCTTACCTAATTCACAGAAATCACCTGCCCAGCCAGGCTCGCAGGTACATGTGAAGAACTCGGTGTCTGTGCCAAATTTGTTTGAACACGTGCCATGCTGACAAGGATTGCTCAGGCAAGGTCCGGTTTCTGGGACAACAGAAATATTGATTGAGTTTGTAAGCTTAATAACACACAGCGACTGTTGAATTTCAATTCAGAAACTGTTAAAAAAATGCAAGATGATTAAAATGGCATACAGTTCAGCAAATGTTATTGAGCGGTTGCATTTTGTTATGTGAAATAATTTATTTAAAGTTCATAGATGGAGCAATATTTGCTTAAAAAAAAACATGTAGAGTCAAAAGTAGAATAAAAATAGTCGAAATATTTCATACCGTCTTCGCAGTTGGTACCGTTGAAGCCTGGTGCACACACGCACAAATACTGTGCAACTCTGTCCACGCATGTCGCTTCGTTCAGACAGGGATTGGAACTACATTCATTCGTAGCTAGTGAAAGATATTGAATTCGCATCAGTTTTATATCTTAATTTGCATATTACTAGTCCTTTAAAAAAAAAATATATTTTTGTGCTTGTTTTGGGATTCTTTACTAGGTCATTAAATAACATGTTACTCACATCCATGAAAGTAGTTGAAAGTGAATATACAACATTTGCAAACATCGACAAATAAAATTACCAAGTTTTTACGAAATACCTTAATAGGATGTTAGTAAATGACAGTCTAAAGCATCCTGTAAAATTATGGCACCTGGTATACTGTCATTTTCAAGAAAAGTGGTATTTTTGTATCAATTTCCAACGCTGATCGGCCGATCAGCGTTGGAAACAACTGGCTTTTTTTCAAATACTGGCCCCAATTGACCATTGCACTTGTTTGCAATCGATTACAAATCTATGAACGGGTACGAGCCAGCTAGACTGGTTCCCTGACCTTACAATTCCCCAATGTATGTAAACTGCTCTGTTTCTTCTTATATGGAGTCAGGGAACCAGACTACAGGAAAATGATCGTTTTTCTTGGTTTTTATAGCATTTTCGAACCCAAAACCTCCAAAAAGTCAGTGTAACTATATTTGCTTTATATTTCCAACCCCCCAATTCCATCCATTTCTGAAAATTACAGCAAAAGCAAATGATGTATATTCCCTTTAAATGAACCAAATCAAGGTTTTCGCTCGCGCATGTGCCAATTCGCCTACAGCCCGGTTCATACCTGGCGCGAAAGCGAAAGCGAACGTGAATTTATGAGGTCACGGCAAGTATTCGCGCTGCCAATTTGTAAAAGTTGAACCTATTTCAACTCAGGCGAATTTCGCAGCGAATGTTTCATGACGTCCAGTTCGCTTCGCATCTGCATTCGCATGAAGTATGAACCGAGCATTGGAAAAGCGTATTTTTGGGGGGCGCGAAAAACACCAACAGATGTCACACAAGCCTATTGTCCAATGTACGGCTAGCTTTCAACAACACGTGGGTTTGTCTATCCAAAAGTATGTCCCACAATTCGTTTGCTCACAAGAAACTTCAACAAAGGGTTAGTTCGGTCATACAACAAAGTTCGGTCATCAAAACAGTTTACATCGCAAAAACATAAACGGAGAAACACGTCAAATTCTGTACCTACCATGCAATTATTTTGAGATCGATGTCTCTTTTCTGAGTGGTCTTTACAGATTAAGATTAAAAAAACAAAACACAAACAACAACTATCTTAAACTTACGCATATCGCAGAACATGCCCTCATATCCTTCGGAGCATTGACAGGTGGCATTCATTGTGGCATTCAAACTTTCCACGCACACACCAAATGCGCACTGCAGCTCTTCGCATGTCAAAATTGTACCTTTGATAGAAGGAATACTTACAATGTTGATGTTAATAAAAATATCAAGAAAACAAAGACAATTATATTATGGTTTTACACTTTCTACAAACGCATAACCGACACAAATTATTCAAATTTATATGCCCGTGAATACTGTGATCGAGTCTCTTAGAGAAGTGCTATTTGTACCTTGGACAATGAAATAATTGCTCCACAAATTTTCACCGAAGAGCGTTTCTTAAATCTCTGTGTATTTATATATCGAGAAGTTGAGATTGGCATAAGTTTATCACCGGTATCGCTTTACACTAATGCCGATAATGTAATTTCCAGATATCAACTATTATGTAATAAAGATACATTATCCTCACGCAAACAAGTGTGTATTTGCCTGCAATCAGGGAGCCTCTATTGTCCCTCTTTCGTTTGTACACTAACTTTTTAGGAAGACCTCCCATATGTTTTGTACACGATCGCCAAATTGGGGAAATATACGGGAATTATATTTGAACAACCTTTTATTTAGTATTTAGAGGCAATGATTGTCTGAAAAAAAAGAGAGACTATTTTGTGTTATGAGTGCGTTCGATTACTTCCCCAGCTTACTCGCGCCTGGCCCCTCGCGTGATGACAGACATGCGCAGTGGAGCTAAATAAAGGAACAGTTTCGGGTAAAGTTTCGTGCAAGAGCTGGAAGCATGGGCGTCACCAGGATTTTTTTCTAGAGGGGGAAAAACATATTTTCCCAAACAATTCCTGTATTTCTCAACATATTCTCGATTTATCAGTTTTAGAGGGAGGGGGCGGGACATTTTGCCCCCAACCCATTAAATTTAAACCAATATGACTTCTCGCCTCTTTTTTTCTTCTTTTTTTCTCTTTTTTTCCCTTCTCTTCTTGTGCTTTTCCGGGGAAGGGGAGGGTTTGCGCCCCCCCCCCCTGCGACGCCCATGGCTGGAAAGTTGAATTTAAGGCTGCATCCGAATCCGCATCAATTAACTGTCAAGAGTACGTCAACGCCGGGCCCAGTGAAAATACCGGGGACGCGCTGACAATAATTCGTAGCCGTAGCTCCGTGCATATACCTAGCTACATAGGGTTTGTAGCTCTATGCTCCGTGGAAGCCCGTTTCGGACACCGCCTGAGGCGCCCGCCGGACGTTGCATGGCCTTATGGGATACTGACCCCAGTATCCGGCTCGGCGAGTCGGTTACTTGGGCCAGGCTCGAGTTAGCGTGAGAAGTCACGTGAGAGGTAAATCGAACGCTGTCGCGCTTGCACGACACGTATGTTTCAGCCCCATAGACCGTGCGTGCATTTAGTTGTCTTCTCACGCATGCGCAATGGTTTCCTCCGCGTCGTCGGCTTGCAAACAGTGGTAGCAGACGACGCACTGAACGATTGTCTGGTTTTCATGTCTTAAAATGTATCCTTCTCAAACGTACTTAAAAGATGATTCAAACCAAAAATTATCAGTAGACCAAGTGAACAAAGATATAAATTGTCTCTACAGTGTGGTAACGGCGCTAAAAACCTTTTCAAATATATAAAAAAAAAGCAATAATTACGGACAAAAAACGTACAAAATGAAAAGGAAAATCATCGTTCGCTTTTGAGTTTGGTTTACACATTTGGACAATTTGCCGGGTTTACCTCAGATCAGCCGTAGTACCATCGGAAAGGATGATAATTATTTCCATTTTACAGGTGATTTGATGTAAGAAGGAAACCTGTAGCTTATAAAAATCGTCATTTTTCGAGTAAACCCATTTTGAAAGCTTCGTGCACAAATACACTGGTCCCAGTGCCCTCAATGATCGTACTTAACTGCATTTCAGGGCCGGGAACCAGTCAGTTGTAAATCGTTTCAGTTAAATGTATTATACATTTCCAACGCGTCAAAAGATTACAAACGGAACGGAGCTGCGCGTGGCTAGCCATATGTTTACGGGCCAGATTCTAGGGTCTGTGTACAGGTACGTGCACACTAACGTTACATTCAACGGAAAAAAACGTATAACGTGAGACATTACTTTTCTCATTGAAACGGTTTCCGACTTAAATGATATTTATACATCGCACTTTCCGTGGCATCCTTTACCATTTTTCAGTGAAGACAAGTTTACAATTACTCGGCAAAACTGAAAAATTATCCCCTAAACTGTCGCCTGTTTTGAATTTGTGACCCAATACTTTCGTACTACTACTACACGACACGGAAAAACAAAAAAAATGCATCAAATACTCTTTGTTTTTTTGCGCTTAGGTTTGCAAAAGTGACTTTGATTGCCTAAAATTCCTGTCCACGTGGAAAGAAAAATTTATCAAAGTATTTCGAGCGTGATGTTGACCGATACTTCAGTGGGTCAAACTGCGACTGCAAACATCGTTCATGTTTGCTGATCAGTATTTCATATTTTGAGTGCGCATGCGCGCAAACTAAATGAGCGGCTGAAACATACGTGACGAGTAAGCGCGGGGGAAGTAATCGAACGCACTGGTTATGTGTTTCACTCGAGCTGAATTTTGACTTGACCCGAGCCGGGTGTTGCGCTTGGTCTGTACAATATGCGTACATGCACGTACACACGCAAACTGAAGTAGTAGCGTGTTTATTCAGACACTTGTTGCACTTTTTGGACTGTTTGTAGGCTATTGTGGATATCGACTTCAGTCTGATTTCAGTCTAATCTAATAAGTTCAATGGCGCTCCTAATTAAAAAGCTCATTTAACTATCATTACATAGGGTGGACCGATTTTTTTTGTTAATGGCTCATCGGTAGTAAATAACTTTTATAATGCTAACAAGTGAAACATTAAATTTTTAAATAATTGGTTTAAGGTGCCGCACAAAAAAAAAAACCACACACAACAAAAATCATGGGGACCAACCCTTTAAAAATATGAACTTATTGAGAAATTGTGATTGGTTCAATTTACGGGTAGATCTTTAGTGACATATCAGGAAGCTTAAATCTTGCCTAAAAAGCCGATGTTTGTACAAGGCCAGTTACCGCAGTAGAAGACTGTTGATTTTACACAGGCGCTAAACTGTTTTATTTTATGATTATCTTTTCTTCCAATTTTGCCATTGTTTAACCAAGGTCCTCTAGAAATACGGCAAATATCGCCTTCAACACATTTTTACATAAGTTGAAAAAGGAAGTTAACTCTTTGGATTTGAAAAGATTTACATTATACTTGAAGATCGATACCCTTTACAATGTATGGCAAGGTTCGATTGTGTGCCTGCTTTCACACTTCTCTTTACGAAAGTGTTACTGGTATTCCGTAATTCTCAAGGCCAACATAACGATTACAAGAATCAAGGTAACGTGTTTTCAGAAAGGGTGTGTTAAAACATTTCAAAATATGAAAGACACTCAAAAGTTATCCCTTGGACAAAGCGTAAGCCTCATATTGGATGTACATTGGTATAAACTAAGTTACAAAACACAAAACTCTAACGGGATTGCAGCAATTTCAAAGGCAAACTCAATGACGTTAATTAAATAGCACTTGAACCCAATTACATTATTCTTACTAATATTGGGTAAGCGTGACAGTAACCCATTACTGTGGTCCAGCTTGGAAGGAGCCCGATTTAAACCCAGGGCCAAACACTGAAATATTTTTCTCTGCAAAACGTTGGTATCTTTCCAAATAATACTCAAGAAATGGTTATTGCTTGTGTTTATTGCTTGTTGCTGGTTCTCTTGTGTTTTTGTTCTTAATATATAAAAATCGTTGTATTTTTTGCTTAGCTGCTAGGCCTATATGAAATTTGGCCGAGATTGTTGAAGTTAGAATTAGTCAGGTTCCTGTCTTTCTGCACTTTTCATCAACTACTGGAAGAAGTAACGCAATTGTGAGCCATGCCAGGGTTTACACCATCTACAAGCCCCAATGTCTTCTTGTGAGTCTTCAGTTGTAAGTGAGTCTTCATGGGCGTAAATCCCGGGCGGGGGTGCGAGGATATCTTCCTCCCACTTTTGACCACCGGGGATGGGAATTTGGGTCATCCCCTAGAATGTTCGTGGTGAGAAATAAAACAATTGCCGATCTTGAGGTATTAACCTTTCAACGGCACAAACTTATGAAACAATTTTGAAAACCGATAAACAAAGAGTACAAAAGCGCTGTTTTAATTGTTTTTATTCGGGTTAAGAGATGTAAGTGCGCAAGTTTGCATTAAATGTACATTGTTTCATTAGTGCCACCTGGTGTCCACCCCTCCCCCCCCCCCCTCACGGCTTATGATTTCCCACGACTGGGCAATGGTTTTTTGAGACATGGTCATCCCCCATTCTCCACCGCCGACACGGATTTACGCACGCACTGGTAAAGCGAGTGACAATGTTACTTTTCTTCAAACTTTTATTAGTCCATTTCTCACTCTCCCTTGTTCATTTCAACTTTACACAGTTATAAAATAGCCACAACGGCAAAGTGGCCTCGGTTACGATAGGACGCTGAAGGTAAACATTCCACACAAACACTTGAATGCTTTCCTTTAGGATTTGAAGAGTCTTGAAAAAATACTATGCAAACACAGGGTTACGCAATTATCAAATACGTGACACCATTGGTCCAGTTGACAAACATTGCTCTACGATCGGATTTGGCGAGGAACTTGGAAAAAAATCTTGAAGAACAACTATGTAACTAGCATTTATTAGATTTATTTAGGAAAAAAAATTCACGAAGCAACTGATAATCAATTACCTACGTTTACCAAAATGATCCAGACGATATCGCATGAACGCAAACTCATACCACCACTTATTCTGTGCTAGATGTTAAACTCATACTTTTTTGCATGTACGTGTTCACCTGTTATAGAACGTGCAGGCCTTCCATTATACAACCCGGTACCGTTTTAACCAAGAAATGGTGACCTAGGGCAGTTTTTAACAAAGGCACGGTGATCAAAGGGTTTCTTTGAATTAGCAAATATAATTGCCACCTTAGAATATACATAGAATTTAACATGAAGGTTACAACCATTCGGGCAACCACCAATATTACACACACAAAAACCCAATTCTATCCTCGGGAAATGGATGAAGACCTTCACTTAACAATTCCAGGATCTACCGGATATAATTCACTCATTTTTTTTTATGAGTGTTACTGTCCTATTGGGCTTCAAAACAAATTCAATACGTCTATATATATATGTGCAATGCAACGGACATTTCAATGACAGTTAGATGTCAAAGAAATTGTATGGTGTCCTCAGAAAACCACACAAAAGGCTCCTGGACTGATTTGAAGTTGCAGAGAAAATTTATCAGGTAGTTGGATACAATTACGGTGTAATTTGATGTAGGTGAATTTTGGAAAATTGAAACATATTTTTAATACATTGTACAGTGTATATATAAAAAAAAAGAGTTTGAAAGATACCACGGTTTTGTCGTAATTAAATTTTCGAGCACATATTACCATTTCTTTAACATCAATATTGTGGTAATGGTTGTTTTATGTTTTTTGAGGGAAAAATAGAAAAAATGTGGACCATGCGAAAGGCTTTCTTAGATCACGTCACATATCTATGAATCAATTTAACTTGATGATCTTACTTTTAAGAAGAAAAACGCAAAATCAATCAACATAAGGCCCCGACACTTACCAGTATCCTGACATGTAGCTAAGCATGCCAGCCCCACAACAAGAAACAACCAGCAGCTGAACTTCGTCGGTGCAGTCATTGCTGTTGATTCGTACTTCTACTGATTTTTTTCACGGATTTCTGTTTTAAGATGACATATCCATTTCAAGCTCACCCGAAGACGGTCCACCTGCCGACGTCTACCACCCTGACGCAACTTATCTTCGCTAAATTACGAGACAGCAGTGTAAGATTGTCGAACATTACTAACCCAAGTTCCAAGCCGATTATCGGCGCCACGTCTGTCAACGAGCACCACCGGGTATACAACGGGGAAAGTAAACCTAGGCTTTATACAATAAAGTGTCAACAAGGGCGGATCGCAGCATGTTTGTGGCCCTGTTTTCAATGCAAACATTTTCACCGCCCCAATTATATCGTCTATTTTTCCCCCAGAGAGAAACCCACTTTACTTTTTCCTTTACAAAGATTTGGATGTTATTTTACAAGTTTTAATGTAAATATTTTATCGACTGAAACTGTTTTTTTTCTCGGTATAGAGGACCATTTATTTTTTACTGCTCCTGATCCGTTTCAAAATTCCCCACGTGTATCTTTCGGTCATCAAATAGTTTACATCGTAAAATAATTTAATTCTGGAAATGTAACTATACGCTCCAGACCGATCAACAATAGCCCCTATGTTACTTTTGTGTATTCATTTATTAGTGGGCGCATCATTCCTTTCGATTTGTTTCGATCTTAAATGCAATACAAATACTTGTGTTATTTTTGTAACAATTTTAAGGTTTTCAAGGTTTTTAATAACTTTTCAATGATTATTAAAGGGAAGATACAACCTTTGCAACATCCAAAAAAGAACTGATCAAATTATCACGAAATACCTTGGATTGTTAGGGAATGACAATCTAAAGCATCCTGTAAAATCGTGGCTCCTGGTGTGCTGACATTTTCAATAAAAATAATATTTTTCCCAACTCTGGTCGGCCGACCAGCGTTGGAGAAAACTGGCTTTTTCAAAAACTGCTCCTACCTTTTCATGTTTAGTTATTCCGCATTGTCTTTGCAATCGATTACCCACTTGTGAAGGGGTACAATCCTGCTAGACTGAATCTTTGACCTTGAATTGCTCCGTTTCATCTTAAGTGGGGTCAGAGAACCAGACTACAAAAACACGATTGATTTTCTTGGTTTTTCCAGCATCTACGAGCCCAAAATGTGAACAAGTCAGTTTAGCCATATTTGCTATAATACAATAATTCTCAAAATTCATTTAGGCCTATTTCTGAAAAGTGCAGCAAAAAATATTGTACATTCTCTTTAAGCGCCTTGAGCGTCAGTTTGAAGGTTTTGGTGCTATATACGATTATCATAATAATTATTATAACTATAAAGCGCAAGGTATTATGTGCGCGTGGGTTCAAAAGTTTTTTTCACGAGCTGATAGCGCACAAAACGGGCAACCCGCGAGTCGCCCTCACCCGCGCCTACATCGAGAAGCCTGCTAGGCAAAACCTTGTATTATTATCTAGAAAACCCCAGCTTCATCGAACTGCAATACCCGCATACTCATAGACGGAACATCTTGGAGGAAATAAACGAAACAGACCTTGTCAGTTCTGGACTTGATTTGCAATTTGCATCCCAGTGCTGGGACTACCCAATATACGGAAATAGGCAATCCTATAATGACCTTAAAAGACTACCTGTTCTTACCTAAACAAAACCGGTTCCTTTCAATATGTTTTAATCCGAGTAAATAACAACTTGGCCAGACTACATTATGGTCTACTAACGCATTGACATCCCGTAATAGGATTAAATCTGCTTTATCCACCGAAAGAGAGATACCTAACATCACTTTTGGTATGATACGTCGCACGCCTTAATTTATCAATGCCCATTGGAATGACGCGGCTCTGGCATTTTGCTCGCATCCCACGCAATTTCCCGTTGTCAAGATTTAGGACGTGTGTTTGATTTGAAGGCGGGGATTGTAACTACAGGGTTTCCCTAAAACATTTCCCTCTGGAGGATGTACACAATTCTCGTAATTTATGAAGAACATTTCAAATCCCATTATATATTTGATGAGCCCAATAATTTGTCTTTCTTGTGTGAAGTTTTTTGTTGGATTCGGTTGTAGTTTTGAAACAAAGACCATTAATGTAACACCAGTCTATTTTGGTCCATTCCAAGTCATTGGCATCGCGAGGGGGAGGGGCAAGGGGGCGCTTGCCTACCCCCCAGAAAAGGAAGAAAAAAAAGGAAGAAAAAAAAAGGGAAAAAAAGAGGCGCGAAGTCATAGTGGTGTAAATTTCATGAGTTGGGGGGGTGGCAAAATGTCCCTGCCCCCCTCTAAAACTGATAAATCAAGAATATGTTGAGAAATACTGGATTTTTTTGGTAAAAATACGTGTTGCCCCCTCTAGAAATAAATCCTGGCGACGCCCATGTTCCAAGTTTGACAATACATAACCTACACGTGTCAAAAAGAACATGTCCTACTTTTGATCCTTAATAACCCTGTCGTTTTTCAAATGGAATTCATATCGCGTAAACGAAGCATGACACATTTTATTGAGCGACTTTAAACGTCATACGAAATACTGACTTTTCGAATCTACCAATTTCGACTTGACGGCCTCCACTGTCGACACAGCGCTAAAGACGGGGCTATAACTTCACTCAATAAAGAAAAGTGTTTAGGCTCATCAATTCTATAATTAAATTTGAAATTTTACTCAAGAAATTACGAGAATTCTGTATATCCTCCAGAGGGATTTTTTTTTGGGATACACTGTAAAAATTTCAATAAGCCACAAAGGGAAGCTAACCAGACGCTCGTAAGAGATGATATAGAAATCGAATTGATGTCCAACTTGAGGTCATTTCGTCCATTAAACTTCTTGGAGTGACCATCCAAAATGACCTTAAGTGGGACCAGCAGGTTCAGCAACTCATTACGAATGCCTCACGTAGACTTTACATTCTTAGCAAACTTAAGAAATATGGTGTTAAAATTGACGACCTCATCTTAATCTATAAGTTACATTCGTCCTACACTTGAATACGGTGCAGTGGTGTGGTCTTCGGGTCTGGCTGTCAATCAAGTTCAAAGTTTTGAAAGAATTCAGAAGCGTGCAATCTCCGCATAATCCTTTACCCAAATGTCTTGCCATTATAACGATGTTCTCAATCTCCTAAACATCCAATCGCTTTCAGACAGACGTGTTGACCTCACCACTCAATTTGCCAAAAACTTGCTTACCTCTGAAAAACACCGTCTTATGCTTCCCAACCCAAGACTCTCTCTCTCACCAAACGAAATCTCAGAAACTCCAACCACCTAACCATGCTTCGTATCAATACTCAAAGATATAAGCAATCTCCTGTCCCCACTATGATCAGATTAATTAATTCTCAGTAGTTGTGGTTTTTTTGGTGTTTATATACATGTAATTGTTCCTCCTATCTTATTCTATTTTAATTACTCAAATTTTATCTGTAATGTGAGTCACTGTTATTGTTTTTTATTTGTTCAAGCTTTACTGTTTACATGTATGTAATGCTTAGCAATCATTTGTAAATATTAATTATTACTGTAAACTAAATATTTTTAGTCCTTGGACTTTTTCTTTGATCACAATTTTTTTTTTTTTTAGCAATAAAACCGAAATGAATGAATGAATTAAACGGGACTTGAACCTGCGACCTGACAGGTTTTAAGACACCCTCCCGTCCTCTTTGGGTGCGTTTTATTAGCTTACGATACGCTAGGTTTGGGTGCTGCCTCCATAAAAAAAAAAAAAATAAGAAGAAAATAAAATAAGAAATTGCATTTTTTTTGTATAGCGTACACGAGGGTGCAACACGGCGACACTATCGGAGCCCAACTTCATTAGTCTGATCGTGTTCAAAACGTTGCGATTAATTGTTATCATTTTACCTTCCAACACCCATAAATTTTAAACTAACAAACGACTCGCATCTATTCAGGAATCACATAGTTTCTGTGGATACAACGATATCTAACTGGAATGTCTTCATAGAAAGCACGCAACTTCGTGCATAATATGCGAAAGCAGCCAAGCTGAGTCTCAGACATCAATCAGCCCGCAGTCGTATCCGTAAACAACGTTCAAATTCAAAAACTTCAAAGTCTTCATACAGTGTTTGGCATATCCAGGGATTCCGCTACATTTTGTGAGCTGAAGTTACAATAGGCTTGCAATTCTCCAGAAAGGAGATAATTGTCCTCAACATCATAGTCAGACTTTATATATGACTTGAAGCTTTGCATGGCGGGTGAAATAAAATAGAGGACATTTTCGGGTGACACCACAGTGTTGTAGTACCCATGCTCTGTACTCGTACTCGAGTACTACTCGAGAGTACTTTTTTGGTTTACTCGTACTCGTGCTCGAATGTCAAAGTACTCGTACTCGAAATGACGGTAGGCCTACTCGTACTCGGACAGCAAAGTACTCGTACTCGACATGTCGAAATTGTACTCGATCATTAAAGTACTCGTACTCGATCGAGTAACAGTACTCGGGGATATTATAGCTTCACTTACCATGGCCTTATTTTATCGATACTTTCAGCTTGAAATGGTTGAGTGGGTTGTGGGGAAACCGAGATTTCCTGATTTTCCTCCGTGCAAGTCCGGACAAACACATTTAACAGCTAGCCGTGAGTGGGTCTGTATATCGGTCTGACTGGTCCTGGGCCTATTACGCACAATGAACCATTTTCCGTATGGCCGTACTCAGAAGTACAAATACTCGTTCTCGGAGACCCGTTCTTGTACTCGGAGGTCAAGTACTCGTACTCGGCAACCTAAGTACTCGGCATTTGGAAAAAGTACTCGACTACAACACTGTAAACACCATGTGGAAAGAAATCTCTTCTTGGAAGAAGTGTGGTTCTGAAAAACCGGTTGGTTGAGTGTATAACTCGACGTTTCGGACAGTGTGCTTTATAGTCAGACTTGTTTACAATCGACGCCCTGTTTACGGGATCTACTAGGACCGCTGGATTTATCAAAACTAGTTCGGTCAATTTACGACAAAACAGGCCTTGACCTAGAAGAAATTGAAATAGAACTTATTTTAACACTCTCACACAAAGAAAAAATTAAAGGTTAACATACTAAAAAAAATAATTTTGCGAGTGGAAAAGCGCCCCGTGTTGGCTGATATTTTTTGTAACGCGTTAACGTCTAGACATGTCTGTGCA